CTCAATCCTACGAGTCCAGGACCATGGATCTGACGGACATGCACCCGCCTCAAAGCCCTGACTCATTTCACTCTAGCTCCATACAGGGTCATTCAAGTTTTGGTCAGAAGCCAAGGGAGGTTGAGATAAAAGAAGAGAAGGCAAAGCTGGAGAAGAATATTGTGAAGCTGGAGGTGAAGATGGAGAAGAAGGAGGATGAGTGGAAGTTGGAGAGGGAAAAGTTGGAGATGAAAATCGACAAGAAGGAGGAGGAGTGGAAGTTGGAGAGGGAGAAGCTGGAGAAGGAGCGGAAGGAGGAGAGGGAAAAGCTGGAGAAGGAGAGGGAAAAGTTGGAAAAGAAGGAAGATGAGTGGAAGTTGGAGAGGGAGAAGCTGGAGAAGGAGCGGAAGGAGGAGAGGGAAAGGCTGGAGAAGGAGCGGAAGGAGGAGAGGGAAAAGCTGGAGATGAAAATCGACAAGAAGGAGGACAAGCTTGAGAAGAAGGAAGAGGAGCTGAAGGCAGAGAGGGCAGAGTGGAAAGCAGAGAGGGAAAGGCTGGAGCGACAGATTGATGCATTCAAGAATGGGCACACTCAGAGCGGGTAAATTTCTGTCAGTGATGACACATTGGCTCTGCTTAGGTGACTTGCTAAGCTCTTCCTTTGGTTCCATTCACTTTCCTTGAATCCATTCATGTAGATACACAAACCTTCACCTGTAGAACATTTCACCAGTTCATACACTTATCATTATCTAATACCTGTGGTTGCCTTCTCTATTGTATGATGTCTATAACTTATAGGTAGCTAAAGAAAGCTAGAGTGTACACTTTCTCAAGATGAATATGGAACCTGAAACTGTTAATGTTCATCCAGCAAACAAAGTTATCAGTAAAGCTACAGTGACAATTACTCAGTACATATGTTTACACTGCATCTATAGGTATACAAACTTTTGAGCCCTCGGATGATAAATTATGCCACAGAACGACGAAATCGCCCTAATCGTTTTTCCAGTACAGATATATCCTCCATAATCGCAGCATGCTTAATCTCTAATTCATCTAAAGTCTCATGCTCGAACGAGATAGTCACACTAGTGGTCGCCCTGCGTCTGAGTTGGCTTCGGCCGTTCGATATCTTTGAAAGGGCTTCATTTGAGATCCGCTCTGAATGCCCGTCGAAATGCTCTGCCAAATTTCCCTCTGGTTCCTCAGCATCAGCACGACTTCTTGCAGGTCCAACGAGACTGGCGGACCCAGACCTATTTCTTCTGGATGTACTAGGGTTCGAGAGGGATATGCTCGGCGCCGGCGCCAGCAGCGCACTATTACTATAACTCCGACTGGTGATAGAAGGTGTCCCAACAAGGCGTTGCGAGAACGTGCTCGTTAACGTCGGAGTCCCGCTGCGCTTAGACATCATGCTCATCATGGACATCGCGGACCCCGGACGCGGACTGGGACTTGGACTTGGAGGCGCTTCTGAATAAGTGCCCATGGAGGTGTCTCCTTCCGTATCGGACCCTGTGGTGAGCCCATCCCCAGATTCAGAACCACCATTCCCGTCTTGGACGTCAGTCCCAAAGATCCGAGAGATACCACTCCCACTCGAATGCGCACTAAGTTCGTATCCGGCCTTTTGATATCTCGAAGAAATAGAAGAGAGGTCCGCATCTTGAACGAACCGTAATTCTTTTCTGATAGTTGAAGTGACGCTCGAGCGACTTAAGGAGGACCTCCGAGTCACCGTCCCGGTACGGTTCGCGAAAGAGGTCAATATCCGAGGCTTACGACCACTCTCGAGAACCTTTTTACGAGCACTCATTCCAATACAGTCAACGAGCTGCTTCATAGCTTCTCTGTCTGAAACGGCCCTGCGAGTCACTGTGCGGCGAACAGCATTGCTCCCTAACGAACGCGGAAGAGTTTGAGCATAGTAAGGCGTAGCAAGCAGATCTGTAGTAGGCCGGACTGGGGTGCTGAACGCGTGAGCATGACTTGGAATCGAAGGGGTTGTCAGGCGGGCCATGTTACTACTAGGCTGGGGCAAACTTCGTCCTTGCGGAGTCGGAGTAAGCCAGGCCGAGGGAATACGAAGAGGACGAGGTGTACTATTCCACTTGGGTAACGGCGCGGGTGATAGTCCGGTGGGACTTCGTTGCTCGTTCTCAGCGTTTTCTGTCATGTGCACATCCGGGAAAGCATCCTTGGTAGGTCCCCAAGAGAAACCGATAAAAGAAGCGGCGCTAGTACTGCTTTCAGAAAGGGGACCGCTTCCCTTGAATGAGGGAGTGTCATGAAAGACAGAAAGTCCTGGGGAGGATGACGCTGCCGAAGATTGAAATAAAGCTGAGAATGCGAAAGGTTGGGAAAATTCTTCTGACGGTCGTTCGGACGTATCAACTTTGGCTTCAGGTATTGAGTATGTGAACTGCGGAAGATGAAGATTTGATGGTTTCGTTTCTGCATGAGGTTCAGTTCGGCAAAATGACGGTGAATGACATGAAAGGCATAGACACACGTTGGGGAAGAGTATGCCAATCCACACCGACGAAAAACGGATGGTTGGTAATTTCTGCGAAATTTCTTCGACCGAGGCGGAATTCTGCATCAGTAAGCAACCTGCAAATCCGTAAGTGTGGAAAATCAAGTCAACACTGGTGACACACCTTCGCAGGAAATCTTGATACTGTACAGATAAGGATACATTAAGATTAAATTTGAGACTCCTCTGACGAAAAGGCCAAAGGTGTTAGACTATATCGAAGAATCCAGACGACGCTGATGACTCACTTGATGATCCATGATCTTCAAATATGTTCGTCGAATGTCGTCTGCAAAAAAGGGAGCTACACCATATGCCATCTCGTACAACATTGCGCCGAGACTCCACCAGTCTGTCTCTAAGCCGTAGACTTCGTCCTCATTGGTTAATACAGGGTCCTGGCTATCCTCAACTTCCAAAGCGACCAGAGCCTGCTCGTGGGCTTTGAGAATTTCGGGAGAGATATAATCACAAGTTCCGCAAGGAACTAAACAGTATTGCTTTGGTACAAGCCGACTACCGTCTTGAGAAGGAGGTAACACGGGAGCGGCAGTGCCGAAATCGATCAAAAGAATGTGAGCAGTTTGTGTTATTACGAAGTTGTGTGGTTTGACATCTCTGAAAGTTTAGTTAAGAATGAAGACACGGCTGAGTGCAATAAAGCGCACCGATGGACGAAACCCTGGCTATGACACCAGTGTATGGCACTAACGATCTGTGGTGCCCACCACCTGAGATCATCTTCGGAAATCCTTCCTTCAAGTGGACTAGATTCGAGCACATCCCAAAGAGTTCCACCTTCGGCATAATCCATAACAAGATTCAAATGAGTAGGAGTATGGAATGCGCATAACAGATGCGGAACCCAAGAAGTTTGAGTTCGAAGTGCTTTTAACAGAATATCGCGTTCGAATTGCGGTGAACATTGCTTAATAATTGAGAGAGAAATTGAGAAGAATATTGGGGTAGATGTCAGGTTGACTCACTTCGCGAGTGCGCAGAGCAAACTTTTTCTCAATCGACTTTCGGATATAGACGCGACTGTCCAGTTTGCAGGTGACAACGTCGATCTGCAGCTAATGAGAAATATACAAGCAAGATATTTGAACATCACTGACCACACCGTATTGCCCGTATTCTAACGTGCCAAGAACCTGTAGATCTCGGTCTTGAAACCGTATCTCATCGACTTCAGTAGTTTTTACTAAATTAGAAAAATCAATACGGAGGCAAGATCGGAGGTTATAAGAAATTAAGGACCAGTTTTCCCTATGACATTTTGGCCATGTAACAGACGATCAAGACCTAATCCGTCTTCGTCTTCGTCTCCTGAGCTCTTCAATAACTCTTGAAGGCGCGTTTTCCGCTGGTCCCACGACAGAGACATGCATTAGCCCAAATTGGTGGTCGAGGGTTTGAGTTCCACGTATTAGTCCTCAGAAGTGTTAAGCAATGGCAGCACGCCGAAATATTCTGAAACCTTGAAGGAAAGTAAAAGTTTTAGTTGAACCCAGGTTGAATTTCAATCGAGAGAAACGCAGACTTGATCTCGTGACAATACGGGCCGTGATTCCGATAAAAGTGATGTCACTCCAGATCTGAGGTCATCGAAGGCGCTCACATTTGATTTTCCTTTCCAACTCTTTCACTCGATCCATCATGTCGACGTATAATGTTACTGTTCGTAGTTCTCTTCTGTCTTTCGTCCTTTCACTATTCTAACTCTATACAGGTATCTGGAATTTCTCCGACCACCACAGAGACTCATCTTCATGACTTCTTTTCGTACGAACTCATTCATCCCCAAATTCTTATCCTCCGATGACATTTTCTACTCCATCAGATTTTGTGGAAAGTGCGCCTATCAATATCGCATGCCACCGTCTTCCTGTTCTGATATATCACTACAGGATCGCCAGCATCGATCATAAGGGCACCGAGGCAGCTGTGAATTTTGAGAAACCTTCCGCTGCCAAGACGGCGTTGATGGTGCGTGTTGTGGATGTCGGAACGCCACCAGGACCACTGTCAGAACAAATTCACCGAATTGACTAATCCTCATCTAGCTCAATGGCGGATCTCTCGATGGTGCTACGCTCACCGTCACTTCCGACACTGTCCACCCGGATGAACCTGAAGACAGTAAAGATGAGCATATCGACCAAACTGATAAACCAAGGGCTGGAAGTATGTTAGATTTCCCCCATATAGATTTAATTGGCTTTACAATTATTTTCATTGCAGTCGCCGCCGAATATTTGGCTAAAGGATACACACTTTCTGATTCAATTTTGCAACAGGCTATTGAGATGGACAGCAAGTCTTTCGATCATCTTCCGCCTGAATCTCAATAACTTGGATCCATAGAACAACGGGGAATTTCGAAAAAGTTCCTATCATATTTCAATAGCTTAGATACAGGCATCGGGTCTAGAGCTTTAGGTCCCGATAAGACCATCTCTGGTAAACTGCAAGAGACGTTGGCAGCAGCGACCCAACAAGCGAAAACAGTTGACGAACAGAAGGGTGTATCAAAGACTGCGCATGAGGTACGCGCAGTAAAAATATTACTTCGCGCACAGCTAATAAAAACAACGGCGTAGTACTACACAAAGGCTCTGGGATCTCCCTTCGGCAAAAAGGTGTTCGAGTTCTACACGTCGACCTCCAAGCAAGTCCTCGACATCCACGAGGAGGCGAAGCGAATTCACAGCACACATAAAGCGACCACCACTCACCCAGAAACTCCTGTTACCACAGAGAAGACTGCTTGATTTTACAGGACAATAATATTGGTTTCGTGACGAGTAGGTACACTACTTATATAACAATGTCGTAGGTTTCCATCAGGTAGTAAATATGTACTTTATTGCGCGAATTGTACGAGCTCGATTAGGTTCGAATATCATTACGAGAATTCGATGACCTTTCCGGAAGATAAGATAAGATAAATAATAGTAGCGCTGGAATAGTTACGCTTTACATAAGCGACAGGCTCCTTCCGATTTCCTCCTCCTCGTCTTCGATGTTGCATCTCCAGAAAATAGCCCAGAGGGTTAGTGCAAACACAATTTGGGTTCTAAAAACTCACTTTATCATCCAGGAAACTCCTCGCAGGCTGTCCCAATCTGCTCTCCGAATTAGTCAGTCACGGACTCGTAGAGGTTTCGCGACTGCTTCAGAACCATACGAAGTTATAGTCATTGGCGGAGGTACTTTGTAATACCCACTATTGAACCTTCTCGTTGCTCACAGGTCTTTTACTACAGGTCCAGGAGGCTACGTCGCTGCTATTAAAGCTGCTCAGCTGGGACTGAAGGTTTGTAATCAAGCAGCCTCACCGCGAAAATATTGCTGATATAATGCGCAGACAGCATGCATAGAAAAGCGCGGCGCCCTCGGTGGAACCTGTCTCAACGTTGGATGCATACCTTCAAAAGCAATGTTAAATAATTCGCATATGTACCACCAAGCCCAACATGACATGCAGCGTCGAGGTATTGATGGTGAGCTGGTGAAATGAATCGTCGATACGTGCCGAACACCAAATCATTTTGCAGTCTCCGGTGTCAGTCTCAATCTTTCTACTATGTTAAAAGCGAAAGACGACGCCGTCACCGGTCTTACAAAAGGCGTTGAATTCTTGTTCAAACAAAATAAGGTTGACTACATAAAGGGTTCCGCTTCCTTCGTCTCTCCAACCACCATTTCAGTCGCCTTGAATGACGGAGGTGAAACACAAGTTGAAACCAAGAACGTCATTATTGCTACTGGCTCAGAAGTTGCACCGTTCCCTGGAGGTGGAATTGTGATCGACGAGGAGCAGATAGTCAGCTCAACCGGTGCCCTGTCACTACAAAAGGTCCCGGAGAAAATGGTTGTCATTGGGGGAGGTGTCATTGGTCTTGAGCTTGGTAGCGTTTGGAGTCGACTCGGGGCAGATGTGACCGTGGTCGAGTTCTTAGGCGGTATCGGTGGCGCGGGTATCGACGAGGAAGTTGCCAAACAGTTCCAGCGAAATCTCACAAAGCAAGGATTGAAATTCAAATTGAACACCAAGGTGCTTTCTGCCGAAAAAGAGAACGGCAAAGTCGTTCTTAAGACTGAGGCTGCGAAGGGTGGTAAAGAAGAAACTGTGAGTTTGATTCTCCCGGGGTTATCGGTTCCGACTCTCATGCGCTGTTTTCCCTGTACGAAACTCTAGCTTGACGCCGATGTCGTCCTGGTCTCAGTTGGTCGTCGTCCCTATGTCACTGGCCTCAACATCGAAGCTGTTGGTCTTGAGATGGACAACAAGGGCCGTATCGTTATTGATGACCAATTCAATACTTCTGTGAAGAACGTCAAGTGTATTGGTGATGTCACCTTTGGACCAATGTTGGCACACAAAGCCGAGGAAGAAGGTGAGTAATTGCTGCTTTGCTTTATTGTCCTACTCTTATGCAAACTTACGCTTGCCAGGTATTGCTGCTGTCGAATACATCAAATCTGGTCACGGACATGTCAATTATCATGCAATTCCTGCCGTCGTTTATACTCACCCGGAAGTAGCTTGGGTCGGAAAGAACGAACAGGAACTCAAAGCCGCTGGCGTTCAATACAGCATCGGAAAATTCAACTTCACCGCCAACTCACGGGCCAAGACTAACCTTGACACTGATGGATTCGTCAAGATCATAACGGAGAAAGAGACTGACAGGATTATCGGTGTCCACATCATGGGTAGGTTGATTCTTCTTCGCCTCTTAAAATACACGCTTAAATCAATGGGCGTAGGCCCCAACGCTGGTGAAATGATTTCCGAAGGGGTGTTAGCTATGGAATACGGTGCCAGTGCTGAGGATGTAGCACGTACTTGTCATGCCCACGTTAGTGTTTCCGTCAGCATTCTACCGTTAGTTCTAGGCTCATCGATGCTTTTGATTTATAGCCGACTCTCAGTGAAGCTTTCAAGGAAGCTGCTATGGCTGCATACTCAAAGGCGATTCATCAGTAGAAATAATTGAATGCAATCTGTTCATAGCGTCTTTTCATTCTTTACTTGGAATTTATCATTAATACTCATGTAATTCGTTGATTTCCCGAGTGTGGAATGAACTCGCCGTTTTCGACTGCTCCCGGACTGCTCGATAGGTATGCCGCCAAAATCGTGGCAGATGTTTTCGGTAAGTTATCCGTATGTTTATTGTGGAACTTGCAGGTAGTGGTTTATTCTTGCGACTGAACTCCTTTTGGTCTTCATTCCGTTTTCATTCTTGTTGCGTGGACGTCTACCAAAAAAACATACTAACGTATAACAATCCGATATCAAATGACAGATAGGTTGAAATAGATCAGTATTTTTTAGTCTAAGAGAAGGTGATTACGACACTCGTTAGCATCGTCGTTAAGAATGTAATTCTTATTGGGCCTCTTCGCCTTTGCAGGATGAAGCCCGGATGAACTTGCTGACGCAAGAATGGTATGCATATCTATCATATCTATTGTCCACCTTGATTAGGATAGGCTGGTAACATAGGCCTTCAAGGGACTCTATACTTTCGTCTCCCCTGACTTCGAAACATACCGTTTGGAGACTTTTCATTCTTCATCAACTTGTATGGGGAAATTGTGCCCCTGTCAAGAATATATCTGACCTACAGTAAGACTTTCTAGTCTGTTTCTCATATCTATCCAAACTGGTACAAGCGTCCTTTCGGAACAGAAGCGACAGCTATGTATAAGCGCAAGTCTATTAGATGGAGCTATCTTTTGTGCTTAAAAGCCTCTTCGAGTGAACGCCGCCGATGCCAAATTGCACATCTAGGATTCCCTCCTTTATCTGTATTCGTCAATGTCTTCTGAAGTTCAACGCCTGCTCGACACCATCACTGGGGCCGTCAAATCACTTGATGTGGCTTGCTCTAGCAGCGGGACCGTAGTTCCGAACATTAACGAGCCTTTTCAACCTTCCTCAGAAAATTTTCGCGGCAGTCATGAAGCTTTACAAGCTGCGAGGATCATTAGCGCGGCCGCGTTGCAGCTAGAAGCTATTGTTGCACCACCCCAAGTCGTTTTGTATCATGTTGTAGGAGGGGTAGGTCAAGATCGTGCTCAAAACTTTTTTGGTATTTTGATATCTTAGTTCCTTAGTTTTTCAAGTCAATGGCTTTGCGAGTTTGCTTGGAATCTAATGTCACTGAGATATTGAGAGAAGCTGGATCAAAGGTTTGTACCTTATAGCTCCGGCCTTTTCGCACTGTCAATCTTTTTCGTTGCCTTTTAGGGGATGCACATCTGCGATATCGCTAAGCATAACGGTCAAGATTCTCAGAAGCTCGGTATGTGTTTGCAAATGTTCTTGGCACTTTCTGCTCATTATGTACAAGCTCGGTTTCTTCGTTACCTTTGCTCGAACCACGTCTATAGGGAGGTCTCCCCAGATGTATTTGCGAATAACCGCGTTTCAAGTCTACTTGACACCAAGAAGTCTATCGAAGAACTTCGCTCCAGGTAACCTTCTCAAATTTAGATCCATACAGTTTTTCAACAAGCTTTGGCAGACCGCTCGATAAATACAAAAACACAGACGGCATGGCAGCGTTAGCGGGACACCAGTGAGTCTCGAGCCCTTTGAAAGACTCGCATCAACGAATCACTCTACCTCAGTTTAGATGAATGCTTCAAAGGTGCAGCGTACGCTTGGGAAGCACTCAATGACCCAAACATTATTCATGCTAAAGAACATATTGGTACACCACTTAACAAGGCATATAACTCACAGACGCCATACTTCAAGTTCATTCAAAATGACGATCGTCGCCGTCTCCGCTTTGACGTCAGTATGCAGGGCATGGAAAGACTTCAGCCACCCGATACAACCTTGAACGGTAGTGTTATATTGCTTTTTCAACGATGTAGCCGTTACTCAATCGCTCATTTCTGTTTCAGCTTTTGATTGGGGAAATTTGCCAAAAGGTTCTAAAGTAGTGGACGTGGGGGGTGGGGTCGGGAGTGTCTTCTTTCCCTTGGCGGAAAAATTTCCTGAACTAAAACTGGTCATTCAAGACTTACCTGGAGTCATTGATAACGCGAAGAAAGTATGTATGATTCTGACGATCAAGCGTTCCAGTTTTGAGGACATCTTCTTGATTTCAGATATGGTCAGAGCGAATGCCATCTGCGCTGCAGACTGGACAGGTCAAACCGGAGGGTGAGCTCAAATAGCTTTCACAAGTTGTGAATGTTCAGAAACTTACCTTGACATGTAAAGCTCACAACTTCTTCAATGAGCAGCCTCACAGAGATACATCAGTGTTTTTTTTGAAGCATGTCCTTCACAATTGGTCCGACAGCAGTTGCGTGGAAATCTTGAAGCGACTTCGGGATGCTTCGGGAGAATCAACCAGATTGGTTATAATGGATAGTGCTATGCCTTACGTGTGTCGGTCTCAAAGTCAGGAAAACCCACCCACAACCTCTACATGTATACCAGGGATAGAACCAGAAGAGGCACCAGACCCCTTATTGGCGAACTATGGGGCGCTGAACGAGATGTCCTACGTGCTCGATATGGTGGTAAGGAAGTTCCGATTTACTTCTCGAAGTTCCCGCTGTGCATCACTGATGGAACTCCTCGTGCATTTCAGATGTTTGTGATACTTAACACACAGGAGCGCACATATGAGCAGCTAAATAGCTTACTAAATGACTCTGGATGGTCTGTTTCCTGTGTAAGACGCAAACCAGGGGATGCTGCTTTCGTCCAGATTGAAGCCAAACCTCAAAAATATGAATCTGATAGTACTAGTAGTCAGGCAAGACTATAGCGCGTATACTCACGGGCTAGTACGCAACTACAGACGTAGCGTCTGCATACATTATTTTCAATGTTTCATACGTACTCTTCTGCTAATCAATACGCAGTTTTCGTACCATATACGGTCGTGTTATGAGCCTTTCGACGTTACCAGAGTAGCCGCCCCAGTTTCTTCCCCAGCACCTCATTTGAGCCTTCCGTGAGCTTGAGGGTACGGAAGGCCAACAAGAGTCTGACGAAGGAGACTCAACCACGAAAGCACGTTAAATTAAATTCAACAGTGCTTCAAAGCGGGAACAGCCGGATCGCATCCGAGCTCATCCGGTATATATTAGACAAACTTCTCTTCGACTAGAACCGCCACGATCTCAACGAGCCTCAGCAGGTCTAGCTCCGCTCTCTCAACTCGCTCAGACTCAGTAAACCTCTCCTCATTTGCGTCCCCAACTCCTTTCGCTTCCAACACTGAACACCGATTTCGCTGGACATAGCAAGAACCGATTCTGTATTATAGTCATTGTCTCTGCCTTCGCCTTACGGAAATCAATATCAGACTAACGACGAACGAGCTCCTGCTCGATAATCGCTCGTTGTACAATCAAATCCAATTCAAGCATGATTCATACTCGCCAGTCTTCACTCTTCTTTCTGTTATTTTTCGGGTTATGTCTCCTCAATATTCGCTTTGTTGCTGCGCGACTGTATCCTACTCGCCCTGTCAACAGCACAGTATACCACTGCGGGAAATGTGATCCCATTACGTGGGTAGACGATGGCAAGAATCCAAGCATGCAAAATTTGGGGTTGCTCACAGTGGATCTGTATTGTCGGGGCCAAGTACGCGCTTTTTCATAATATCGAAAGCAAACCATCTCGCTAACTTGATATCTCCTGCAAAGTATATCTTCACAATCGAACAAACAGACCCAGACGCAGAAATGTTGATGTTTTGTCCTCCTTCCCCTGACGACTTCCAATGGCCGCAAAACTGTGATGGCTAGTAAGCTCCATTTAACTTGGGTTCTGGTTTGGGCCTGATACGTTGATCTTGGCAACAGCACTCTTCTTTTCAATGGCGATAACCCTAGTGAAAATTCAACTATCTATACTCATGATTTTCATATATCCGGTACTTCTCGTGCGGCCAGGTTCGACATCAAGAATCACACGGTGGACGAAAATCCCATTCTCAGAACAGCATTGGGGGTCAGTCCTCCATCTACATTATCTTCTACGGCTTTTGTCAACCTACCTACACCGACCGCTCCTGCTTCAACTGTGAATGGGCGACCTCAAAGTTCCGATACAAGTGCGACCACTGTTTACGCTGATCCTCTGCCCGGTTCCAACAACGCTAATCGTCCACATCACAATAGCGCCTCCTTCTCGAGAGGCGTCGACATGGAAAAGTTGAAATTCCGATTTGTTTTCATTGTTTGGCCGGCATTGATTGGTATTTCAATGGCCCTGTAGATGGTATCATTGGGTTTATTACGCACCACGCGACACCTCGAGATTTTTTGCGAAGATTTCCCAATGCACCCCCTTTCTTTTATTTGAACTGCGTAGCACTCATTGAATTCGATTTGTGCATCCTTGTACTATATTCTGTATCTAGTAAACCATGTCATTATTGTTCGGGAAATCCATGTACTGTTATTGAAGTTCATCTCTATGTACTTGGTATTTGTAGATCGGATATAAACACGTCGAACCACCTGAATGAACAGACGAAGGCATGGAGTATCTATCTGTGTATATATCCGGTATTCATCATTAGGTATCAAGCAAATTGCGCAGCTTCCATCTCAGCAACTTTTATGTTGAATCATCCCCCGATGTACTCCATCCCGGGGAACGACTTTACAGTCAAGTGAAGTCGTGCCGCTGTAATTTCATTCAGTTGCAGTAGGGAACACACTCAATTCAGCAAACACTCACTGGATCACTCCCGACCGGCGAGCTGTAGATGTCTTACCAGATTGCCGCAATTGAACAATGTCAAAACATTTGAGGACAGATACAATCGTGATCCATACTGATGCCTCTGCTAAGAATCGTCCAGGACATTCCCTTGACAGAAGTAATTTGACGGTCAGCTAAGATTTGTTCAACCTAAGATGAAAGGCTCACCTCCTTCCGAATCCAAATACATAGTCCCGAATGGGACGAGCACCACCCCCTTCCAGAAATCTTGTCGGATCGAAATTGTTTGGTGATCCTTTGCCGTGTTCGTGGCGTGAAATGCTACGTGAGTTTGCAAGAATGACGGCGCCTTTCGGGATTAACATTCCCTTGTAGACATCATCCGCATGAGCACGGCGAGGGAAGCCTAACTCTATATCAGCTATGGACGACAGGAAGCATTTTGTTTCATAGTACCAGTCGGAACAATGCTCTCCCATCTTATAACCTCCTGTAGAAGTGCATTGAGGTATGGTAGGGATTTGCGGTCGCTCATGGTTGGTAGCCTGGTACCTAGGACACGGTCCAATTCTTCTTGCGCTTGGGCTTGTACTTCTGGATTTCGCGCCATTGCTTTGAAGAAGACACGAACAGTGGAGGTAGTGCTCTCTGCCGCTGCCATAAACATAGTTCCGGAAATCCATTTCCTTCAACATTGAAGCTCAAATGAGACACTGCGACGGCGAAAATATTTCTAACATAAAAACATACATCATTTCCTGGAAGTCCTCGGTTTCAATATCACCTTGAACCTCTTCGCTGGATAGAATAAGAGACACAAAGGAAGGGTGAAAAGTCGCGTCAGCCTGGTGGATCAATGTCATTCAGAAAATGTTGTTATGTATGACGAGTGTTTCTTACTATGCGTCTCTTTGCATCTTCAAATGGTCTCCCAAATGCTTCATTGACCAACGCATTCAATTGCTGTGCATCGCGCTTGAAGGAAACCCAAGAGGGTAAGTACTTCACTAGTGGTGTGTCTAGACATACTGAGAAAATGTGAAACAACAGGGTACGCACGGAATGGAAGAAAATCTACGATTCGACTTCCAGGAAGAACATTTCCTGCAATCTTATTTATGCAATCCATAGTAGTTGTGATATACTAGAAGAATTCGTCAATTTGCAAGTTAAAAGTGCGGGAAGCAGATATTTACATGTTGGTTCGTTCCATCGAGTGTGATACCAAAAATCAATGACAGTGCGAGCTGGATGTTCCTCCTGAATCTGGTTCAATATTCCCATTCAAATTACATATGGGCATAGCAGCTTACCGCTCGAGCACACTTTCGAAATCTTTCGGCAAATTTAGCAAATCTTGCATCAAGATAACAGCATTATCCTGTAGCGCAGGAGAGTACTGGCGTATGGCACTAGCTTTGAAAGCCAAGTTTGCAATACGACGTCCGCGAACACTCTCTTCGGAGTAATCCATAAAACCTAAAGACGAACAGATAAGTGAACAAGAAAAAGCATGGTAGAAGCATCTTCATCACCAAAACTCTAGATAAATTTGAGCTTTGTGATATTGACCGGCGTAATTATACACTTACTTTATCGAGTCCCACAAGCTCCCTCACAAAAGGCATTTTCGGACGGTGTGAATAATTTCCCGCACGCCTTTCAAGAAGGTCAACGCAGCATTCCTGAATTGATCGTCGGTAGCTGACATGGGTAGTGATAGATGTGTATCCATACCAGGGTATTGAGGAAAATGACAGTTAAACCAAAACATTCCAAGCTGACGATGTCACCTATAGGTTGCAGTAGCTCAGCACTATCTCACAGTCTGATATAAGAATATTAACCGACCATAGGCATCCTGCCAACTATCCACCAAAGCCAATAGGTCGTCTGTCTTGAGGAGATCAAGGAGATTTCCAAGAATCCAGTTGCGAGGAGGTCCTGGGGGCAGCTGGGCCGTGCGGCGCTTTTTGTCGGCTGCAATAGCTAGAAGAGATAGAGATACGAGGGAGAGTCCACTGGCCAGAATTACTGTAAACATTGTGTGCTGTATATTTGCGTAAGGAGATCGGGGTAGACAATTTCTAGAGGCAAGAAATGACTTTGTGTGATAGCCGGTATATATTTCGAAAAGCTCATGACTACCCAATTAATATTTCGGCGGTGAAGTGGGCAAACTGTTTGAGATTATCGATGAGTACGCAAAACGAAACGCCGTGGTGCGGTTTGATCTTGTAATTACATAAGCATTCTCGCCGCTCGGTACGGCCCATCTCGTGAATTTTGTGGCCTGAATCAACTAAGATGCACTATTACTTTGGCGTCAGATTAGCAAATTTCCAGCGTAGGGAGGCGAAGAATCGACCTCAAGTGGTAAGAATGTTACTAGCACCAGGTTGGACAAGAACTCAGCGCCCAAGTATGCACTATATACTGGACAGTAATTTTGCTGGCAAAACTGCACCCTTGAAGTCTGGTCAAGATTCCAGGGGCCTTTCTCGGTATTTCACAAGTCTACAACCTCGACTCCAGGATGAGCCGCTTTCAGTTTTTGAATAGAACAACCTTCCCTTCATACTAAATGACTGTGGAGAGCTCCATGCCGCACGGGTCCTCCATCCTTTTGCCGTGGAAGGTTGCCTCCCTCCCAATCCGCCCCATTGAAAGCTAGGTCCCATTTACACGGCACCTTCATGGGGCTGTTCCCACCGCATGGTGCATAATTTTGTGGAGAGTTGGTATTCTATCGAGTAGCCAGTCGGCCGCAGGAGCTAGCTATCTTCACTGTATTGAGGTGCGCTTGTCTGTTTCAGTACCAGTTAACAAGCTGAAACTGACCCGTCTCTGGAGTCTTCCTCGGTCCGAGTCAATCTCGAAGAAGAGCATGACTATTACTGGGTACGACTCATTGACTGAATTCATTTGATGCAGCGGAGCATGTTATAGCATAGCTCATTGAGACGAAAATTGTCGTCCGCTGAAGGTGGCAACAGTCTTGAATATGAAATTTGTGTGATGTGTATTTAGGTATTTGGTGAATTTTAGTTGCTCATTTCAATTTTCATTTGTATTGAAGAACATCATATATAAAACTTCTTCGAAGGGCTCTCCGTTCATCTTCATACCATGGAAAACTTAAAGCTTAACGATCCACGTTCTCACCTGAATACTTGTCTTCTATTCCTAATCATCATACCTTCGATGTATTTCATCGGCATTTCTTGGCTGACATTTGCAGCAATTCTTGTGGTTACTATGACCTTCCTTGGTATACATCTTTCGGCAACGGTTCGTGTCACTCCTGCTGGCCTCAGGCTCCTTGGAGTTGTTGCAGGTTTAATGCTTCAATTACAAGATCCCCGGTTTGCTCTCCTGGTACGCGAATTGTCACAAGTTTATGCTGATTTTTTTCTAAAACTTGAATGTCAAGGCCTATTCTCGCTCAAACACTCACCGAGATTTCATAACACATATCATCAAGACTTTCATGTGCACTGCGGTGTTAGCAGATGATGCATCTGAGGAGAAGGAACAAACTGTGCGCTGGATTCGTTGGTTGCATCGCGATCTTCGAATATTGAAGGTTACCGACGAGATCCGACAACGGTTTGACATACCAGAGGATGTTCTGACATATGGCTACGACAATGCAAGTTACATCTCGCTGTTGGATGCCATCACATGGAGCACTCTGTCTCTCCAGGAGCGCTTTGGAAATCCGTGAGCTTCAGTCATGAAATCCGGCAGATCCCATTACTTGGAGCCGTTGAATCTACACTTACCGGTTCTAGGTCGTACCTGCTCACGTTATTTCTGTATACGGTCCTCGCGATTGAGGTAGAGATACTACCGGAGCATGTTCGCGAAGAGTACATGCTGATGTTCTTTCGGACATGGTATAGTCGTGTTTTCCAAAGATGCATTGTATGGCTTTCAAGTTGTTGGGTGATCTACCCCATGTCTGCCTTGCTTCCTCCAGTACGAGTTGCCTTATGTTTCCTTCTGTTGTTGGATCCCTCGGCATGGCCTTCATTCTTGGTAGGCTGTGATTCCCGGATTTTGTGGCTCATACTCAATCCGTTTCAGGAATCATGTCGTGAGATGCTTTCAATTGATCCCATAGAAGGTACCCCGACTCTTGAACCAGGAGACACAGGTTCTGCTCTCCGATGGCTTGCTATGAACTCCGGCACCTGCGGGAAATCATTCTTGCAGACTGCTCTAGTTCTTTTGCTCGATATGCAACATCAGTCACAGGAGGCAAGAGGGACGAATAAGATCTTGCCCTGGATGGCCTTGATAGCGCAATCAATAAAACTCGTTTTGACTACTTTCTACTGTGGTGTTCGGAATGTAGTTGAAGACGTCTGCACGCTCATTCATGCCCGCCGGATGTTCCAAATGAATATCAAAGGTCCAAAACATAGTATGTCTTGAAAGCATTCGCTCAGTCTTATTAGATTCAAATATATTGCAGTTGGATTTGTGATGGATGGCAACCGGAGGTACGCAAAATTACACGGGCACAAGGCAGTCTGGGGTCACTGGAAAGGTGCCACTACTTGGTTGGATCTCATCGAATGGTGGACATACTTCAATACCAACCAGAATCACCAAGTGAACTACACAACTTTCTGGGCCCTTTCCAAAGAAAACCTACAACGTAATCCCGAGGAACTTGCAGGACTTTTCGCAGTTTTGACTTTGACATTCCGGTCTATTGCATTCACTGCCAGCATTCATCGCTCCCGGGTTCGTGTCCGCTTCATTGGAACAAAGAAGGGACTTCCACAGCATGTCATTGACGCAATCAACTTATTGGAGAAGAAAACGGAGAGCTATTCGCATGCTGTTATGCTCGTCGCTGTTGGGTCCGTCTCTATTGTTCTATGTCTGATATGTTCATGTTTTTCATGCAAATTATAGATATGGTGGGAGGGATGAGGTTTTATCTGCTGTGAAAGACGTGATAGATTCTGGGGAAGAGCTAAATGAGGAGAATGTCAGTCGAAGGACATTTTGCTCCAAGATAGCTGTTCCCCCAGTGGATTTAGTCATCAGAACTTCAGAGAGCAGGTCTGTCATATTTTTTTTTGCTTTCTAGTCATTTAATGAAAGATACATAGGACAAGCGGATTCATGCTATGGGATACACAAAGCACGGAGCTGCACTTTATCCATGACAAGCTGTGGCCAGAGCTCAGTGCACGGGACTGCATGCATGCCATTGAAAGCTTTGCATCCCGTGAAAGACGGGGTGGAAAATGATATGTATACCTGTTGAGCCGCTCCAAACTGTCCGATAACCAGGGTTCCAAGTTTAGTGATATTTCCCATTTCTTTCCTATGTGAATTACAGGATTCCGTCTTTGGACAGAGAATCTATCAACATTTGTATCTCAAGTACATAGCAAGTACATATAGTAATAGACATCATTGATATTCCGGAAATTTTTCTGATACCATACACTACTGCGGTTCCGACTATGCCATAGCGGAGCTTCCAAATTGCTCCTGTTCAAAACAAATATTTCCGTTACCACCGGAGTATCCTATTTGAGAATGATTTTCATTGAATGGGACGTTTGAGATATAAAAACCCTTGAATGTCCCAATCCTCCGTCATCATTCTCAGCATAAAATGCCTCGCATTGTTCAATACCAACTACCAAATATTGACCTCCTCCTGGACCGTCAATCCCGACCAAACTACAAAGTCAACCCATATCACCCCGAGTTGCAAACAGAGTTTATTTCATTCCTTGACAAGATTGATCATGCTATCAGTCCCTGTTCCTGTCATGACATATGCAAGCGCAGCGTGGTGGACGGGGAAGATTACGCATGAACGACTACTAGAGAAGGTACAACACCGTGGACTACGACTAATCTGTGCAGTCTTTCGCACTACACCCATAGCAGCAATGGAGATTGAGGCATCTATTCCACCGGTTCGGGTGGAACTTAATCGCTTGAACCGAAACTGTGCATTACGATTCAACAAGCTAAGTACATCCAACCCCATCATACAAAGACTTGATAATACATGGAGAGCAGGAAGGCCACCATCGCGCCCCCCAGCTGTCCACTACAAGCTAAATCGGAAGGGCAAGAAAGATGAAAACCGCACAACCCAACTCCAGAACATTGCGCGCCTCACCAACTCTAGCGACGAACGCCTCCTTCCCTTCTCCACACCACCATGGCGAAGGGTGGGATCAGACTTCGGAAACCGACTCCGCTTTATCCCACCACCACCTAAAGGGAAAGAGGAAGACAAGAAGAAGAGAATGCACAAACAAGTCCAAGAACACAAAACAAAGCTAAGTATCCTTCAATCACATTCAAAAAACCTGTGTATATATACAGATGGGTCTTTGAAACCCATCCGCCGTATACGGAGAGCAGGTGCGGGACTAGTGGCCTATCAGAATAATATAGAAATGTTCAGCCGAAGCATTGGGCTGGGCTTTCATGCAGAAGCATATGATGGGGAGATTGTTGCACTCAGCTATGCCGCGGGCCTTGCAGCAAATATGTCCTCCCAAGATGACTCTATCACTCACTGGCAATTCTTCACAGATAGCGCTTCAAGCATCGACTCAATATTCGACACCTCTCCCAAGCCAGGCCAAGTGTATTGCTCTAACTTCTACCGAAAAGTAGTGGAGTTTCTGGACTCTGACCCATTACATTCAGTTGAAGTGGCATGGGTGCCGAGCCACATAGGTATAATCGGCAATGAACGTGCTGACTTCCTAGCCAAAATGGGAACAGAACAGAAAAATGAGGCAATGTGGGGGAGGTCACGATCAAATGCTCTGCAGTTAAATAAGGTGCGGGCAGAGAGAGAATGGAAGAAGAAATGGGAATCACGTTCAACCTATGGGCGTTTCGCAATTGCCAACCAGCTCCCACCCTCCCTAAAACCAACAAAGCGGCTGAAGGAAACACCAAGGGAAGTGTTCGGACGACTAACACAATGTCGGACAGGCCATGCCTTCCTAGGCGAGTACTATGCTCAGTTTGTACCTGGTGAGAACATTAACTGCCCTTGTGGCGAAGATCTGCAGACCCGCGAACACATATTACGTGCCTGCCCTCGATATGACAACTTTCGGCACATACTCAGGAAAGCATCAGATGATATCTGCTTGAAAGAGATACTTGGAACGGAGGAAGGAATTGAGGCCCTCACAGAGTTCCTGGAAGAAAGTGGGGCATTCACTAAAACAGGAAAACAGCGCCCAATTGCTGAAGCACCAACGTACACACCACTGGGCATCGGGGAGGAACTTGAAGCCATGTTCCATGGCCCAACCGGGGAAGAAATGACTCCGGAAGCTGATTGGAGGGAGGAGGTCATAGACTCCGACAACTCCGATACCGAGATATAACAAACACAACCTATACCATACCATACCACCACCTACTAGCCGAAACACAAAACCCGAGACCGTTGGTGCGGCAAGCTCACAACTTGCTAGCGTGGGTTTTGGCTTTCCTGTTGCAGGAGATGTAACAGGTTAGCTGCCCAAGTCCAGCAAGAGCCAGATAGGCCACAGAGCGGATACGCCTGCAATGTGGACTTGGTTTTCCCTAACGGTTATTCTCCTTACACGGGCAGAGTGTGAAAACTTTCCTTTTCCTTTATCAGGCCATTTTGCTGGCTGAACACTACTTTATACACTACAAATACATACCGAACAACCCTACGACCCACAGCTCTACCACCACGCAGGGACCCAATCAAGGTGTACCCATATCAGAAGAATGGAGAAAGGCAACAGACAAGGATATTACTTATTTGTTTCCGTGACTCCCCGCGCCTTAGTACCTAGACTTACTTACTTGCGGTTAATGAAGAGTTTAAAAAAAAATAAAAAAAAGCTATCAGTCCCTTTCAGAGAAAAGTACGCATTATCTAATATTTGATGGGTTAAAGAATACTGGCTAACTTTTTGAAGGAGATTGAGGGAGCACAGCTCCCGCTTTGTGCCGCCGCCTATGCACCTGATGCGGATATGCCACAATTGAGGGTGTATTTAGATTACTTTGTCTTGCTTCTTTTGGTTGAAGTCATGAGGTGCGTGAATTTTCGCAATTCATTTTATATATCTGGATTGCAAAAGTGACTAGGCTGCTAGCGACGTTTCCAATGCCCAGGCAGGCCAATTTGATTTGGATGACATGATCAACCTCTTGAATACTTGTTCCGACAATGAACCTTTCGACACATCTAAGCAAGAAGACCCCTTGGTACATCTCGCTGCAAAGTGAGTCCTTGATTAGACCTTTGGATTAATAAATGGCTCACATGCATCATTAACCTGTCCAGGTTTGCAAGGAAATGCTTCCCTCCTCTTTCTGCCTTATATCGTTATGATGCAACTCAAGGTACCATTTTGTACCTTCAAGCAGCTGCACAGGAAAATCATGATCGCATGAACACATCAACCTTCACAGTAGACTCGTACCTTGCTCACCGCCGCAAAGTAGTAGCCATACATCCTGTTATTGCTTTCAACCGGTGGATGTCCCAAGTTAAGCTGAGCCCCGAGATCCTGCAAACACCGGCTTTTGAGGGCCTACTGGAGTCGACAATTGATCTGATTGCACTTCCCAATGTGAGTAGTATGTATTGACCATTTTTTACAATGATTAAGTCAACGTGGCTTTCAGGATCTGATTTCCTACAAAAAAGAGAAATCACAAGGAGAAGACATCCACAATCTTGTATCGGTAGCTATGGTTGATCCTGCCATTCCAGTGAAGTCAGGAGACATTCAGGCTGCACTGGATTTTGCAGGTGTTAAAATATCAGAGGCTTATCTTCGCTTTCAACAATGCAAGCTCGATGCAATTGCACAGACCGCGCCTGGCGATTCTGAAACGCGGTCAGAGATAATGCGCTATGTAGATATTTTACTGAAGACCATTGATGGGAACATTGTATGGCAAATTGATCCTAGGACGGTACGCTACCAGGTCTTTGAGACCCCCGAAGAGCGCGCGCAATGGTTGGTATCAATTTGCATTTGAGGATTGTTGATAAAGGGAATGAGGCTTGTGGTTGATGATTTGCATGGAGTCATTGGTAATTGATACAGGGGACTAAAGGAAAATTACTTGGTTCCATGCCATGGTATTACTTAGGAGAAGTTTTCCACGTAGTGTATAGCACGATGGACTAAATGTCTTTATCGACCATTATGAGAATTGCATTCTAAGATGTACTCATACGATGGAAATCATAAACATATGCAGCGAGTACAAAAAATTGAAGGAATTATATGAAAGAAGAGTATTTATGCTAGTAGAGAGGCTCCAGCCAGCATCTTGCAATCGTGCTCTGTCTCAGTGGGACGAGAGGATAAGTCACCCTTGTTATGCCCAGCCCAGTCATAGTCGACCACCAGCCACCATGATGTCCGGCATTTATGCATCAACAAAAAAATAAGCAGCACGAAGGCCATGTAAACTATCAGCATTGCATGCTAAGATGTGCTGATGCAATGGAACTGGATACAGAAGAATGAAGAAATGATACAAAAGAGTACTTATGCTAGTAGTAGAGATGCTTCAGCATCTGACAATCGTGCTCTGTCTCAATAGGACGAAGGCTTAATTCTGCACGCGGGCGCCAAATGTCGATAGATGATCGGACATCTGGAGGATAAGTCACCTCCTTGTTGCGCCCAGCCCAGTCATAGTCAATCACCATAATGTTCTGCCTTTCACCATCAACGAAGATATTAGCAGCACGAATGTCGCCGTGAACGAATCCTTCGTCAAAGTAACATTTCATTTTTGCAATTACCACAGCTTGAACCTTCCCTTGTTCTTCGCTCCCTTCAATACTATCTGTTTCCACGTAACCTTTTGGAATCGGGTTCATAACCACCATCTTCCAGCATCCGGGCAGCGTGTCATCATACGCTAGAAGTTCCGGCGCAATCCCAAACTCGTGCGCCTTCCTATGGGCTTCAGCGCCGTACTGTTGAGTGTACTTGATATACAGAATGTTCTTTTCCTCAGTCTCAACTTCGAAGACAAGCCGAATAGGGTCGATACGCTTCAAGTAAGTGAAAGTAATGACCTGATTACCACATTTGAATCTACGTGGGTAAGGATATTCATGTTGAACAGGAAGGAGTGGGTTGAGCGGAGGAGGGTTGTCGTATAGTTTGCCGAGGTCAGCGAAAATGATATTAAGGGCTGTCAGAGTGCGAGCGAGGTCAAGAGACAGGTCTTTATTCGAAACATGGAAATACATGGGCACAGATGCAGTGAGAACTTCAATCTGGGGTCGGTCAGTCATAACACCGCCAAGGATTTGAATATTGGGGCCTAACCACATCCAATTCAATTAAATGAAGATACAACTCGAACTATCCACTCACCAGCATGAGTGATTAGAATCGACGGGAGCCTTGCCCTGAACCAAGCCGCCGCTTTTTCGTTTCTATTGACAACATTCTGGCGAACTAGGCGTGTATTCTCAAGATAGTCTAACGAAACTTGAAAACAAGGATCGCTGGTGCCAGTTTGTTCTAGTTTGACTTTGATGAAGAGCCGTGGGGCACCGTCCTCGTCGACCGTTGTATATTTATAAGTGAACCCACCATCGGTCTTGAGTTTGCCAGTCACCGCGTTTTGGATCCCTTCGCTGAGAAATTCACCCAGGATCGAGCAAAATTTCCGCTCCCTATCTATCTCATCGTGAAATATGTCACAGAGTTCATGCCTCATCTTCGTTGCATAAAGCATGGCGCGGTCGGAGGGTGAGATGTTTTTGACGTTCGTCTGGAAGTTCCCAAAGGATGGCACGAGAAGAGCAATTGGAACCAAGGCATGATAAGGCTTCCGTGGACGGTCTATGTGAATTCGCGTTTTTTCATTTTCTTGACTTTGAGCAAATTCCTTGGGTTCGGCTCCGCTTGAAGGCGCTTTGGGCGGTCGTCCTTGAAAATATCTACCACCGGGAAGCTCTGGCAGGAATTCTCGTGGAGCTGTGGCAAAAATTAGCAATTGATATGAATAAGCTGCAATAATTCTCGCATACGGAGCTCATTGAATTCTCGAGCCCGGATCGCAACAACTTGAACGAGTTCGATGTTTGGATGGGTCTTCAGGACCTCTTGCAATGTCCCCTTGGTCCACCGGATCCATTTGTAACTAAAATGTCCTAATTTTGTGGCTATGATAGATTCTTCATTGATTTCAATAGGCTCATTGAGCACTTAGAGAATTAAGCACCATGACCCGACGGGTTAAAAAAAGCATCCAACTCACAAAGAAGACCAATCCACCGACTTCCGTGCCCAGAGTGGCTCGCACGAATTTTTGAGCTTGCTGGAGGACAAAGTCTGTGCTGACTTCAACGGAGGACGATACGCGGGTTATCGCAGCATCTGCGTCCAGAGAAAGCAAGATAACGTTAGGGTCGTTCATGGTGGGGAACGAAGGAGAGTCAATCCGATCCACTGACTAAGCGGGCGCTTGCTTGCTCAAATCGCATCGATGTCTTCCAACATGAGGCCTCGAGGATCCACTATGGGTCAAATAATTATATTGTGCGTTGTTTCTTTATAGCCCACGCCACAATCTTCACTATCAACTTGTGTAATTTCTCTTTGTTCTCTCATTTGCCAGCCAAATGACCTGGTTCCAGGTGTTGTATAAAAAGGCATGAACATCGGCTCCAACTCCAACATACATCCTCGAAACTAGTACAGGTGAGCTTAATCGAACTCTCGGCTCTACTTGCCTTCTGATATGATCTGTGAAGCCATGTCGACAACCAACACTAACACCCCGCGCACTTTGACTCTTAAACCCATTGTCATGTTCCCCCAGATTGTTCTAGGTCTCAACATTGTACGCCCCTTCCCGGACCCTGCCTTCCACTGGTTCCTCTTCGTTGCTAATCCTAGGAGCATCCAAGGCGAGGGAACCAAATTACACGTTACCGACAGCAAAAACGGCGTATGGGAGTTCGAAGTAGTGACAAACTTCACAATCAATAGCAGCTCGGAAGCGATTACCACAGCGTTGATTATTGGAGAAATTCCGGAAGGAAAGCTTAAGGACGTCACTGGTCTCATCGATATCTGCGAGCATCAAATCAAGCTGAACGAGGTTCCTGCAGCTGATAAAGGCAAGGAACCGAAGTTCACTTGCAGGGTGTGGATGAAAGAGGCAGTTAGATGTTTAAATGCTGCTGGGTATCTGAGGTGTACTGATGTAGATGAGCTGGAAAAAGAGGCTATTGCGAGGGGATGCGCTGCGCTCGAAGAAATTGATGGCATCGATGCACTCGATATACCTCAATCCCAGAAACGTTTCGTAGCCAAACTTCATAAATCGAAAGTCTCACATACTGTGTTATAAACCTTCGACGTGCATAAGTAGTATCTTGTTAACAACCTCGTACACTGTCGTAATGTAAAGGATGACTTATATCACCCTCGCTAGTGAACGGTCCGTTGATAACCTCCAGTAACCTCCATCTGCGACTTCAACCTCTCCGGAGATCCCTCCTCCATTCCTCAACATTTCATCTCGCTCACATACCACTCGACGGTATCCCTCTTCAGCAGCCAACCCCTCAATGGAAGCGGATACTCAATACAATCGGAGGATTTCTCATGACTTGTATAAAAGCCACGCGATGTTCAAGCGCGTTTACCAGCATCACTTGTAACGATCCACCAACGACCACAACTTCGATCCTTATAAGCATAAGCTGTCGTATCCTTCCCATAAAGGCCAGCTCACTACTCCCTCGCCTTCGGGATGCTTGCAATCTTTCGCGAGACTTGTCTGGGTCTCTATTGCTGCAAGACGCGCTTCGCACCGTGGCGCTGGCATCTCCCCTCCTCTTGGATGCTTTCAATTTTGCGCAAAGCTCGTTTGGGTATCTACTACTGCCTTGTGCGTCTCATACCTCACAACTTGCGCCTCAAACTCTATCGACACCTCTTCCTTCGAGCGAGAGAGCAGAATGGTGGCTACTCTATATTTGGCGGGAACGTTCAGCGTACTTCCTATGGGCTATGTTTCAAGCGGGGCGCATTACAGCGTGAGGTCACAGCGATGCGGTTTGTGCGCAAGCGCACCACTATCCCCGTCCCGTTTATTGTGGACTACCTGGTGTCAGATGACAACGAAAGCTATCTGATCATGGAACTGATACTCGGTGAAACCTTAGCAGATCAATATGGCTCTCTGACTGAGGACGTCTGCCGTATAATGATCAGGGATCTCATTGACATCACGAATGAGCTTCGTTCTATACCCCCTCCTTCACGGCCTCCTTTGGTGTGCGGATTGGGCTCCATCCCAATTGACTGTCGTCGCATCCAGCTCAACGGAAGCAGTAGTTTCGGACCCTTCGATTCTGTAAAAGCATTTCATGAAGAACTGATCAAATTTTCCAACCTTGAGTTTCCCAATCAAGAAACAGAATCTGCTGCGTTGTCTAAGATACACAGATTGTACGAGAAGCCGTATCGAATCGTTTTCACCCACAATGACCTACATCCCGGAAATGTTATGGTCGATGCGAATTTCAGGATAGTGGGGATCTTAGATTGGGAATCTTCTGGGTGGATGCCAGAGTACTGGTTAGCTTTTGAAATGTGTTTGCTCGTATCCTTGCATCAATCCTAATTTTCTGCTTATCAGGGAATATATAAAGTCACGGTTCGTCTACCAGTATCGAAAGCGCTGGGGTGGTCGAGTAATGGCACGGGTTTTTCCAGAGTATGAGGAGGAATGGGAGGTGGATTGTATATATTATGCCCACAGAGTGCGCTACTGACTCACGACCAACATTCATAACGTGCTTGAGCCCACTGTTGGCATGTTCCCCCAAGATAGTGCTAGGTCTCATCATCGTGTGCCCCTTCCCAGACAGATCCCGCCTTTCACTGGTACCTAAGGCGAGAGAAACAAGATCCACGTTACTGACAGCAAGATGAAACGGGAGTTTCAAGCAACAAATTTCACGATCAACAGCTCGAAAATTCCCGCAGAAAAGGTCCTTGGTGGTCTCATCGTTATCTGCAACCATCAAATCAAGTTGAACGAGGTTCCCGCCGCCGACGAGGGTACAGAACCAAAGTTTACTTGTAGGGTGTGGACAAAAAGAGGCAGTCAGACGTTTGAATGCCGCCGGTTGCCTGAAATGTACTCGTGTAGATGAGCCGAGACCAACGAACGCGGCAGAAATAACGAGAACTACGGGAACCACCAGCGCGGTGTCCCAGATTCTCCACGATATGAACGTGACGATGGATATCGAGGAGGTTGATATCGAGAGTGAGAAATTGGGATTGGAAAGATCGCGATTCACAAAGGCTGATTCTCTTCCTCCTCCTCATTCAATGCGCTTGTGCTGTATTCTGAATCTAGTAAGCTGCTCAATTAATGTTCGCGAACCCCAGACTGTACTATTTCTGAAGTAGAAAAGCAATCAGAATTGCATGCTCATCATATACATATGCAGCAAGTGTATACAAAAGAATAAAGAAAAGATACAAAAGAGTACTTATGCTAGTAGTAAAGATGCTTCAGCATCTGGCAATCGTGTTCTGTCTCAATAGGACGAAGGCTTAACTCTGCGCGCGGGCGCCAAATGTCGATGGAGGAGCGGACATCTGGAGGATAAGTCACCTCCTTGTTGCGCCCAGCCCAGTCATAGTCAATCACCATAATGTTCTGCCTTTCACCATCAACGAAGATATTAGCAGCACGAAGGTCGCCGTGAACGAATCCTTCGTCAAAGTAAGGTCTCATTTTTGCAATGACCACAGCTTGAACCTTCCCTTGTTCTTCTCTCCCTTCAATACTATCTGTTTCCATGTAACCTTTTGGAATCGGGTTCATGACCACCATCTTCCATCCTCCAGGCAGCGTGTCATCATACGCTAGAAGTTCCGGTGCAATCCCAAACTCATGCGCCTTCCGATGGGCTTCAGCGCCGTACTGTTGAGTGTACTTGATATATAGAAGCTTCTTTTCCTCAGTCTCAACTTCAAAGACAAGCCGAATAGGGTCGACACGCTTCAAGTAAGTGAAAGTAATGACCTGATTACCACATTTGAATCTACGTGGGTAAGGATATTCATGTTGAACAGGAAGGAGTGGGTTGAGCGGAGGAGGGTTGTCGTATAGTTTGCCGAAGTCAGCAAAAAGGATATTAAGAGCTGTCAGGGTGTGTGCGAGATCGAGAGACAGGTCTTGATTCGAAACATGAAAATACATGGGCACAGATGCAGTGAGAACTTCAATCTGGGGTCGGTCAGTCATAACACCGCCAAGGATTTGGATAGCAGGGCCTAAGAACAAACAATTCAAATCAATGAAGATACAACTTGACCCATCCACTCACCAGCATGTGTTATTAGAATCGATGGGAGCCTTGCCCTGAACCAAGCCGCCGCTTTTTCGTTCCTATTGACAACATTCTGGCGAACTCGGCGCGTATTCTCGAGATAGTCCAACGAAACTTGAAAACAAGGATCGCTGGTGCCGGTTTGTTCTAGTTTGACTTTGATGAAGAGCCGTGGGGCACCGTTCATGTTGACCGCTGTATATTTATGGATGATCTCACCATCAGTCTTGAAATCGCCAACCGTAACATTCGAGACATCTTCCCCGAGAAATTCACCCAGCATCGAGCAAAATTTCCGCTCCCTATCTATCTCTTCGTGAAATATGTCACAGAGTTCATGTCTCATCTTCATTGCATAAAGCATGGCGCGGTCGGAGGGTGAGACGTTTTTGACGTTTGTCTGGAAGTTTCCAAAGGATGGCACGAGAAGAGCAATTGGAACCGAGGTATTATAAGGCTTCCGAGGACGGTCTATATGAATTTGTGTTCTCTCAATTTCTTGACTTTGAGCAAATTCCTTGGGTTCGGCTCCTTTTGAAGGCACTTTAGGCGGTCGCTCTTGAAAAAATTTACCGCCGGGGAGCTCTGGAAGGAATTCTGGTGGAGCTGAGGCAAAAGTTAACAATTGCTATGAATAAGCTGCAATAAATCTCGCGTACGGAGCATTTTAAATTCTGAAAATCTCATCGCAACAACTTGAATCACTCCGGGGTTTGGATTAGTCTTCAATGACTCTCGCAACGTCCCTTTGGTCCACCTGATCCATTCGTAACTGAAATGTCCTAATCGTGCGGCCATCGCAGGTTCTTCATCGACGCCAATAGGCTCATTTAGCATCTGGAAAATTAAGCACACTGACCTGTCGGGTAAAACCATCGAACTCACAAAGAAGACGAATGAAGCGCCTTTCGTGTCGAAAGCAGCTTGCACGCGTTTTTGAGCTTGGTAACAGAGCGAGTCTGCATTGACTACAGCAATGCATGATACTTCGGTTATCGCAGTATCTGCGTCGAGCGAAAGCAAGATAACACAAACGTCGTCCATGGTGGGGGTTCGAAATAATCTTACCCCGCTATGAATATGATCATGAGTGTTATAAGATGTAACGTGACTAGTGCTATCTCCCTTCGCGGTTTCGCGGATTTCGTGCTCTTGGCTAATTGGACTGTTGGAGAACAGTTTTTCGTCCATTGGTTTTGTATGTAACACCCCTGGTAGGTTTTGAGCACATGGACCGACCCAAAACCAAGCCCCCCTCTCCCACCACCTCCTCCGCTTACTCCTCCCCCTCCACCCAATTCATCGCGCTCTCGGACGACGACATCAACCTCTGGGACGCGGTGGCGATCGTCGACGAGCGAGCAACGGCGTTCAAGGTCAAGTGGGCGGGGACGGATCCGGAGACGGGAGAACCGTGGGCGGATAGCTGGGTGGCAAAGTGCGATGTCACTCCGGATATGGTGGATGTGTGGAGGGTGGGGCACGCGAGTGTGAGGAGTGGTGAGTAATTGGTTCCTTTTTCCACACTTTTGTTATTCATTCATGATCATGGGGGTAGGTTCAACTTTGAGTAGACGGAAATCCAGAGACAAAAGCAAATTTTCCACTGCAACCGCAGCTTCAACTGTAACCAACCCCCGTGGTTTCTCTGAAAGCTCTACCATCCCCAATCCCAATCTCAAGGGAAAAGAAAAAGAAAAAGTGGTATCTGATTCCGAAGACGAGAAGGATATCGACGAAATCACTACCATCTTGCTACCGACGTCGACAGTGGCCCGACCGAATTTCAACACTGAGTACGTGCCAATACAGTCTGATAAGAACGACAAACAAAAGCCAGATAGTCGTCCTCGTGGTGATCACAGTAAGTACACCATCCGACCCCAATCCCTAACCAACTCATTTCTCTTCCAGGTTCCCACAACGCCCTATCAATGGCTGTCGACGAAACCATCCTCAACGCCCAAAGTAGGGTGCCACACAAGACTCCCGCTTCCGCTGCTTCCCATGTTCCCCATAATTCCCATAATCTTCATGCTCCTACTATCGTTATTCCTATTCCGGGTTCCGATCAGTCAGACGATTCAGACGATGATAACAACTCTCACGATGAGGAGAAGGAGAAGGAGAAGCAGAGGGAGAGGGAGGACGACGACGACGACGATGAAGAGAATGCTAACGATGTGGAGGACGAATCCCGTCCGGCAGTAACGCCAAACTCCATTGTTGTTACTCCGGTATGGAAGGATGGTAAAATCGTCCGGGAGACATTCAAATACCTAGAGTCCGACGCTGAATTTGACAAGCGAATAGAGGAGGAGCGTAAAGCCAAAATCGCGGAATCTATAGCTTGGCGAAATGCCTTACTGGAACACACCAAACAGAAATTGCGGGAGAATCCAACAAAGGGGATACAAGACCACTCTAAACGGAGAATACTCCTGTTCAGTGTGTATTTCTCTATATAATCTTATTATTTCTGCCTTAATCATTATTTTAGAACGTGTCGAGGATATTTTGGATAATTACTGCCGACCTGACGATACTATACCAGATAAAATGCTCTTTTTTAGCGCGGAAGACTTGGAGAAACTGGAAAATATTGCCGACTGCTTAGATGGTAAGTTTGGTTAATTCAGAATGAGCTTACACGAATTTACTAACAAATTGTCTCTTCAGAGGAGCCTAAAGATGAGGATGTGGAAATGGAGGATTAGTATAACATTGATAGCAGTGTAGTTTTCTGTGTCTCCGATACACTTTGGTGTTTTTTTTTTTGTGGACCTTCATTGTACTTGACACAACCTCTTGATCTTTTTGTGCAGCTGTCACTGTACAGAATACTCCAGACATAGGTGCATGCACATTTGCAGTTGCCTCCAATTAGATTAGACTAATCCATATATATATATATTGTTTTGTCTGTCTCCCATTTTGATTGGTGCTGCTACAGTTTCTTTGTTCACACATACATGAGTTTCTCATCCCATAGGAATCGCATTTTTACCAACGCCATCGCAGTTTGGACTTTTCCTGGTAATGTTGCCGCACGCCGCTGTATGTCCTCTATCTTTTCCAATATAACGTCTTCAAAAGCTGATCAATCTTTTTTATTCAGCAACACAAGAAGTACCGACCGCCATGGAATCCGCTCCATAGTTTGATGTAACAGATTACTGGCCGGGAGAAAAGGGTATCAGTCTCTACTTTCCTATGCACGAAGAAACGATTATGGAACACTGTATGTATGAAGATGAATCGAGTCCTCCAAAGGTGGGTCAATGGGCATTTATTTCCAACTATTGTTATCTCTTGATTCGTCAAGTCGCTGTCTTACTAGTGTGATTTTAGGAATCATGTTACACCGATAGCGTTACATGGGTTATAAAAGATGCGTCGCGCTCAGTATTTGATTCCCCAGAACAAGCAGGTCTCATTTCTCACTCACCAACGCGAATCACCAAAACAATCGGTGCCGGCCACTTTGCACGTCTATCTATCCATCCAATTAACCTTTATCGCTTACCATACCTGACAACATTGGTCTACTCTCGCTCCATCGTCGCTGCTATCATCGCCGCCAGTGCCCTTTCTGCCTTGGTTGCCCCTGTTCCCGAAGGACAAGGTGGAAAGCCGTGAAAGGGTACAGCTCCTTCGACCGCTGATCAGAAGGGTCAGCCAGCGGGCAGTGATGATATGCACAAACACGATGACCCTGGACGTAATCGCAAACATGGTCATGGGCACCGCAAGCAGTCATGGCAATGATCCCATGTCCGCAACACCTGTTGTCAATCTTCCCATCGATACAAGTAGTCCTACTCTTCCTGTTGAGACAGATTCGTCTTCACCTTCCACTGGATCTGCTGCTGCTACTACCGATGCATCGCCTACGCACACCAGTTCTTCCGCCAGTTCCGACTCGTCGTCCAAAGACGCTTCATCTTCTGACTCAAAATCTACCGTCTCTGCGTCATCTACCTCCAAATCCAAATCTACTCCTACTCCTCATGCTGCTGCCTTGCGTCGCGAAGTTCCTGGCGCAGGTGCAACTTTCTGAGGGTGCCAAAAACAGTGACAAGAAGAAGAAGGAAAACCACGGCAATGGCCCCAGGAAAAGGAAGGGTGACAGGGAGAAGAAACATTGTGGCACTGGAAACTCTGAAAAGAGTCACGGAGGAGAGAAGGAAACCTCACCCAAAAAATAGCGCCCCCTGGCCAAGAACATGGGCCGGGTATCCACAGAATGATTCACCGATTCATGCCGGTGGTAGGAAACTCAACCACGGAGGTGAGAATCACCCTCGTACTCTTCCTGGTCAAGAATATAGGCAGGGCGAACATGAAGAGGAACATGTACCAATTCATGCTGGCGGTAGAAAACCCAATCACGGGGATGAGAGGCATCGTCGCACTCTCCCTGGCCGAGAACAGCAGCACGGGCAGGGCGGCGAAGTGGATCACGCCCATGGTGGTCCTGGTGATGAAGGTGAAAACAATGCTATGGAAGATGGTAAGAAGCACGGTGACAGAAACGTGCACCTGGCGGTCGGAAGCAGAAGAATCAGGGGGAGAGAAAGGATAAACAACATAGTAGTCCAAGTAGCAAGAACCTCGAGGACAAAGAGCAGAGTAAAGAAACTCCTGGGACCGATGATAGCAAACTTGAGCGTGGAGGGCATGAAAGCCAAACCACGGATGGGTCGTCGCTTGCCTCAGGCCTCTGTGAACTATGCAGCCGACTTGATTTAATAAATTAGAGGATTGTGAATAGTATTCCGTTTGTTCGCAACATAAAATTCGATCTGGTAGAGAACAGTGACAGTACGTTCTATCAACTTCTTTGACCTTGGGAAACTGTCTGAACCACTATAAAATAAGATTTTGAAGAAACTGAGATTGATGCTAGTCAGAAACGTGGGTACCTATCTATTAATTACACCACTTGGACAAACAAAATTGATATATCACATCCAATCTTTCTTTTGGCGAATGGGGATAGACTCCACATCCACCCCAAACTTGGTAGCCTTGCTGTTTACCCAACTATCAAGGAAAGCCATGCGTTCATCCAGAGGTCGACCATAAACAGCAAATCTACACCAGTCGACGAGTTCTTGTAATTCTCTGCCAGCACGCAGAGCTTTGAGGTAATCCATGGATATTTTTCCGACATCCTGCAGATGATAAGATGAAACAAGAAATAAAATATGATATTGAAAATCATACTCACCTCCTCATACATATCCCGCCACATCCCATACTCGAACTTATCAGGGGAAAGCTGGAGGAGGTGGCTAGACCAATGGCTTGTGGGACTCTGCTGTCCATCATACCTTATCCATTCAGGATATGCTGCAGAGAGCAGAGCAGGAACAGCCACCGTGAACTCCCAGTCAATAATGCCAGTGATTTTAGCAGTGTCAGGATCAACCATGATATTGGAAACCGACGGGTCGAAGTGGTGTAGCTTCTTCGAACCAAGCAGACTTTGCCCATTATCATCTAATTCAAGGTATGCCTCGACCGAAGGGATAAAAGCAGGAACGAGAGCCTTAAGTTTGTGAAGGAGAGGAAGCTCAGGTCGTCCTTCAGCTTCAGCACCATACTCCTCATACATTGAATCCCAGAAGCGATGCGCAATAAAGGTGGCTGTTTGTTGTCGATAGGCGCGGGCACGAAGAACATCAGGATCATTGGTGGAAGACTCGTAATGGAGTTTGATGTCAAAGGCAGGAGGCATGGAATCGGAGTGGTCGTGTTGACGTTCTTCGACCAACATTGAGGAAAGCGGCTCAGGCGTAATGGTGTCAAAAATGCGTGCATAGACGGCCGCATACTGTCCAATCACAATTTTCTGAATCAAATGAGTATATGCGCACTTAAACACGCTGAAAAAAAGCCTGCGTACCATATTATCTTCCCGGACAGCCTTTTCCCAGCGGCTAACAACATAATGAAGCTCGCCACCAGGAATGCGCTCCATTAGGATCCAAGGAGCACCAATTACCTCTGGATTTGGCTCGATATGATAGACAAGTGGAACAGGAATGTCGTAGGCTTTCTGCAAAGTATCTAGGACAGTAGCGTGCTTGTGCAATCTACGCTGAACCTCGCGGGGATCTTCTTGATCAGGTCCAGCTCGTTCACAGCGCGCAATCATGCGCTCTCCTCCTTCGAGAACCACGTTGAATACCAACTAGGATTATTGTCAGTCGAGCTGGAAAAAAGTAAGCTCTAGTGGGCTAACCTTGTATACTCTCACTTGCTCCATTTCGATGACTGGCTTTCCTCGTAAACGAGAAATCTCAGAACGGAGAGTGTCTTGGCGGATCGAAGTAATATCGTAGGGCATCCTGAAGCTTGAAGTCTGAAGATGAGCATTGGGGAAGAAAGTTGAAAAAACCGGGATCGGCCGCTATCGTCAAATCCGTGCCATCAATTGTGGGTCCACCTTTCTTTCAATGGCATCGGAGTATGGTATCGCCGCGACACAGCCACATAGCTATCTGTGGGTGAAATGTGGCGAGTGTGGCCACAACTCGCTACTAGCCCACGCTTTTCTAGAGTAATTTCTGTTTTTCATAAGTACTGGACAAGATATTTTCTACAAAAAAGGCAACATTGAATAATGACCAGAATCAACTCTCAATCCTATGTTAAGAGAAGGATTGGAATGTTGCCATTCAAATTGCATAAAAGAAGCAGTAACTTCCGTCCATCATGTTGGACAGAATCAAGTTGGTTCATGTTATCTATTAGCTCAATATGGTACTCTAATTCGAAAATCAATAGTATTGACCTTGTATTGTCTTGTATTATGCATATATTACTTCTGACTTGTCATTTCAATTCTCCCAGTCCTGACTCCTTAGTCGCAATATCATTTCCTGATATGCCCCGGAAGTTTAGAAGGAAACGGAAGAATATCAGAATTAGAATTGAGCGCTAGTGGGACCCCGTCTTAGACGGAGCCGCGTATCTATCTATCTATCTATCTATCTAGGTTTAATAAATTATAAAGATGTGCCTTGCTTGTACTATTTTCGGTACTCAATAGTAAATGTGGTGACTACTATGTACACAACAAACATAGACTCTACATAGAGAGTTTTTTGCTATCCTCACATATAGTGCTGAGACCTTGCAGTGGTAGCTTACGCTAGACCTTATTTTATAATCGGAAAGGCAGTTTACATACTAACCAAACTTGAACTCAAAGTGACTCTGATTTACTACCATGCTTTCAAATTGTGGGTCGCCATTCCAGTGATGCTGGCAGCTTTAGATAAGTATGTAGTGTGCGCATCACAAAAGTGGATAGATCGTACCATATGTTATGTCCAATGGCAAGATCTCTCCTGCAGTCATGGTAAGATGGAAATTAGTCTTCAATGCCTCTCGCAATGTCCCTTGGGTCCACCGGATCCATTCGTAACTGAAGTGTCCTAATTGTGCGGCCATAGCAGGTTCTTCGTCGACGCCAATAGGCTCATTCAACATCTGGAGAACTAAACGCACTGACTTGTCGGGTAAAAAGCATCGAACTCACAAAGAAGACGAATGAAGCGCCTTTCGTGTCGAAAGCAGCTTGCAAGCGTTTTTGAGCTTGGTAACAGAGCGAGTCGGCGCTGACTACAGCGATGCATGATACTTCGGTTATCGCAGTATCTGCGTCGAGCGAAAGCAAGATAACACTAACGTCGTCCATGTGGGGGTTCGAGAAGGAGAATTAACATCACGTGGAACTCCGGGACCGACTACACGGCCCAGGCTAAAATGATTTTCACTCTAAAATGAGCGCCCGCTTGTTGTTTCTATAAACCCTTAGAACTAACATTCACGCAACGCCAAAGGATTACTTAGATCAGAATATGGATCCACTGTGGGTCTGTGGGTCAAATATTGTGCGTTGTTTCTTTATAGCCCACACCTCAATCTTCACTGTCAACTGGTTTAATTTCTCTTTGTTCTATCCTTTACTAACGCGATGACTGCGTTCATGATGTCGTATAAACAGGCATGAACATCACCTCGAACTCCAACATACATCCTCAAAACTAGTACAGGTGAGCTTAATCAAGCTCTCGGTTCTACTTGCCCTCTGATATGATTTGTGGAGCCATGTCGACCACCAACACTAACACCTCGCACACTTTGACTCTTGAACCCATTGTCATGTTCCCCCAGATTGTGCTAGGTCTCAACATCGTACGCCCCCTCCCCGGACCCCACCTTCCACTGGTTTCTTTGTTGCTTGTCTTATGAGCACCAAAGGCGAGGTCACCAAATTCCATGTTACCGACAGTAAAAACGGTGTATGGGAGTTCAAAGTAGCAGTCCCAAACACTTCATCAATCAATAGAAGCTCTGAGTTGGAAGCAATCTGTCATTGCTACTCACATCTACTCACATTTCTGGATTCAAAGTTTCCCCTAAGGTGAAATGCTATGGGAAGTGGAAAGATAAACCTTATGAAGCTAATTTGATATGGAGATTAGCATTATATCGCTTATCTAAAAATTTCCCAACACATTTCACTGTAGGAGAAACTCTGAACACGGTGATGTGAGTATCTGTGAGCATCAAATCAAGCTGAATGAGGTTCCTGCAGGGTGTAGATGAAAGAGGCAATTACATAGATGTTTGAATGCTGCTGGGTACCTCAAATGTACTGATGTAGATGAGCTAGAGAAGGAGGCCATCGCGATGGGACATGCTGCCCTGGAGGCTGGAACAAATCCTTAGTGCCGCGCTTCAAGTTGCACGGCAATCCCTGACTCTGAATATTTCTGTTACTTGAGCTGTGGAGGCTCCTCACTGACATCCTTCACTAGCAGTGGGCATCGTGATACATGCCAGAAGCCTAAGGTCAGCTGCTTTCAACCTCTTAGCTGGAACATTTTGTACCCAAACTTCGTACATCGTAAATCGAAAGTACAGTATAGTGCCGTGTAATAAATATCCAACATAGTATTGTTTTATGGAACAACCTCGCACATTCTCATAATCTAAATGATGACCAAGTTACCAAGTCAAATTAAATCTCACTCTCACCTACAAACGGTCCCTGTATCAACTCCATCTGCAACTTCAACCTCTCCGGATTCGACCCCCCTCCGTTCCTCAACATCTCATCTCGCTCCTCGCACGCCTTTTTCCCAGAAATCACCCGCCGATTCCCTTCTTCAGCAGCTAAGGCCACGGTTTTCTTGACGATATCAATGCGGAGGTGTTCGTATTGGGTTAAGGCGGTTTCGATATCGTTGGATGTGAGTTTGTCGGATGTGTGGAGGTTGGGGGATTTGCATAAGAGGCGAACGAGGTGGTAGCAGTCTTCTAGTGCCTTTTTTTTGCGGAGGTGGATGGGTCGTAAGAAGAAGGAAGAAAGAGAAAGAAAAAAAGAAAGAAACAAGTGAGAATCGGAACTCGAACTCGACTCAAAACATCATCCCTTACCTGATTCGCTCCCTGACCCATATGCGGCGACGTCGGATGTGCCGCGTCCCCAACCAACACACTCCTCCCCTTATGCCACGTATCCAACACCGGCCGATCATACAACCCATACCTCGTAATAAACGTCGTCCCCCGAATAACCTCCTCCACCCCATTCTCCCATCGGGAAACCGGTAATCCGTTTATCATGTCCCGAGTCTCGTCGGGGCTCTGCCGCTGCCAATCTTCCTTGGCCTCGTTTGGCGAGGGGAGGGTGGTGGCCCAGACCATCTCGGTGTCGCTTACGGGCATACCGATGAAATGCGCGCCGTCGCCGTAGATTTGGAACCCGGTTGGTTTAGAGTCGTTGCGGAGGGACTCTGGGGTCGGGGAGAATCCTCCAATCTGCCAGTGAGGGATAATAAATATTACACTGATTAGCTTTTACTTTATTTTGAGTACGAGGAATTTTGGAATTTTTTGGCTTACCTGAACAAGACCCATGAACCGTGGATCCTCCTTCCCAAACAACGCATTCCTCACCGCACTATGCAACCCATCACATCCTACCAACAAATCTCCCTCCGCCGTCGTCCCATCTTCGAACACCGCGCTCACCCTGTCTCCACTTTCATCGACACCCACAACCTTCTTCCCAAAATACACCGGTATCCCTCTCCCAACAGCCGAATCATACAGAAACTGGCAGTACAGTGTGCGTTTAACGACCAAAACCATCGGCCAGCCGAGTTTTTGGGATATGGGGGATACATCGCGTGAGCCGAGGATCTCTTGGGTGAGTTGGGAGCGGGTTATGAGTTGTTGGACTTGATGACCGAGGGAGATGGCGCCTTCGGCGAGTCCGAGGATGTTTAGGACTTTGAGTCTATGACGGGAGATCGTGGAAGTGCATGTTAGTATGGAGGAGGGGCAGGGGTTCAATGGAACGGGGAGGGGGGGGGCACATACGTTTGTGGTGAAACACCCAGAATCAAACCAGCGTTCTGGATCTCTGTGTGTCGTTCATAAATGACCGGGTCGAACCCTTTGTGCTTCAACAGCATCGCTAGAACAGGTCCTGTCAAACCAAGCATTAATTAATTAATACCCAAAAGAGATAAACGATGAATTCGCGAATCGCGAATCGCGAACTTGAGGGTGTGTTACATACCAGCGATTCCACATCCGATAATGATAACTGATTTTGATTTAGCCATAATTCGAGTCTACGGAAAAAAAAGATGCCGTGTGAGGTAGTTGCAGTGCGAGGATAGGGATGAAGGAGTCAAGTTGAAGTTGAACTCGTTAGAGGCATATGTTATATACCACCACCATTCCATTCCGATTGATCAATTTACGGTGCCGATCTTCCTCGTCATCTATGTGTAGAATGATACACGGCGAGAACTGTGTAGTGTGGGCTAATCTCCGGCTAAATATTTGTTTGATTGGCAGGCTTGCCGGAGGGACACGCAGGATCTGAGTAGTATGTACTTTACATATTCGGCAAGATCAACAAGGGCGATGAATTTCGGAGGAGAAGTTGTGTATGTATATATACATACACATATATACAGACTCACTAGGACCTTTGCAGTGAGAGTGTGTGTGAGGGTGAGAGAGAGTGAGAGAGAGTCAACGTCCAAGCCGCGTGAAGGGTTTGACAAATGGATGTTATGTAGTAAGTAGTAAGTAGTAGTAGTAGTAAGCGCCCCTTGATCAGTGATCAGTGATTTTGAGCGCTTATATGATTATCTGTCCCGTGACGTGACTGAGCTTGATCAACAACCCAACCCTTCACGGGTTTTATCGGCTGCTGGTACAAACTTTTGAGAATCTTGAGCAGAGTCGCTGTGCTGTGTTAATCCGCTCTCGGGCTTCCTTCCTAGATCCCCAATGCCGCCCCGCAAACCCAAACCCAAACCCCCCAACTCCCTCTCCCCTTCCCCCACCCCCAACTCCCCCACCACCCCCTCCTCCCCCTCCCCCTCCTCCCCCTCAACGCAATTCATCTCCCTCTCCGACGACGACATCAACCTCTGGGACGCCCTCTGCATCGTCGGCGAGTCCGCGAAGCACTTTAAAGTCAAATGGGCTGGGACGGACCCCGCGACGGGAAAGCCGTGGGCGGACAGCTGGGTGGCGAAACACGATGTGACGCCGGATATGGTGGGGGTGTGGAGGGAGGGACATCCGAAGGGGGGGAGTGGGAGTGGTGAGTCTTTTTTTTGAGTTTGAGTTGGGGTTGTTCTGATTGGGTTGGTTGGTTTAGTGTCGACTTCAGGTAGACGGGGGTCGAAACAACAGTCTACGACGACGACGACGAGGACGGCTAGTAAAAGTAGAAGTACAGCTACAGCTAAACCTCGTGGTGTATCCTCCGTCTCCACCACAAATTCCAACTCCAACTCCAACAACTCCAAATCAACAAACTCCAAATTCACCACAAACTCAAACTCCACCACAAACCCAAACTCAAACTCCAACTCCAACTCCAAATCCCCCTCGAAATACATCTCCCGTCCCCTCTCTGATATCTCCAAACGCGAATTCTTATTCGACGGTGGGGTGTACGACGAGCCGCCGTCTGCTGGGCCTTCCAAGTTACCACATCCACCTCCACTGCAACGACCGCAACCGCAACATCCACCGCAACCTCCACGTCTACCGCAGCAGCAGCAGCAGCGGTCTAAGAAACGTAAACGCCTACACTCCCACTCCCCAGAACCCGAACCCGAACCAGAACCAGTCGAAATGGAAATGGACCTGGACTTGGACCCTGGAATGGACGAATCAGTGTCGATGTCGATGCGGACCGCGCGTCCACCTCCTCCGAAGAAGAGGCAGAAGATACAGAGGAGAGAGGAGAGAGAGGAGATGCAGATAAGACAGAAGAAAGAGATAAAACAGAAGAGAGAGGAGAAAGAGATAAAACAGAAGATAAAACAGGAGAAGGCGAAAGCGAAAGGAAAAGGAAAAACAAAAGCCAAGTCGAGAGTGGTATCCGATTCTGAAGAAGAAGAAGTTTCCGATGAACACGACGACGAGGAGGAGGACGAGGACGAGGAGGAGATTATTTCCACTTTGATGATACCCCCGTCGACTACTTTGATGCCCACGTCGACAACAACGTCGGGGGTTCGTCAGACTCGGGTTAAACCTCGCACCGATACCCCCTCGACCCCCCGACCGAAGTTCAACAGCGGGTATGTGTTGATCGCGTCTACGACTAAGACGACGACGAAGGAGACGAAAGGGAAAGAGAAAGAGAGAGAGAAAGACGATGATATCGATACCGCGAAACAAACGAGGAAACGCTCTTCGGATAAGAACAAGAACAAGGACAAGAACAAGGATAAGAATAAGGATAAGAATAAGGACAAGGATAAGGATTTTAAAAATAAACACGGTGTTGATGATTCCGGTGAGTTTACACCTTACCATACCACATCCCCCTTCGTCCTTCGCCCTTCTCACATTCTCTCTCTTTTTCACTCTTCTCACACTCTCACACACATTCTCTTTCGCCCTCCTCACACTCTCTCACACACACTCTCTCTCGCTCTCGTTCGCCCTCCTCACTCTCACATTTTCTCACACTCACTCACACTCACTTTTTTTCTTTTCACTCCTTAGACATAGAAACGCACACAGAGGAGATGCTCAAATCCCAAAGAGCGCGTATGCGGCGGCAGGTGTCGTATAAGAGTACTGCTACTGCTACTTCTGGTGGGGGTGGTGGTGGTGCTTCTGGGGGTGGGGGTGCTACTTCTGCTACTGGGGGTGCTGGTGGAGGTGGTGCTGCGTCTGATTCTAAGACTAGTGCTACTATTACTGCTCCTGCTACCACCACAACCACCACCGCTCGGGCACAACAACAACAACAACAACAACAACGGACGACGGAAAGGAAACACAAAGCGAAGAATTTCAAACATCTTTATTCATCCTCCTCCTCTTCCTCTTCCTCTTCCTCTTCGGAGACCAATCCTCTATTATCCCCTGAGGAGAATCCCGACCTCCTCCCCTCCGATCTCCACGATCCCGACGACCCCCACGACCCCGACGACCCCGCCGATAACGACGATCCGCACGATCCCGATGGTCCGCACGATCCGCACGATCCTCACGATCCCGACGCTCCAGAGTACCCCGCGTACCGCACCACCGCGCGGCAACGCATGGGTGGAGGTTGGAAGGTGGAGGTTGGAGGCAAAGGGGAAGGCACAGGCAAGGACGGGGACGAGGACGAGGACGAGGATGACGAGGGAAATAAGGGAGAGAAGGGGAAGGGGAAGGAAGAGAAGGGAGAGAACGGCAAGGGAAAGGAAAAGAACAAGGGAAAAGAAAAAGAAAAACCTGTCGTCCAAACAATGACAACGCGTAAAAAGAAACCGTACGCGAAGAAGACTGCTGCTGGGACTGGGATTGGGAGTGGGAGTGGGAGTGTCAATCTTAATTCTGCTTCTGCTTCGGGTCCTGGTTTTGGTTCTGGTTCCAATCTCAATTCTGCTTTTGCTTCGGGTCCTGCTTTTGCTTTTGCTTTGGGCTCTGGTCCTGCTTCCGGCTCTGGTCCTACTTCCAAATTCCCAAAAACCCCCAGTTTCATACTCAACCCCGACTCCCCCTTAGCTCAGATCAACACGACCCAGATCAATACGACCAACATCAATACGACCAACATCAATACGACCAACATCAATACGACCAACATCAGTACGACCAACATCAATACGACCAAGACGAATACGAGTCCCCGCTCGTCTTCGACCTCGAAACGCCCCGTGGTATCAGGTGCAGTAGCTGTAGCTGCTGCTATTAATTCTGCATCGTCGAAGTCGTCGTTGTTGTCGTTGTCGTTGTCGTCGTTGTCGAAGTCGGCACTCCCCCATCAACCCCATCAGCCCCCTCTCCAACTCCACCCCCAACCCCATCTCCACCCCGTCAATTCCAAACCCATCAACCTCAACCTCAACCTCGACGACAACGTCAACGACAACGTCAACCTCAACACCACCCCCCTCCGTCCCACTTCCCCGATATTATCCCCCGGTGCCCTCGCGAGGCTGGAGGAGTTTGATCGGTTCGTTGCTGGGTTGGGGGACGACGGATTTGGTGCTACTGCTGTTGATGGTGTTACTGCTGTTATTGATGGGGGTGTGGATGCGGATGCGGATGTACACGGGGATGCTGATGCGGAAAAAAGGAGCAAAGATCCTCTTCCTCTTCCACACCCTCCTGCTCCTCCTCCCCACCATAAAACCGCCGCCGCAGACTACAGCGCGGACGACCTATCCATCGTCCCGGAGACGGAGGCGGGGGGTTCACAGTCGATTTCGGTTTCGATGTCTCAGGCTCTGTCGTTGTCTCAGTCGCAGGAGTTATCGCAGGCTCAGGAGTTATCGCAGTCTCAGTCCCAGTCGCAGGCTCAGCCGTTGTCGCAGTCTCAGCCGTTATCTGAGTCACACGTTGCACGGCTCGGACAGAGTCCGTCGGTTCCCCTTCTTCCCCTTCTTCCTCCTACTCCTCCTACTCCTCCTATTCCTCCTATTCCTCCTCGTACACGTTCTGCTTCGGGTTCACCAATCAAAAACGGAATGAAACCGAAACCGAAACCGAACCCTCTGGGGAGTACGAGTGCGAATTCCAAAGCGAACCTGGATATGGATATGGAAATTGATCCTTCACCTCCTTCTCCCCCTCCCCATTCCCATTCCCCTGCCCCCACTCCCCTCAATCCTCCCCCCAATCCTCCCGTTCCCGTTCCCGTTCCAGGTCCCCCTCCAACCCCACCAAATCCCCTCAAACCACACACCCTCCAACCCCGGAAACTGAAACCCCTCGGTCCGATCCCCGTGGTGACTCCGTCGAGGTTTTATCCGCATCTTGGTTCTCGTCCTTCTCGTCGTTCTGGGTCTGGTTCGGGTTCGGGTTCGGGGTCTCGTGAGGGGGAGGGTGAAAAGGAGGGGGAGGGTGAGAGGGAGGGTGAGAGGGAGGGGAAGGGTGAAAGGGAAAGGGAGAGGGAGGGGTCTGCTGGAGACGATACGATCGAGACGTGGCCGTCGCCTGTGAAACCTGGGAAACCTGAACCTAGGACACCTGGGAAGTCTGGGAAGTCTGGGAAACCTGAACTTGTGAAACCTGGGAAGTCTGGGAAGGGATCCTTGGTCTCCGCTACACTACAAACGGCGAAAGGGAAGGATAAAGAGGTGGGTGTTGTGTTATTTGCTTTGTTTTTTGAGTGCCTTTTTTGCGTACTTTCTTTCTTTTTGTTTTTGCGTGCTTTGATTTTTTTCGATTTTTTTTTTGCTTGGCTTGGTGATTTTCAAAAGATTTTTTTTTGGCTTTTTTTTTGGTTTTGCTTTGGCGTCCTCTCTTTTTTCAAAAGATTTTTTGAATTCTTTTTTTGGCTTGCTTTGCTTTGCCTTGCCTTGCTTATGGAGTATCACATTACACACACACATACACATGCATACATACATACACGTACATACGTACTCAATTTAACTTTCACATCCCCGTCCACGTCCATTTTTCAACAATTCACATCCAAACACGATTTTTCTAAAACAACTCTTTTCGCAGCTTCTTCCTCTCATGGACACCACAAACCCAACGGATGCTGTTCGTTCCCCTCTTCTCGGTCCTTCCCCGAAAATCACCTCCAATTCTCCCAACTCCCCCAACCCCCCCAATTACCCCACCACCTCCAACACCACCAATTCTCCCAACCCCCTCTCCCTCTCCCCTTCTCCTAACCCCCCCAACCCCCTCTCCCTCTCCCTCTCCCTCTCCCCCACCACCCCAAAAACCAATCCCCCCTCCCCTAATAACCCCACCACCCTCAACTCCCCCACCCCCCCAAAAACCACCTCCCATCCCACCACCACCCTCTCCCTCTCCCAATCCAGCGACGCCCTCTCTTACCAAGTCCGCACCCGGGGCGCCGAGATGGCCGAGGCACGCCGGAGGGAGCGAAGGCTGGAGTTGGGGATGGGTGAGGAGGCGCCGAGGAGGAGGTTGGAGGAGATTATTAGTAGGGGAGGTGGGGGTGGGGGTAAGGAAGGGGGTAAGAGTGTAAATGCGGATACGAATGCAAGTGTAAATGCGGAGGCGAATACGAATACGAATAGTGCTGGTGAAGCCAAGAATCGGTTCGAAGATGGACCCGTGGATAGGGATAGGGATAGGGATAGGGACAGAGATGGGAAGGGAAGAAGAAAGGGGGTTTGGTCGTCGTTTGGGTTTGATGATGACGAAGAGGAACAGGAGGAGTATGGCGATGAGCGGGAAGATCTGGAAGAAGGAGAGGAGGAGGAGAGAGATTCTATGCAACTGAGAGTGTCTAGTCCCGCGAAGCCTATGCTTATGCCTGTGCCTGGGCCTGGGCCTGTGCATATGGATACGGATGAAATGGACATCGAAATGGAAATGGATGCGGACGTAGATATGAATATGGATGTGGATGCGGATATGGATGCGGATATGGAGGTAGAGGAAGGTGAGATCCGTGAAGAGGATACCCAGGGGTCGAGGAGAGGGGGTGGGAGTGGGGATGGTGTTGGTGTTGGTGGTGGTGGTGGAGTGAAAGGTGGGGAAGGTGTGAAAGGTGGTGGGGGGAAAGGTGGTGGTGGTGGGAAAGGTGGTGGTGGGGAAGGTACGAATGGTTTTCACGTCTAGGGGGGTTGGTATTTCGATGTACTGATCTTTGATTGTGGTGTAGAACGAGGACAAGAGCGGGAGCAACAACAACAGCACAACGCAGATACCAACACGGCTAAACAGCACAACGCAGGCGTAGACCCAACCCCAATCCCAATCCCAATCCCAGACCCAATCCCAGACAAAGACCCAGAAGCAGACAAAGACACCCATCAAAGCATAGACGACGACGCTGATTTCGACGGGGTAATTACATAATTCCTTCATTAACTCTGGGTTTTGGGTTTATACTGATTTGTTTCTCTTTCTCCTTCCTTTTCCTCTTTTTCCTATACTCTTCTTCCCCGACTCCCTTGCTCTGTCCCTATACTCCCCTTCTCCCTTCCCTACACCTCCTCCTCCTCTCCTCCTCCTCCTCCTCTTTCTCCTCCTCCTCCTCCTCCTCCCCCTCCTCCTCCTCCTCTTCCTCCTCCTCCTCCTCATTCCCATCGTTAGAGCAACTTCGAACTCAGATACCCCGACAGTCCCGCAGATCCGCAACCGCAACCGCCGCTGTCGTCCAAGAACGACGAGTTTTCTACTTCGATTGAGAGTACGAATGTGGATGTGGATAAGGATGTGGGTGTGGATGTGGATAAGGATGTGGATAAGGATGTAGATAGTGCGAATGTGGATAAGGATGTGGATGTGGATGTGGATAAGGATAAGGATAAGGATGTGGATAAGGATGTGGATAAGGATGTGGATAAGGATGTGGATGTGGATAAGGATACGAAGGCGGATAAGGATGATGTGGATAAGGATGTGGATGATGTGGTATGTTTATCTGCTTTGGTTCTTCGTTTGTTCTTTACTTCATTACTTCGTAAATTCATGAACTTATGAACTATGCTTATGGTTCCCTTTCTTTCTTCCCTTCCTCTCCCCTCATTCCTCTCTTACTTCTTTCCTTCCTTCCTCTCCCTTCCTTCCTCTCCTCTCTTTCTTCATCAACTTATCAACTTATAACCTTAAAAACTCCTGATCGTGGATATAACATAAACTCATCCTTCGTGCACAAACCACTACAGAACCCCCCACATCCATCGGAGGACGAGGCGTCTTCCCTCTTGCTGCAAGGGCAGCAGCAGCAGCGACAAGAACAACGAAAAGAACGACAAGAACAGCAAGAACGAAAAGAACGACAGCAGCAGGAGCAAAGCGAACAAAGCGAACTCGAGGCCCTGCGGAGGGAGAGGGACACATGGATCAAAGAAAAAGAAACTTTACAAGAAGAATTACAGAAGACTATTGCCGAATCGGCCTCTGCTCTAGCTGCTAAGGATGTTTTATATGCTGAATTACGGGTCGAGTTCGAACAGAAAACGCACTCTCTGGAGGACGAAAAACACTCTCTCGAACAAGAAAAGCACTCTCTCGAACAACAAAACCAATCCCTCCAATCAACCCTCCTCACCACCCAATCCGACCGCGACTTCTTCCACACCCAATACACCACCGCCTCCTCCTACACCACCTCTATCCACTCCCAAAATCTCCTCCTCCTCCAACGCGCCGAGATCGCCGAGTCCCAATCCACCCGCGGGGTCGCGGAGGTGAAAGAGGTGTATGGGGAGAGACTGAGGAGGGCAGAGGAGGAAGTGAGGGCGTTTTCGAGAGTGGTGGATTTTATGATGCGGAAGGATGAGAAGACGGAGGGGGTGAGGAGGGAGGCGGGGGAGGCGCCGGAGTTGAGGGCGAGGTGTGGGGAGTTGGAGGGGGAGAGGGGGAGGTTGGAGGATAGGATCGGACAGTTGGAGAGGGAGAGAGAAGAGAGGGATGATAAAGTCGTACATCTGGAAGATAAAATCCTACACTTGGAAAGAGAAAGAGAACAGAGGGAAGAAGAGTGGAGGAGGGAAGTTGGGAAGATTAAACAGAGGATCGGGATCGGGATCGGGATTGGGGGTGGGATTGGGGGTGGGATTGGGGGTGGGGGTGATGTTGGTATGGGGGGTGGGATTGGTATGGGGGGTGATGGAGATATGCATATGGGGGGTGTCGGTGATGGGTTGATTCATTATCATGATCATGAGCATGAGCGTGATCGTGATTATATTCAGAGTGGGAGTGGTGATTCTGTTGCCCCTGTCGACTCCGCTGCTGGTCCTGCTGGTTTCAGTGTTAGTCCTGGCCCTGCTCCTGGCTCTGCTCCTAGTTCCGGTCCTACTCCTGGCCCTGCCGGCCCTAGTTCCACCCCTGCCCCTGCCCCCTCATCCACCACAAACCCAGACCCGAACCAAAAAGTGTTCAGATGCGAATGGAGAGAAGACGATGGGCCGTGTTTGTTCATTTGCGAGACGCGAAAGGTGTGTGCCTTGGTCCTCCCTGCCTCTTTTCGATTACCCCTTCGTCCCTTCCTCCGTCCTCCCTCCGTCCTTCCCTCCTCCCTCCCACTCATCCTTGTTGTTGTCCACTTATTCTTGTCCACTTATTCTTGTTCCCACTCACACTCACTCACTCACTCACTCTCTCTCTCTCTCTCTCACTCCACAGGAATTAGAAAACCACATGATCTACGGAGGACATATCTAGTCCGTCGTGGGGGTGTTGTAGGAACATCGTTTGAGGGGGTTGGAGGGTTTGGGGGGCCGGGGGGTTTCCTTTCTTTGCTTTTCTGCCTTTGTTTTTTGCTTTTGATTTGGCTTTCGATTTGCTTTGATTTCTTTTTCGTTGCTTTGCCTTTGGCTTCGCCTCCGATCTTCGATTTTCTTTCCTTCTTGCTACTTTGTTCCGACGATCCACATTACCTGATTCCGAGTCCCCGAGTCCCTGAGTACACTCTTCTGTATATACGCATATACTCACTGTGCCAGATGCCAGTTCTAGTATGCTAGTAGTGTAGTGTAGTATGCTAGTATGCTAGTAGTGTAGTAGTGTATACCTGTAATTATTGCACACACACCTTGTGTGATGTCGGCTCGCTCCGAGTCTGTGTAAGTCTGTTTTCGAAAGGAATGAAATGAAATGGAATGAGTCGCTAGGTAGGTAGTGGTTGTAGATGCTGCGATGGATGCTACGATGGTGTTTGTTGGGATCTGTTGGGATATTACGATGGTGTTTGTTGGGATATTCGACCCTATTCACTGGGATATTCGACCCTATTCATTGGGGTATTCAACCCCTTATGCTTTCACCCCCTTATGCTTTCACCCCCTTGAAAGCCTTTAGAGTCACTTACTTGCACATGTAAATCTATCATGTAAATCATTTTGTGTGATAAAATTGGTAGGGACTCGGAACCGTCAAAGCCAACGAACGTTTTCTTCACATGGGAGAAATCGAGCCGAGACGGGCGTGACTACATAGTCTATACACAGCTAACTTATCATACTCAGAGGTGAGTCTGGTGACGGGTCCAGATCATTAGGAGTGTCAAGACTTGGACATTGGGAGCTGGAACTGGTATCCACAACCGTTTATCTGCTACTCGTGAGTCATAACATCATATGCTGCAGCGAAATCAAGCCTTGGCACAAGCTGGCACAAGTTACAACAAAAAATCCTCACTGTTCAGTACTTCAGTATCTCAGTATCTCAGTTCTCCTACTGCTATTGACGGTACTGCTATCGACGGTACTGCTATCGACGCTACTGCTATCGACGGTCAAAACACCGGGGGAACAGAGTGAGAACACGCGATTCAAGGAGGAGATTCAAGTGCAACAAACTAATCGCAGCAAAAAAAAAAAATTTCAACCATCTGGATCCGAGTCCTCCGATGTTATTTTTCCTGTTTTCTTCGATAAATCAAGAGAATTGGTATACTATATGGTGGCGCCTGGTGGCGCTCAAAGTCAGGGTGGATAGGCATGGACCAGGATTGTGACCCACAATTTGCCAAACAACGCCAAATTGGCCGAGTTACAATCCCTCTTTTTTTCACCATGAAATATGTCCGTGCTGATGTCTTCTGCGTTGGATATCGTGTCTCTTGTCTTGGACGAGGTAACTGTCCATACGGATCTTGAGCCTCAGGTTTACGAGGAATGGTCTACCACTACAAACAAAGATATGCCATGCACGTCTTTAATTGAAAACGCATGCTGTCTTCTTGACGGATCGAAATCCCAACCGATAATTGCAAGAGCTCGCAAACCATTCGATATAAATAACGCTGTTGGTCTAAAGTCTCATTTTTTTCCCCGTTTTCCGATCTTAATTGTCGTATCGCAGGTCCTGGAATTGCATCTAAGCGACTGCGTTGTCTTTGTGCGCAAATTGTCCCATCAATCATCGACATCTAATGACTTGATTGCGCGCTGGTTCAAAGGGAGATGTGTCTCTGAAATCTCTGTGCTGCGTTGGCTCGAGCTCGTTGCTCCTGATTTGCCTGTTCCTCGCGTTCTAGCCGTCAGTGAGACCAAGGAATTGAGTGTAACGAGTGTTGTGCCGGGGCTCGACGCTATGCACGCCTACCCTCGCCTAGACGCTTTAGCAAAGGTCAGTCCCATCTGCTTCCTCCGTTGGTACACTCACTTACGTCGTGTGTAGGAACGTTCGGTGACATCTTATGCTCAGTTCGCTGTACGCATGTTCCGGATACCAGTTCCCCAACGATTTGGTACTCCTCACGACTTGGACGGACAAAGTCTACTTCTCGGCCCACATATCGGATTCTCCCCCGAACATTGCGTTGACGTTTCTGAATCCACCGATTTACAGTCCTTTTTCGATGGCCTCATCGACAGTCGGCTTTTGCGTTCCTCTATATATCATCACAAATCTGATCCATCCAGTCATTCACTGTTAAGTTTCCGTTTAACGAGATTACGCGAAGGGATTCAGCCACTCATCGCTGAAGTGATAAAAGACCCGATTCTGTCTCGCTTTGTTCTCACGCATCAAGATACTCGGAGCAATAACTTGATCCTCGAACCTGTATCTGGTGAAATATCCGGTGCTGTCGATTGGGAATACTGTGGATGCCTTCCAGCTGCAATGGCTGCTCAGTATCCTGAATGGATACGACCCCCGATCGACGAGTCGCTGCAATACAGAAATCCCAAGGATACGTTCTTGCACTATACATTCGAACTCAAAGCGGAGAGGGAACGACTCTGTGATTTGTATGAAGAGGTGAGTTCTTTTTTTTTGCTCTCGTCAATCAACGTGAATGGTTGGTTCTTCTAACACAATAAAAATAAAACCAATTTCGCAGTGCGTCAAGGGACTAGACCAGGAGTTTTGGAATTGTCTTGTGCTTGGCACTAGATTACGCGACGCGTATACCTGGATAGCTTTATCCAATGGTGACCTGGATGGCGAAGCCATGGATAGATGGGTGACGGATCATTTGTTCGGGTCTACCGCTAACCACCGATGTACTTGAACTATACCCTTTCCCTAACTGTGTTACATCTTTAACATACTATAAGTACATATCTACATACGATATCATTGGATTCAGAATTTGTAGCCGGTCACGCATCGCGGGCCCATGCCCATGGACTCCTCCCAACGCCTTGATTTCCCGCAATCTCCTCAAACTCCCTAGCACGGGTATTCGAAGCGTCGATCTGGTGGCTTTCTCCTCCTATCCGTTCTCCGCATTCCGGGCTAGTACAAAGCAGGAGTCATTAGTCAGAATTTACCAAATGAATACTATGGCAGGTTTCACGAATAATCTAGAGTGAGTATACACACCATACACTGGCTTCCATCGCACCACCACACTTTTATATACACTGATGTCAGTTTCAGCAAAGTAGAAGAGTCGTACGGCACTTACCTCAGTGATCACAAAGGGATGTCCGTTCGGGCAGTTATAAAAATGACCGCGGTGTGTGAATCCGAAAGACTTGACGATCTCTTCCCTCTCCTGCATCGACACGGCCTGGTACACACTATCTTGGATAATATGCTTCTCTAGCTCCTTAAATTCATCCAAGCAGCGATTCATTCGAATCCGACAATGCTCGTTAAACCAAGCCCGCTCTTCCCGAAGCTCCTGGAAGGTCTTCGCGGGTCGACTGCGCATGTACGCGATCTCAGCTTTCTCGAGGAACACACGCATAGTAACAGTATGTGTCTGTATCTCCTGCCGCAGCATATCCTTCCATTCCCCCGAGTTCTCTGCGGGTACTCCAATCGCCTTCTCAGCTCGTTTTTGCATAATTGCAAACCGGACCCGTTCGAATTCCGAACACATCAACAGCGCTGTGGAACGAGCGGCTAGTCGGGGGGATGAGGAGTTTTCTGCGATGGAGATTGCTTTTCGGCAGTCTTCCTCGCAGGATTGATATAGGAAATCTGTGAAAGAGGCCCAGAGACGGCGGAGCTTGCGTTGTTCCTCATCGTTCGATGTCAAGGGGAGGTTATCCACTCGAGTTCGTGCTAGGCTTCCTAACATGAATCTGAGCTCGACGGAAAGGAGGAGGGCTTCGATTTGGTATCGCCGATCAGCCTTGTGCGGAGGTTGTCCGATCTTTTTGTTGACGTTCTGGAAAGCCAGGCTCTGGGGATTTGTGCTGTTAGTGTCTATACTTGGGTCTGAAGCGAGTTCGGACAGTTCAAGGTGATAGAGCGTGACGAGTGCGGCTTCGTAGGCACGTACATGAGCCGATCGTGTATTCACCACGCGGGCGACTGTCATGTAAACTCCGTGAAAAGTTTCGATGGAATCGAACCAGGCTTTGGCTTCTCCTGCTGGTATCCCATGGTCCTTGGTCATCGCAATCTTCGTGAGTAAAGCCGCTGGTAATATCTCGTTTTCCTTGCTGCCACTATGCAAAGTCGCTCCTCGTCTAGCTTCGATTGTTTCAACATCCGGTAACACATTCTCAGCTGGCTCGTACTTCATGTCTTTCATAGAAGTTTCTAGACCATCCATCCGGGAGCGGAAGATCTGGATCGTCGGACTGACATCGTTAAGTGCTTTAGCTAAATTGCTAGCCACATTCTGCTCCAGGATATCCAAGTTCGCCCGCTTGGTGACTCGACCATATCTACGAGAAGTTATCGGGCTCCTACATGTAGGACACGTCGGTGGCTGCTGATATTTAGTCGGTGGAGCTTTCATAGACAGGTACTGATCAAGCTGGTCGACTTCATAGAAGTCCTTCATATGACAGTGGCCGTCGAGGGTCTCTGCGGTAAAGATATGGCCACAATCTAAGGTGATCAATCGCTCGCTAAAGTCGTCTGAATCCAGGTCGATCTCCGCCAGCGTTCGCTGCATCAAGAAATCGACAATATCTTGTCTTTCACCTTCGGGAATGCACTTCACGCATTTTTGCTTCGAGCATTCTTCGCCGCATACTGATTTTTTGTGATAGATTTAGTAAATGCTATCATACTAAGTCTAGGAAATGGAACGCACCGGAGTTACAACGATGTCCGCAATCCAGGGTATTCTGACATGGCAAGTCGCAAGGAAGTCGAGCACAGATCTAGATGTTGTTCATAATTAGATGAAGCTCGAACTTCTCAAGGATAGATTGACGTACGGCTCCGCAAGTCACTGGGCAGGAAGAATGTGGACAGATCCACTCGCAAGGCTCTGCACACGGCGCACATGCCTCTCCACACGGCCTCATGCATTTATGATGGCCACATCTCTGTCTGCATTGCTGATTGCAGAATGTAGTGCACTCGTGGTCCTGAGAGCAGGTCTGGTCACACAAATGCTGGCAATACAATTCGCGTTTACAACTGTGTTCTTTATGAGACGAGCGTTGTATCAGGCCAACCTCCTCCGAGTTCGGCTTGGATTTTTCTTGACAGTCTGAGCAGGATGACTTGCATGTGTTTCCGCAGCAGGGTGTTATCCCACCACACACTTTGGTGCAGCGGAAGGATTCGGGCGGCATCGAGCAGTCCATGACAGCAGAGTGTTCGCACTTCACAAGCTTCTTCTCTACTCGCTCACTGCAATACACAGACTTCAAATTATCGTATTCGAAGCTGTTCATGGTCCGTTTACCACCGCACGACAAGATGAATGTGTAAAGGACGTACCAAGTGATTGAAGCAACACGATGTCCACATGGAAGCTCCACGTTATCCATTGGAAACGTACATTCGCCGCAAGAATCTGAACAAAACTTGTTGCAGGGATGGGATCGTGGACACGGTGTCCGGAGGCAAGGCATCATACATTTTGTACTACGATGATTGTCCCGATCCAAATGACACTGAGGAAAAAGTGATTGAAGCAAGACTGTGGCACGAATTTTTTGTCTTAAGAAACTCACCACCGAAGGACAGACATGCCCACAGTCCATTCGATAGCCGCAGTTAAGAAGACATCCCCCTTTGAGTTGAATATTATATCTAGCTTCACAGAAAGAACATGGAGTTTATGTACCTTCAGGCGAATGACGACGGAGCTGCTCGGGTGTGGTGATAATATTTTGCTGTTCAGGATGTCGAGGGCACACAATTGGAAAACCAAAGCCGATTTGCCCTGCTTGCTCCATTCCATCAATAATCGTACGCCAAGTCTCATTCTGGCGCAAATTAGAAGCATTTCCCATCACATACAAGCCGTGTTGTGCACGAGACAGGGCGACATTGATGCGATTAACAGACTACATGGGTCCAGTTTTTGGAGAGAAAGTCAGTTCGGTTGATACGTAAAGGTGAAAATTGATCTACCTTCAAAAATCCTATCGGAGCGCCCACTCCTTCGAATGAACCAGAGTTTCGAACGAGAGACACAATAACAATCTTTGCTTCCTCTCCTTGAAATATGTCTACTGTTCCCAATCGAATCTGAAAAGGATGTTAATGAGTTGATTCATAGAGACTTAAGGTCCGGACATTGTAAAAGGGAATACGAACGTGACTAGTAACAGAGACTTGCTCAATAGTATTTTCATCCTCCATCCCTTGTCGCACTAGCTGCTCTTCATCCCGCTCGTCGAGGGCCACTGTTACTTTCAGGTTCTTCAAGGCTGCCTTCACCTTTTGAAGCTGTCCAAGATAAGCACACAGAACTGCGATGTCACCAGGAGCATTGTAGCATTCTTGTTTCAGGAAGTACATAACAAGCTCTACAATCATGGTGACCTATTGCGTCGTGTGAGGAATCGGATCAGATACGTTCGTTTTTGGAGAAGTTAGAAACTGACCTCGAAAGAGTTCGATTTTGAAACCGATGCTTCTTCTCCACCACCGTTTTCTTTGTTCATGTGGCTGAGGAAAAAGACATCCTTCTGCATACCTTGTACTGGTGCATATCGAGTCACTTGAAGATGGTCCTCGAGATTCGGATATAAAATTGTTCTGGATTCATATATGAGGAAAGCTCAGGCAGTGAAATGTTAAAAACTCGCCTAATATGTGCGGAAATAGTTGGCCTCATACGTCTCTGCACATTGATCTGGGACATCGGCAACCCAGTGTCAGATAATCGCTCCATAAGAGAGCGATCAAACTTGAACAAGGTCTTTCCACGTTCACTATCCATAGACAGATCTGTAGGAACGATGGTTGAGCCGATTTGATTAATTCAATCTCATGTACACACCATAGTTTGTAATATTTGGTCGAAGTTGTTGAGGGTCCCCGATGCATATCAAATGTTGGACTATATCAGAAAAACATGAGCATCCTTCAGGAGAAATATAAAAGAGGACAAGGTTGACCAGATGGAACAAGTGATGCCAGAATATGAGCTTCGAGAACTTGACCTGCTTCTTCGACAACAAGCACTTTTGGAGCAACTGTCTGCACAATTTTATCAAACGTTTGGAATAGTTCAATACTAAAAAGTACTCACCGTAAGGAGGGAGGTGAGCTTAGCCGCACCATTTGTAGTGCAACCAATCAAGTCAACCGACGTAAGCAATCGTCGGCGATTCTATTCAAAAAATTGTATGAGCTTGAAGACTAACATCAAGCATGTTTGCCTACCTCATCTTTCACATCATTAAACCGTTGACATGCTTCCTCATAATCCTGTCTAGCATCCTTATACTCATCCAAGCATGTCTCATACGCATTTCGTCTCATCTCATCTTCCCAGAATGACGCCAGCATCAGCCTTTCTTCAAAAGACATTGTCCAGACATTGTCTATGCCAACGAGTTCCGAAATCAAGCGACAACTCTCAGGCACACTTGGTACCTGATCACCGAAACCAAGCTTTCCAAAAAATGTGCTCATACGAGACCTGTATTCTTCGGCGATAGCCAAGGCATCATCTGTACTCACAGTGTGCACAACAGTTTGAACCTCTTTCTTCTTCTTCTTATTCTGCCTTCCACTAACTTTGGGTTGCGTAGTACTCATATGAATGGGACCCAAATTTGGAGGTCGAATGAACTCTAGATCTTGACCCAACTTCCAAAATCCATATATGGTTTCTGCAATCTGTTTGTCCTCCGAGCGCCGTTTCTTGTGAGATACCTGAGTCCACTGTCCACTTTCATGAGTGGGGGTGTGCAGACTTTCAAAGAGTTGTGCAATCCAAAATGGAGGTCCGTGAATCCATTCAGACTGCGAAGGATATGATTTACGAAGATGCTCAGTAATTCCATCGAATGTGACCTCAGGAATTTGTATTCTGTCGAGGATTGTCTTCATCTGTTCCTCTAATTTTTTCAGGGATGCATACTCCCTGCCTACCGTCCGATCTAGTGCTTGTTTCTCGGAAAAAGTCTTCTCGAGCTTGTCGAGAGTGTATTCCGCAATACGTTCATTAGACGACCGAGACCCCAATCTAACGAAGTTTGAGGTGATGTCAGCATCGAGAAGTGAAAGAAGCATATGGTCAAGTGCATGGTTCGTGAACGCAATCAGAACCACGGGGCTGATCTTATTCTTGAACAGTACACGCAGTATTTCTTTTCCTGTAAAACTCTGGAAGACAACCGTTAGGCACAATGCAAGAGCCTAGGCAAACACAGAGTTTACCTTTCCAGTACCAGGTGGACTGGAACATAGATTCAGTCAGATTGACTCATAGACAGTACCACCGTACCTACCCTTGAATCAAAGCCACTTCTCGAGTTAGAGCGTCTACCATTGCATCCGCCTGACTGGCGTCTAAGATGCTTGAAAGTTTCAGCTCAAAACGAGCACGACGGATAGATGCTTCATCTGTAGGCTTCATTGGATGAATATACTCTCCGGGACGAGCTAGGCAGTCCAAATGAAACATAAACCTTGGTGACGTTGCAAATTTCGGAGGATGAAGCTGCATTTTGTCCAAATTCCCAGATTGGGAGAGGTAACTTTTGAACGGTATTGAAGTTGGCTCTACGGACTGCAGCGTATCCAAAAACGGACGAACGGATTCAAACATGATACTGTTGTCAATTAAAATTGCGAATTGAGATGCATTGACGGTCGCCTTGTCACGTCTCAATGCCATGAGTTCAACTTGCGGCTCCACAAAACTAACTCGAATTTCTACCCGCGACTCGTGATATTTGGAAGAGTCCACAAGCTCGGTGTTAGAAGAAGCTACAGTTCCCAGGTAGATGTCCAGCCGATTGTTGATGACAAGAAGTAGCGCAACGAGAGTTCCAGATGCAAGTCGTTTCGAACCCGCATGCTTCCAATAATCTTGTCTGTCCTTTGCCCCAGCCGCCCGGGCGCCTCCGGGAGGAGCATCAAGCACCAAACCTACGGTGAAGCCTTTGCGCTCGGCCTTCAGGGGCGAGAGTTCGACATTGGTATAAACTTGAAACATGACAGAATTGTGTCCTTTGGTGCGATACATCCCGCCGTTTCGAGCAACAACTTCTTCCAGTTGAGTAAGCATTTTCGCACTACCCCGGCGCGAGGCGATAGTGTCGAGGTCGTCTTGGATAATCGAGAGGGATTCCCGTACGGGGGCACTGTAAACCCGATATCAGATGAAAATTCTGAAGATAAGGCAGATAGCTAGGGATGCGTACACAAGTTCTTCTCGTAGCAAACGGAACTGTACATCTAAGAGGCGTTCCATTGAATCCTTCCGACAATGATGCGGAGCATCCGGTACGGTTACCGGAACGTAGGGCGGTACGGGACATAACATTTCTGCATGAGTAGGGATGATCTGAATGGTGGATATCTCTACACCATCGTTGTCATGACGAGGCCCGTCTTTGCGGAGATGACCTGGAGGATCATAGCTCTGCTTTAAACGAGTCAGCAACGCTTGATTCCGGTCGGCCTCGCTAACTACGATTGGCGATTTTGCAGGTTTTTTTCTCGTCTGTGCCGCAGCTTGTTCACGCTTGATAATCTCTTGGAGACGACCGATAGAATCACGTATCTGGTCTACAGTAAGCTGCCGGAGGTCCTCATCAAGATTATCATCAAAAGATGGAGGTCGTTGAGAGATAGCTTTGTTCCATGTGTCGAACCATGATCGAAGTTCACGAATGAGATCGACGATGCGAGGGTGGTTGTGAATTGCGTTTTTGAAGCGGGAAAAGAACCTGAGAGTAAAATTTCAGTCGAAGAGATCGGTGTACACCATTGGAATGAAGTAACGCACTGTTGTAGAAGTGTGCTCAGAGTGCTAAATACCACGATACCTGTGAGCTGGGACTGTCGGTCATCTGGCAATCCAGGGGTAGAATCCTTCCAAGACCTCCTTCCAATCATCTCATTCATACATTTGTGAAGAACATTACAAAGGAATTCGAAGCTTTCATCGAGAGCAGTGTATAAGGCACTACCAGGAGATATAAATATTCAAACAACATCGCAGAGATTTAGAAAAGGATGCACTTAAGATTGTGGTTGAGGGTACTCTTCAGAATGAGATCCGATACGAGAAACTGCGGCGCAGTTTCATTGAGATTATTCTTAGATATGGTGATTGCAAATACGTACTTGAAGGATAGGGAAATACCCACGTTGAAAGGAGAGGGTAGAGAAACCCATCCCGGATTGCGAAGAAATATTCTCGAACTGGAGAATATCGGTGATGCGGTTGAGGGCTTTCCCTTCTATAACCATCTGTAAGAAAGCCTAGGATGAGGTGGGTCAGTCATGTTAGAGGTAGTGAAGAAGGCTATAGAGATGTGAATACCTGGGCGTGATCCGAATTCTGGGTCGTAATTCCTGAGTGTAGAGGTCTCAATGTGATTCTAAACAAAAGACGTACCCAAAGTCCATTTCTCCGATCAACGCTTCCCAGGATTCTAGCAAACTTGATCATTGTAGAAGGTGCATCTTGGGACGGAAATTGGTAACGGTCAGCGATGAACCCTTTGATATCATTATGGGCTTGGGATGGGCTACATCGGTATTGAGGATCCGGGATGATATTGTTAATATCTGCCAAGCCCTCCACAGTCGAGAAGTCGAGCTCATCGCGAACCTCAGGAGGAATTCCAGTCGTGTCTGGGGTTTCACTACCGTTGTTGTGCTTCTGTTGCACATGCCTGAAAACACAATCAAAACCCCGATTACATTGACCGGTGGTCCAATAGAAGTTGCAGACATTGCGAGGGGGGGCAGAGTTTCTACCAGCATTGGACGGTGAGCTAGGTAGAGGGGACGAGGGGGCCCTTGAGGGAGTATTGCCCAAACTATCCTGAGGAGTAACATTACTGCGGTCGTGAGAGAAGGTGCAGTCTGCACCTCGTCTACAACCTTCCCGGGTGTCGAGGAATCTACAAAGTCTACGTCTAGGCCGAGACATGGTTGTAAGAATGAAAGCGGAGAAGAACCGTAACAAAAAGGAAAAACGTGTTGGTAATTCAGCAGAACCACGAACCCACACAATGGCATTCGGGGATTCGGATAGACCAGACGTTTGAACGAATAATCAGAACCCCAAATCGTTTCGGCAAAGCGGCTTATGAGAGGATTAAACTTTAAAAAATACGTTTTTCCAAGCTTTGGAATGCTCTTGAACCTTAGTTGGCGCTCGGCGGAAGGGAGTGATCAATTCATTGGTGTTAGGCCTTTGGAAACAGGAACTCTGCATCATGATTGACAGATACGAGGGTGTATAATGAGGCGCTCATTGGCGCCTATGCTTATGAGTCAGCTGAACGGCTCCGCTCAACGGGGACGTGCCTTGGGCGGCGATTGTGACCGAAATTAGTGGGTCGAATATGTAAACAACAACGCCTATCTTGGCCAGTTGTGGTTTCTTCCTACTTTTTTCACCATGAACACGAATTAGGTCGTCTACATCCATGCCTCCTGCGCCATTCACACCGTCTATGCAGGACAGTGTACCCCTTTTCCTGGAAGAGACGCTTGTTCATACAGATCTTGAGCCTCTAGTCTACGAGGAATGGTCCGGCGTCGTCGCAACAGACAACTTGAAGAATGCTACAAATTCTACCATGCCGCGTATAGCCCTGGTGGAGAGTGCATTATGCTTTTTGCCAAAGACGGAATGAACTCAGTTGTATCTCAACAGATAATGGCATGAGCAAGGGCGCGCACACCATTTGACACAGATGATGCTGTACGTGTACTTTCTTCATCAAATATTTGCCTGTATTGAGTACTATCACCTTTGTAGTATGTTTTCTCCTCGATTTTGATGGGGTCGCATCCTGTGTGTACTGAATTGCATTAAACACTTATGTATGTTCTAGAACTGCACCTCAACGGACATAGAACTCTGTTTCTACGCAAGTTGTCCCATCAGTTATCAATCCGATGACTTGAGATCGAAATCAAAATCGCACTGGTTCAAAGGGAGATGCACTTCCGAAATCTCTGTGTTGCGTTGGTTCGAGCTCGTTGCACCTAATTACTTGTTCCCCGTGTCCTGGCCGTCGATGATATAGGCGAACTGACGGTGACAACTTTTGTGCCAGGGCTCGATGCTATGCACGCTTACCCTCGTCTAGATGCTTTAACTAGGGTCAGTCTACCTGCTCCCAACTCCAACTCTCCTCTATCTGTTCATTGTAATCATTTCCTGTCATATGTAGGAACGTTCGGTACTGTCCTATGCTCAATTTACTGTCTGTATGTTCCGGATACCAGCTCTCCAATGTTTTGGTACCCCTCAAGACTTGGATGGCCCAACTCTACTTCTTGGCTAGCATATCAGTTTCTCCCCAGAACATTGTTTTGAGGTTTCTGAATCTACCGATTTACAGTCCTTTTTCGATGGTCTCATCGACAGTCGGCTTTTGCGTTCCTCCATATATCACAAATTCAATTCAGCAAGTCATTCGTTGTTGAGTTTACGTTTAGCAAGATTACGCGAAGGGCTTCAGTCGCTCATTGTTGAAGTGGTCAAAGACCCAACTCTGTCTCGATTCGTTCCTCCACATCAAAATACACGGTGCAATAATTTGATCCTCGAAACTGTATCTGGTGAAATATCTGGTGTCGTCGATTGGGAATATTGTGGATGTCTTCCAGCTGCAATGGCTGCTCAGTATCCTGGATGGATAAGACCCCCGATCGATGAGTCGCTACAGTACCGAAATCCCAAGGACACCTTCCTGCACTATACCTTCGAACTTAAAGCACCAACCCCCATCGGAAGCTGATCAGAGGTAACAGCAGAGACCAAGGAAAAACACAATCTATCGAACATTTTTTAATGTAATGCTCTGATATTGACTATGTATGTCGAGTCCAATCGAGATGCAAGCCCCAACAAATAGACAGCACAAGGAAAGACAAGAAATTAGTCCCAATTCTTGAAGTCTGCATGGCTTCAAAGCGCGGCTTTACCGGCAGTCTTCAGGTGTTCGAACATCAGCAAGTGAAAAGGTTACAATTCAGTCTGACTCACCTCGATAGGAAGCAACAACATCAGAATCGCTGAAACAAGGAACAGCGAGGCGGCGACAAAGATAGGTCTAGGAGGTTCAGATATGGTGAGTACGACATCAAATTCTAACTAGTACAACAGTCAAGCACCTTGTACTTACCCGTTAGCAGTAGTCTGTGAAGCACCACCGGAAACCGGTGTCGTTACGATTTTGATTGCAGGGGCCAATATACCTGTCATCCGGTTAAAAGCAGAGCAAAGAGCATCACCCGTTCCTCGATGGGGCGCGGGGAAGACTTCGGGCGTGTAGGCGTATAGTACACCGTACATCTGAATAGAGGTATGTATCAGAAAGACAAATAACGACACGTATATTTCAGAAGATCCTAAGACGTACAGCATTCCTAAGCCACAAGCAATGTTCGATTACTTTGGAGAAGCGATGAATATGAACAATAAGGGTTCAACGTACTGTGTTAACGAAGTCACACACGAGTACGCCAAAACGTCGGCTTCCTTCGTGCTCGTAGTGAACAAGAACAGGAAAATCCCCGTAAGTGCGGTCGATACCGCCATTGTAAGTTTCCGACCGCCTATCATGAACCTCCTCCCTGAACGGTTATCCCTCATCGATTTTTCTGAATGGTCCTTCCGATACCAATCAACCACAAGACAAGCGATAACCGAGCCTGGTATGCCGAGAATTGAGATGATAACATAGTTGCGGTAGGTTGTGGAAACACTCGAAGAGGCATCAGAGATGTGGGTGGTCAGGTACAGTGTGATGAATCCGTTGAAGAGAGGGTATGCAAGACCAATGAGTCTGTGCTTTGAAGTAAGTAGGTGATGCATGATATGAAAGGAAATGGCAGGGAAAGGATAGACGCACCCCCAAAGAGCAATAGTAATGGAAGTATTGATAGCCAATCGACGAGTAGAAAATAAAGGCTTGACATGAGAACTTGATACTCATCCATGAACTTCTTAAAAAGTCTTGGATAGAGGCAAACGTACAGCGTGAAGGAGGAGAAAGACTGCTTGATAATTTGCAAGTTGGACATCGGTACCCCGGTTGCCCTTTTCTCGCCCGACACGGTTTGAAGTTGATCAAGTGTGAGACTGAGTACTTTGCCGTTGACGCGGGCGATATGTTCCAAGACCTATAGAATTTCATTTATATGTAAGAAAAGGATGGAAGGCAGGCCCAGTAGATACCTTCAGTGCATCTTCGTCGCGTCCCTTTGCCAGAAGATATTTAGGAGACTCTTGTAAATTGAAAACGAAGTAACGCAAGAACCACATCAGGAAAGTGATAGCGCCTCTACGACGACGAATTTCAGTGAAATGGAACGACAACGAACGAAAACTATTGCTCACAAGGTGTAGCTGAAGTCGGGAAGATCAGATTGAACTAATGTTACTGCAATGAGTTATAAATTGACAGCTCACAAGTTATAACGCCATCCCATATTATCGGCTCTAGTACAATCCGTGGCGGATGCACACGAAAAATTCCCTATCAGCGGCCAGGCGATCAAGGAAGCTAAAAGCTGTCCTAAAGCCCACCAAACCGACAACAGAGTAAGAAGCCACTTTTCGTAAGAAAGAATCAGTTCTCTGGAAGGAAAATGAGCAAATATCGCGTACTTGGTGGGATTGAGGTATATTTTCGAGGAAAATAGCACCTAAAAGATTCATGTCAGCAGGAGCACTTTATAATAAGCATGCCAACGGGGTACCATCGACAGGCAAGCTAGAAGTCCCGCATAAATCTCGCATAAGCTAACTGTGAAAAAGGGATTGGAATACAAAAATTTACTTTCCGCCGACTCCAAATCCCAGACAGGCGATTAACGCCGCAAGGGTAGTGAAATTATTCGCCCCACCTGCAGCAATACCGAATACGCCAGCAATGAATAAAGTGATGTTGAACGAAAGCCTTCGCCCGATCAAGTCTGCCAGCACACCCCAAGTGCTTGCACCTAATATGAGACCTGCATACAGCGCCATTGTTGCGTACTCAACGCGAACTGGTCTGAGCTCGTTTTCAATTTGAGGAAGGATAATCGCGACTCCTTGTAGCCAGATATCTGAAAAAAGAGACGGTGGGAAAACTGGCGACTGCTCCAAATTCATCGATACACTGACCATCTGCTGCCCAGCCCAAACCGGTGAGTACGAAAAGTTGCCATTGGTAGCGACCAAAACCGATCCTATGCAAATCAACTGGGCTCAATCCTGTCACTCGGTCAAAAATTACCACTTGAACTACTTGCTCAGTTTGGAGATATTCATTGACTGCAACGAGGATCAAGAGTCAAGTCGAAAAAGAGCGTAGGTAGGACATACTCAGTTGGCTTTTAGCTTCGTATACAGCGGAAACACCCTCCTTGGACTCTTGCGTGCCACCAGAGACCGGGTCCACGCGCGACAAAGAATCCTCATTTTTGAACTCGCCTGATGATTGGATGCCATCGATATTTTTCACGGAATCGAATAACATGTCGATAGAAGGAATGAGGAACTTGAAAAGAATTTATAGCCAGTACCCATGCTGCAAGAGCCGAACTAGGGTAAAAGAACGGGATTTTTGCTAATTTTCGCTGAAGTGACGTCGTTAATGCGCTGAGAGTCACTTAACTGCAGTACTGAATCTCAATCGAGGCAAGATTGAATCAATTCATTGGGCAATTAAGTTGGGAATCCCGGTCCGGCCGGCGACATGCCGAAGATTGATTGCCGCCATCTTGCTTTGCGTTTTCCGTTGTCCATTTCACCATGTACAGTGATTCCTACGTCCTTTGAACATCTTACCTCCTTTGAACAGTGGCTTCGGAATGAATAAAAATATAGACATTGGCCTCAGACTTGTATTCAATAGGTAATTTCAATGTCCTCCCTAAATATCCGATACTTCAAGAGACAGATTACCTTCATCTGCAAAACATGTATTTTCGGCTAACCATCCGAGAGCAGCTGAGAGCGCTTCCCAGCAGCCAAAGCACCGGAAGCAAGTTGAAAATCTTGCTTTCGGTGCTTTCGATGCTGGAGAGCGCTCTCCAGCCAGTACCCTTGCTCTGGCGAACATACAGGTTTTGCAGATGTTTGTATCCTTGTTCTCACGGTGTCCCACAGATCACAGTTACTGGGCACTTGGCACAGTTGGTAGCGCGCACGCTTCGCATAACTGAATGTTGATTCAGGTTCTTCTGCGTGAGGTCGGGAGTTCGACTCTCCCAGTGTCCATCAGTTCTATTAACACTTTCCCAGTATACTACTAGGACTCTTCCAGTATCTGTTTTTTTGGAACTCTTCATTAACCGCAAGTAAGTAAGACTATATATATATCTAGTACTAAGGCGCGGGGAGGTGCGACTCTTTTCGTATCTGAAGTTGGCATACTCATCCTTTCTGTCTTAGTAAGTTAGGTATTGTCGAATTTCTACTGTTTTGTTTTCTCTTTCTAATGTCTGTTACCCAAGCTCACGACCAAGAAAACCCTGGTAATAGTATCGGCGAAACGGGTCGGCGCTACTTTGTATTCTACCCGTTGTATTCCACCTCTTTCGGAAACTAATGTTATCGGGCTCCACTTTGCTCCATGGCATTCGAAAATTGATGCATATGCATAGCATACAGACCACTCCTGATCAGATTTCAAGCATATGCCCACCATGCTGTTAGCTATAAAAGCAAACGGTCGTCAGAAACCGGGAAGAATTGCTCTTCCTCGCTTCCCTTCTTCTATTCCCCTCCACCATGGACCCCGGGAAAGAAAAGTTCAACGATGCCTCAAGTTCACGTTCCGAGATTGGCAACAATGGCAATCATTTTTACGATCCCTCTAAAGAATCAATATGGACACGTCTTGGAGTCAATTTCGAGAGTTTTAAACGAGCACCAGGAGTTACTGGGTATGTGATATACTCTATGTTGGCCTTACTTCATTTTGATCATTGTTCTCAGTGACCGGCTGGTGGCTGGAGACCTCTCAGAGGCAGAAATAGAAAAAATCAAGAGCGAAACTCCAATGCTTCAGGCCAAGATGAAAAAGCGGCATCTTACTATGATCGCCGTCGGTGTGTTATTATCCCTCGATCATAGAAATTTTCTCTCAAACGCGTGCTCTTCTCTTCAGGTGGAAGTATCGGAACAGGACTTTTCGTCGGATCCGGTTCCGCATTGAAAATCGGAGGACCAGCTGCAATCTTGATTGGATGGATCATTATGGGTGTTATGTTGGTTAACGTTACGCAGGTAGGTATCGGAACTCATCACCCCCATCTCATCCGTCCTATCCTGAATCTCTTGTTTCCTCCTCCTCAGGCTATTGGCGAAATGTCCATTCTCTACCCCCTTTCCGGAGGCTTTTACATGCTCGCTAACAGGTTCCTGGACCCCGGTTTCGCTTTTGCTATGGGTTGGAACTATTTCCTGCAATGGGCCGTCGTTTTACCCTTAGAAATCACCGTGGCCGGAACAACTGTTCAGTATTGGACGGAAAAAGTTCCGATAGCTGTGTGGATTACTGTCTTTTGGGTTGTAATCAGTGAGCACAAGCGCTAGCTTCTCCGACCCCTGCCCGGAGTAACCAAATTTTCCGCGCAGTGATTCTATGTCTGTTCGGAACGCTTGGCTATGCGGAGGAAGAATTTTGGTCATCATGTCTAAAGTTGTTAATTGTGGTCATGTTTGTTTTCATCGGAATGTAAGTCCACTTTTTCTCTGCCATTCTTTTTTTGATGATAATTTGTCCAGTATTTGGTAGGTCTGAATATCCTGAATGAATCCGGTACAATATATGACCTTTGCCTTCAGTATTTGTGGAGGTGGACCAACAGGTGGAGAATATGACCATTACATCGGTGGTTCTCTGTGGCAGAATCCTGGCGCTTTCGCCAATGGATTTCAAGGTGTTTGCGCAGTCTTTGTCACTGCTGCTTTCTCCTTCTGTAAGCGACATCTTCATCAGTGAATCTATTTCCCTCAATACCATCCAAATTTCAGCCGGAACGGAACTAGTTGGTCTTGCCGCTAGCGAAACTCCCAATCCTCGTGCAACGATGCCTGGAGCTGTGAAGGGAACTTTCTGGCGTATTGTACGTTCTTGTTGCCGTGTGATTTATAGCTGCCATTCTGAAGTGTTTGCTAGACTGTGATATACGTCACATCGCTGACCATCATTGGGTTGCTCATTCCATGGACCGACGAGCGACTGCTTGGTGGAACCTCAGCTGGTGAGCCCCTTCGATTGTGACAAAATCTGAGCTCGTCCTCATAAATTTCATCGTCACTAGCCGCCTCCCCTTTTGTCATTACCCTTGACAATGCTAAGATTCCCGGACTGAACCGTACGAGCTACTGTCCAACCTTTCTGTCAGCCCCACTGACGGTGTTTTCTTTTCCAGATCTCGTCAATGCCACAATCTGTGTTTCCGTACTTTCAATTGGTCTTTCCTGTGTGTACGCCGGATCCCGAACCCTCACAGCCCTAGCAGAAACTGGATATGCTCCCCGTATTTTCACCTACGTTGACAAGTCTTCCCGGCCTCTGTTCTCCGTTATCGCTGTGCTGCTCTTCGCTCCGATTGGGTATGTAAATGTCGTTGCCGTGGGTGATACCGTCTGTGAGTTGTTCTTCCTGAGTATGTACTTGACGGTCCCTCTTATTGGTTCGTAATTATGCAGTCCTCTGGTTGCAAGCTATCTCCGGGCTTTCCGTCTTATTCACGTGGGGTGCTATCTGTTTATGCCAGTGCGTTTTTCACTATGGCCAAAGGATTTTCTTGGCTGACAGCTAACTAGCATCCGTTTCCGTCGTGCTTGGAAAGTCCAAGGTCATTCGACAGAGGAACTTCCGTTCAAGGCCATGGGCGGTGTATGGGGCTCATGGCTCGGAGTTATTCTCGTAGTCATCGTGCTCATTGCCCAATTTTACGTCGTGAGTCCTGATCAAGTCGCTGCGTCTATGAAACACGGAAGCCTTGCTAATCTTCTCGTGTAGGCTATCTGGCCCGTCGGAGGAGTATCAAATGGTAATGAACGTGCACAAAGCTTCTTCGAAGCATACCTCGCCGCTCCTATTATCCTTGCCTTCTGGATAGGGGGCTACTTGTGGAAACGCACCATGCCATGGCGTGCACATGAGATCGATTTGGACACTGGTAGGAAAAGTTGGCTTACGGTTGAGGAAATGCGCCAATACCGCGCAGATCGAAAGGCTGCTCCTTCATATGTTCGTATATACCGTACCCTATTTACTAACTAAAAATCTCAGAGGTTCGAACACTTCATGTATGTATTATTAGGTTTCTTCATATAGTTAATCAACTATGAACGTAGTACATAGCGCATTAATGTAATTGCCCGAACATGTTTTTAGGCTTAAGGACAGGTTGAGGTTCTTCTTTTGTCTTTAATTGTCTTTGCTACTATCGTTTCTGTAATACATACAACTCATTTCCTTTCCCATCCACATATCTGTTTGAAAATGTATGTTCTCTGTTAATTTATGCTCTATAGCAGCACTGCTGAATCAAGCTCGAACAAAACAATTGGTCCAAACCGATGATGATATATAGTGAGGAAATTGTTGAATTTTCAAATCCCTTTTCGGCTTGGATTGACTGGAAGCCGAAGCCCAACTGCTAACGCTTCTAGGCGGTGTTTAGACTTTATACCTCAATCCTACACCCAATTTACACCTGGATAATGACTTGGGCATGGGAAAAAAGTAATGAATTCCTTTTTGTTCTCTTGAAGAGTCACTATTTACTGTCTACGGTAGAGAACAATAAAGGAACGAGGCCCCAATGTACAAATTGACAGGTCACAGCTGATCACGGCCTATAACGGTCAACTTCTTTTCTTTTGTTTCCTGGGTATATATGAAGTTCGTTCGCACTGCGGAGGCCCCTCGTCTTGTATCCTCGTACTTGGCGCGCAAGCTAATCCGCTGCATTGTACTTAACAAACCCCATTCATGGCTGCCATTGCGAAGATTGTCTTCCCATCACCCCCACCTACGACAAACGCGCTCACATCGCAGCAGCGTACACAACTCCTGCGCTCAACCAAAAAGTTGGGACGCGTCCTTGGTATTACACCTCAACTTATTGATATTTATCCATATTATACCCCCGCCGGTAAGCCCTTATCCGAGTTGATTTCACTCCCATTCACTAAACATCACCTCCAGAATCCGCAGAGTGGTTAGACGACAACGACTTCTATCGTCCGAAACGTCGAGGTTCTGTGGATTCCATATCATCCAGCTCGAGCTTGAGCACTCGGTCTAGATGGAGCAGCCGATCCTCGTCACGCCAGCAGTCTCGAACTTCTTCCCCTGCTTCACGCTCCTTGCGATCTTCGTTATCGGATTCCTCAACTTGCACCGAAGATATCTTACTCAACAGCGATGCCAAACCACTTCTTCGTCTCGCCATGACTTCCCCCTCCTTCGACGCTACAACAGCGGAATATATCGTTTCGCCTACCTCATCCGATGATGGGGTAGATACCGCAGAAAATCTACGTCACACCATACGACCAACTCGCCCCGAAACCAAGCGAGATTCTTCTCTGGCTGTTCCTTCGTTTCACATCCCTTCAAACAATAGCTTACGCCTAGCGAAAATGGACAGAATTCGAAAGAAGCTTGGAGAGAATATTCCAATCCACTTGGTATTCCCTAACGAAGGAGAGACAAATGTGATAGAGTCTGCGTACTCTAGGGATCAACCTTCTGGTCCTACGGTGACAATCCATTGGAGACCTCTCCCACCATTGCCTGTTGAGGATGATTCATCTTCTCAGTCCTCGACCGCATTTTCTTCCCATACACGTACTAGATTGTCCAATGCGCGAGATTCCCTCCTCATTCAATCTTCTCGCAGAGCTCACAAAATCAAACGCAAACCCGTTCCAAAACTTGATTTGGTAGAATTGGAACCCACCGGTCTTTTTCTTGATGCGGAAAGCCTGACGCGTCGGGAGAAAGAAAGATTGAGCTTGATTCTTGAGCTGCCTCATGAACATGAGGACGAGGCGGTCATGGATCTTGATTCTGATAGTCGTAGTCAGAACTCAACGTGGTTCAGTGATGGAGGGGAAGACGACATTTCGTTTCAAAATTGGTACCAGAACTTCTTGAAGCACGAAGGTGCAAGTTCCCATTAACGCCTTTCCTTAGCATCATACTCTCATTCTTTTGCGTTCGGTCAATTATGTATTCTCTTATCTTTTCAATTTGTACTTTACATCTCCTTCCAGCATGTGTAGTATATAGGTACTCCCAATATTTAATTGCAGGATATGCATGGTCCCCTTCTTGGATATCGACGCAAAGCAACATTTCATGAATGACGTGAAAGTATACAAATATAGTTAGAGATATACATGGACATAATATAGGTACAGTTACTTTCCGACTTCGGAGGTGGTACAACAGTCCTGGATAACAATTGGATAGAAAAAACAAGATTAGGATTAATACAGCTCTACTCGCCTCCGCCAGCCAACTCCAAAATTAATCTACACGCAACATCCATGAACACGTACGGCGAAACAACTTCCATCTCCTTGGCCGCATCCTTCTCAGCCGAGTCAATTATAGGGGCAGGTTGGACAGCCATATCGAATTGACCCGCCCCTTGCGCAAAAGAAGCTTTATAAGATTTCTTATGGTGAAAGTCAACGAGGTAATTGACGGCGTCCACCATGTACAGCTGGAGGTTCATCAAAACCTGCAAGTACGTCAGAGAAACGAACGGAGATTGAGCGTTGGCACATACGACGACATCTTGTACCCGGGTTCGTGTCTCTATAAAATAAATACTGCTCGCGAGACGAAGGTCCACTTCTCCTAATCCATCCAACCTTTTTACTCTGTCAATTTTGACCGACCCATCTTCCCCTTTCACTATCTTTGTTTTCACCCCTCCTAATCCACCTAGTGTTTTCTTCTCCAACCACTCCATTCCTAGCACCTTGAGCGTTTTGTATATTTCCAATACAATTTCCATGGGAGGACTTCGACTCCGTATCCCGAAATGCCATTTTGTGCGATGTTGATCACCTTGGCGGTGACGACGACCTCCGCTTGATCCAGCCGAACGTTTTGCTGAAACGTATGAAGAAAGGTGATGCTGTTGCTCGACCGGACGATCGGGGAGCGAAGAGTTAAGCACCGCAAAGGTGCTCACATCGGGATTAGAATCGTAACCTCCAAGCTCTAGCTCATACTCGTCCAGGTCTTCTGCCTCGGCAAAGTTGGTTTCAAACGGATTTTCATCCACGTCACGTCCACTTGGCGATAGTGCACCAGGTGAGATGGCGTTACGAGGCTGTATCGTAAATTAACGAGGATCAGATGATAGACGATAGAACGCACATCCAGCGCAGCAAGCTCAGCGTCGCGCTCTAATTCAGCATAATAAGACACTGTAAGACGCAATGAGCCTTGTTCATCAGGACAGGCAAAAAGGAGCGTACTATCTTTGCCCTGTCGACGCTGGTCCCTTAACAGCATGTAAGCAACCTTGACGACGTTTCCATTGATCCCATCATCCCTTCGTAAGCATGCCTTGATATCCTCCTTTGTTACACCTGCAATCCTTTCGACTAGGTCATCTACAACATCCTCTTCAACTCGCCCGAACTCTGGAATAATCTCAAAGTCCACGGGGTGGATGGGCGGGCTGACTAACGACGACAGCGTTCCTAAAAGGGGGAAAGGTTTTGGAGGTAACGGCTTGAGGTACCGAGGAAGATCCTTTTGGAAAAATGGGTGATCTATGATTTCCGGGATGGTGATGCGCTTCACGGGGTCAACCGCTAGCATGGCGGCGATGAGGCTTCGGGCTTCAGGCGATACATGGTGCGGTATAGAGTACGTTCCCTCTGTCGGGATATGAGACAACTTGAGTTATTTGAGAGAGACGATCACGCACGGCTGATCTTTTGAAACAAAACCTGAACATCTTCATCTTCAAACGGTAACCGTCCGCAAAGCATCACATAGAGAATCACTCCTGAGCTCCAGACATCAATTTCTGGGCCAGCATAGACGGCCCCACGGATGACTTCGGGAGCAGCATAGTTAGGGCTTCCACAGCTAGTCGAAAGGAAATCACCGTCGCTGATTTCGTTTGATAGACCAAAATCAGCAATCTTCACGTTCAAGCCATCATCCAAAAGCACGTTCTCGGGCTTTAGATCTCGATGAACAATCTTGAGCCGGTGAGAATATTCGATTCCGGAGATTATTTGTTGAAAAAAGCGGCGGGCACGCTTCTCTTCCATCCGCCCGTTTTGCACGATATAGTTGAATAATTCGCCTCCAGCGTATTCGAGAACAAAAACGACATCAGTTGGAGTATTAATGACTTCATAGCTGTAGACGGATATGAGACGGGAGAATGATCAAAAAACGAGAGAACTGGCAGCTTGATTATATGAGGATGCTTTAACAATCTCATGTAGTCGTACTCCTTCTTTACACGATTTTTAGTCTTTTCTCGGGATATCGCAGCTTTTGAAATATATTTCATGGCAACAACGTGGTTTGTCACTGTATGAACGGCCACTGAAGGACAAAAGTTGAACAGTCAATACTGAGACAGGATGATTTATAAAACAACTTGCTTCTGACGACGCCAAAAGTGCCTTCTGCGATATCCTTAAGAACTGTGTATTCTCCGAGCTTAGAAGCTGGAAAAACATGCTCCGGTGCAGCCATTTTGTGTTACGGGTCGTGGTGTTAAAGGATGTTGGGGTGAATGGTGGAAGGAAGATCGGAACAAGATCCAATAAGCGCTCGCGATACGTAAATGAGCGCTTGAGCACCCACGGATCCTTATTACTGAGTATTATTACCTATTATTACTGTGTTCTCCTTGATTCTGTCATGGCCAGCTCGCAACTTGAAAGCGTCAGCAGCTTTTACATTCTTACGACTACGATTTTGAGGCCAGACATTCGGACCAGATATTTTCTAAAACCTCTCAATGTCAATATGTCGAATATGTCAACTTCAAAATACCAAAGTTAAGAGAGTATCACAGGCCACTACAAGAGGTTGCAGGTTTTAAACGCTTCAACGCAATTCAACTTTGACAGGTTTGTCAAATGGTGATGCCAAAGGACAGTGGGCGACATTCGACATAGCTCAGTTTATCACACAAATTTCAAGGTTTTGACTCAACCACTTATTTGTCAGTTGACTTCGACGAATATGACGGGCGTTCTCGAGTAGGTACCCTGAATTAGACACTCACAAGGTATTTATCTATCTCTAATGCGGCTCATCATGTAATAAAACACTCGATGCTGTACAATACAGAGACCCGAGAGCTCTCATCATTCAGAAAATTAAACTAAATCAAACTCCAGGGTAGTTGCAAGACTGGATGCATCAGATCTCTTCGTAAGTCAAAGGCTCCCCGTATGAAATATGTATCTGCTGACGCTCGTATAAAAGGCCAACCGAATGGCAGCAGATAGCACATACGAACTCCGGTTTACCATGTCTTCGAATTCACGGTCGTATTCTTCTTCTCCTCATGATCAGGATTATTGCAGCAATGACCTGTCCCTCCCGCCAATTTCCCAACTACTAAATGGCGAGCATTGAAGTGACTTCCATGTGAAGTACACCTTCGCTGAATCTTATTCTAGATATTACTACGTCTCACGATTCGGACATACAGCGAATACCCCACGATCAGCAATCGCCTCAAGCCTCGCCTTCATCCTCTGGTCCGTTTCGAGGCAACAGCTCTATATCTTCCTCGCGTATACATCCGCATGCTGGCGCTGAAGTGATTCCGGTGAGGATTCATTTGTCCAATATACCGGGTAGTAGGATGGTTATTGAAAATTTAGTGGGCCTCTGAATCCATCTCGACGCATGCCATCCATGGATATGAATTGCCAAGAAATTCATCAGATTATAATGCATACATGAACTCATCGCGCGCAGCTACCCATTTGTCAATCTCGCGTCATCCTTATTGGGATGCCACCCAACTGCGATCCGCTACAGGCTACAACCCAGATAGATTGACATCTTCTACCCAGTCACGGCATCAAAGTAACCAATCCTCTCCTGGGTCCCTGCTTCCCCCTCATGCATACGTAGTGGGCCAGCAAACTCCACTCAATCCTATGACACCATCTATTGCGTCTACTAGCAATCATCTTACCGGCACAAAGAGCAATAATACGCAACAACTCCACTGGCAAGAACCCATTGACGAAACTTCATCTCTAAGAGGGAAGGAGCTTAGCCACATTTGTGAATATTGCGGGAAGGCTTTTTTACGTCCCAGTGCATTAAAGGTATTGAGCATCATCTGAGCTTCGATAACTTTTCTTTGCTAGCCTAAACGGTTTTCTTTGCATCAGACTCATATCATATCCCACACTGGAGACCAAGGTAAATTCACCCAACATCCCGTTGATCAATCAACCCATCTTGTTACCTGCTCGTTTATGACTGTCACCGAATTTTTTCTGACAATGACACTACTACGCAGATTTTGCGTGTCCCGAAGAGGGATGCTCCAGGAGATTCGGAGTTCGTAGTAATATGCTCCGCCACGTGCGATTGGTTCACAGGAACCTAAGGTATAGTTCTGGGGAACAGCTGTCTCAAGATGAATGGGAGACTGGTCTGGAACCTACACGATAACAGTACTCGAGGTCGACAGAGTTGGCAGAGGATTGCGGATTGCGGGATTAAGTTCTGTCTATTACATAGCCTTTGTATCATCTCTACACAGTTTAATTCAGTGGGCCTGGGGACAGCAGGGGATAGTGACCATGTTGTATCACGCAACTTGAAGCCCCGGAAACGGCGTTTCTATCTAAGGGCCGACCTTGTGATAATCTTGCTTCCTTCCTTCCTGCATCCGCAAAGAGTCTGTCAAACTTCATGTTCGACTAGAGCGGAATACATACATATTGACCTTAAGAATTATTACATTCGAAATATATTTGATGCATATGGCTGGCGTTACAAGTCAAACTGTTTGCAATAAGCAAGTCATTGCTCATACCACACCTCCTTTCTCTCTCGTCTTTACCGACGCAGTGAATGCCTTAATCTGTTCCTCTATCGGCGCACCGCTGAACCAGAGAAATAATACATTTTTATGCTTGACCATGGTGTCCTCCTTCATGATGGTTTGCGCAAAGCGTCTCCTCATCTCTGCATTCGCCGATCCAACGTGGTCACCAAATTGATCCTTCTCCTTTAACCTATCCATGATCTTCCTTAACTCCATCTCAGCCTTGACGAAAACAGTCTCTACCTCATTCCACATCTTTATCAACCCGTTCACCCATTTCTCACCTCCAAAATCATCCGCAATTCTCCTCACACCCTCAAAATAAATCTCCTTCTCCGCCTTCATCTTCCTCCTAACCTTCCCCTCCTCGAACGTATATATCATCTCCCGCTTGTTCCTGTATAGACCTGCAAGCTCCGCTGGAGTATAATAATTTTTGGATCTGATCAGGTCGAGGTAAGACTCAAATTTAACTTTGAGACGCTGGGGATGAACTGGGTCATTTTTGAGATAGAGCTTCACTACGAGGCCTTCCTCGTTGACCCGGTTCAGCCTCCGCACAGCGTCCAGGTCTGTAATGTTGATATCGTTCATCTTTGGTCTAGGAAATGGATATATAGACCAATTGAAGTCCTGTGGAGGTTCGGACCCGTCCATTCCTATGACGGAAAGCAACACGAGGTCTTTGTATGCATATCGCAAGGCAGTTGGATTTTTGGGGTGAATGAGTTCAAAGACATAGGTTTTGTCCCGTGGCAAAGTCCCGTTAAGCCTTCTAGTATTAATGATACCGGGATACTTTTCCTTCAAAATTTCTTGTGCCATTTCGACGTGAACAGAGTCAAAACGCGCTTTCGAAGTCAGAATCCACTGATTTCGGTAATAAAACAACGTGATGATGCTTCCGTCGAGTTTTTCCTCTGCTGTCGTCGAGACTACCTCATCTCGAGGATGCCCAGCTGCATCTGTTGTGGGGAACTGATATGCATGTTTCTCGTTCCAGTTGAAGAATTTCGAAAACGCTCTCGAAACTACTTTTCCGGTATTTCGCTCGACTACTAGTACGCGTGCAGCCATCGTTAGGTCATCCCAAGATGAAGACCGCTCGGTATCGTTCGAGTAGTTGAGTATCATTATAGGTAGCGTCGGGTGGGGAGAGGATTTGATTAATGTGAGATCTTTCCCCTTGATTTTCTGAGGATAAGTGTACTTTCGAATACGAGAGGGATCGATGGTGGTAGATGTTCGTGCATCGGAGGACATTGTGGTAGAAACAAACTTGTGTACTGGATGACAGAAGCCTGGTTCATTATATATGAATGTGGCTATGATAAGTATGACTCGAGGCTGGGCACTGGGCGCTGTCGGTGATCATTAGAGTCACATTTATGATGTAGATACACGCTGTGCATATCTAATGCACCATCGCGATGAATAAGAAACGTTACTTATAAAACGACAAGAAACCTACATACCCAGACGGTCAAAAGATTGTTTCCTCAGGACATCATTCACAGCGAAAGTTCCTTCTCCAAAGCTCGTGTAAAGAACTCCAGACATCCCTTTCCTGCCTCGACTGCTCCATCGAATGCGTCCCAACCAGACAGCAGCGTTTTAATATCGATGATTTCTACAATGGCGAGCCAATCCTCGGGAGGTAATGAACAAAGGCCTGAAGATAGGTAGCAAGGCGCGTGTGTGCTGAAGGCTTTATCTTCAAGAGCTTTACAAGCGGAGATCGAGCCTGTGGTAGTGGTGACCACGGGAATTTGAAGCTCTGGCACGAGCGCGATCTGGAGACATCGCATCGTTGTCCACATCCATTCTTTCCCTTCAGGTGACAACCGCCCCACGTTCTCCGGTAAATTGAATTTCGTGCAAAATTTCTCACCGAATCCAACAGGATACCCCTCGGGACCGCAGTGAAAGTGAGGTTCGAGGCACGCAGTGTAAAATGTACAGGTACGCGGCGGAGGAGAGGTACAATTTATTGAAGTCGATATGCTGGTTGTTAGGCCTGTCTGAGGTTGTATAATACGCGATGAAGGAGAGGTAGAGTGCGAAGAAGAAGAGAAGATATCCTGGATACGTGAGATTATTGAGATTGAATGGTTGAACCAGGTGTAGTAGGTAGTCAGGAAAGCGGATATGAGTGCCACGGAGAGAGAAAGAACCCATAACTTTGGGATAAACATAGCAGAAACCTGGAACAAGCGAGTTTCTAGGAACCAGTGAAGAAGAGTGTATCCAGTGTCACTCAATTCCAAGAATGCTAAACAATTAACGCCCTGTGGTGACGGCGGACAGGTGAAAAGCTGTGGCTTCTATAAAAGGCAATTATTCTTCGGTCTTTACTGACTCGCCGAGGCCTGGTTTGCCTTCTTTCCTTTCAGATTGCATCTGGTCTCTTTGGTGACAATTCTGGGCCTGATTAGTTTTCCCATGTTAACCAATGGTCCATCACGCCAATTTCAGTTCTCAGCTCTCAGGACCATTCCCAAATCTAATCCTGTTGTCGAAAATCTCCTGCCGGTGCTTGACATTCCTATTTATCACAACCCCATCCCTAGAAAGCCTATTCATCTTTCTCCTAACCACGTATGTGTGAGTAGTGTCTTTGTCGCATTAACCCCATTCCAACTGCCAAAGTCGACGTTTTCTGAAATTTTCTCCCACTATATGTACATCCTATAGTCCAAACTAAAACAGATTATAAACTCTGCAACGATGTCCCCAAGCAGAACTGTACCGTCTGTCGAGTTAAAGGTAGGCGCTTTCGATTTTTCCCGGGGACGTTTCTATGTATAGATATATGTCGATGTTTCCCAGCATTGCTCTATCTTCGTTTCAAGGTTGAGCTGATGAAGATTGGCAGAATCCGTCTCCAGAATAGAAGCTCGAACTCGGAAGAATATTTTGATAGCTAAGATTGAAATAGCGTCGGAATATTTTTGGAAATGTGAAGCATGTGGGTGGACAAGTTCTCCTACCACTGCAGGGTTAGTCTTTTCATCAACTGCATCAGCCCCCCCATGTACATGTATTAATTGTACTTCCTTCGTAGAACGACAAAATCACGTCCTACTGCTAATACCTCCACTAACCCTGACCCTTCCAATTCCACTTCAACACCGAATGTGCCCGGAACATTTAGAATAAATAATCAGCTTCCTGCACCTGCCACGGAAATGAATCATATGTATCGAACGGCAGAGTTATGGCATCGTCCACCGTCGTTCGTGGGCGATCTACCTTCGAAGATGCCACCATTACGGCCAAGATCATCATCAGAAGGAGAAGAGCATCGATCGCTTGAGTAGACACTCATTAATCAGTCCGATATTGGTAACACCACCCTTCCCTGTTCCACCGTGTTGCATAACATAGCTTCTCAAGTTTAGTTGTATTAATTCAGCCACGGTCCACGGTGAGGTTCTCAAGTTTACTTGTATTAATTCAGCTACGGTGAAGAATCGCAATCATAGGATAACATTACAATGCATGTGCGTTACAAAGTTCGTACATATTATACCACTACAAAAACGGCGTTTACAATCCAGTACAATCCGTACAACCCATCCAGAATCATGAGGGGCGTGAACAAACAATGGTAAAGGGAGACCTTGGAGTGGACAAGGCCGATGTGCATGGTCATGAATTTACAAGTAATGCGACATCAAGGGCGAGATGAGAGAGTTCAATTCTTTTCATCTGACCCAGAATTGACGCGATTGACGCGCGCAGGACGCCGACGAGATGCCAAGAAGCTAACAACAGCGGCGATAGAAGTGAAAAGAAACGCGAACCAAGGTAGGATAGCCAAAAGTCGCACTAGCAAAAGAAATTTCAGACTCAGAAACGACATATGAAAGTATCGAATACAAAAGAACGGGAAGACGTACAATAGTGGATACGCCTATACACTGTCGTAAACCCCAGCTGATTTTCGACGATCTGCACCAGACCCGGTGGAATTTGAACATCGCCGGCCAACGCGGTAACCTGAGCACTTCGCGTAGCGAAAAAATGCGTGAACGGAACTTGGGTCGCGAAAAGCCATACAGCGCAAAACGCGAGCGACATCCATTCAAAAGGCAGAAGCTGATTTGAGAGACGCGTAAATCGGTTGTTTTTGGTCATGCGATGGCTCAGAAGAAGCAGGAGGATGTATATGAGAGTGAGCAAAGCGATCAAGGCCGAGATGGTGGTAATGACAACGCCTGAATGAAAGACATCTGTGATAGGTAACGAAAAATTTGGTGTGCAAGTATGAGCAGCATATATGCGATGAAATATTACCATTGTCGTCCACGACCAACGAAGTCCCCGCTGGCAAGAGTTTCTTGACGGTGCTGGTCTGTTGATTCGATTTGACCAGTGAATTCAGCCCTGAGGCAGTAATCGACCATCGATACCTCGCATGCAAGACGCAAAGCAAGTCGAATCGTACTCACCGACACTACCAGAGATAACCGCAAAAGAAAAAGCCATGAACAACGACAAGAGGCGATGGAGTTTGAGCGGGACAACATTATCGCCGGTGGAGGACATCGTGGTTCAAGTTCAACGTTCAAGGGTTCAAACGTTCAAGGTCAGATGAGCAACGTTTAGCTACCCAAAGCTACTGACACGGAGTGCGTTTAGAAGGACGAAGCTGTAACCGAATAAGGAAAGTCTCATGACGAATGAGCATGGGACTCGCAATCTCGGCACATATTCACCGATTACCGAGTTTCACCAAATTTGGGAGTCGCTATGACCAGCTTTGACCGGGACGGTCAAATTCAAGTGTGGAATTTGAAAGGAATGCTGGGGAAAGTAAATATCTAGGGCCTAACATATAAAAAATCGAATAATAGGAATAACGAAGCTATGGATCGAGACATGTACAGAGTTAACAACCTTGATTTAGACGGATTGGCCAGCATTATGTAGTTCTAGCCTGTCCCTGGGCCTGAATAGCGGTTTGAGGATAGATACTGACTCATTTGGCTCAGAGCGGCTGGTGTTTATAAGGCTAAGCTTGGCTTGAAGCTGCTTGGAGCAAGATTCAAGTTGAAGATTCAGTGACAGAAGAAGGGCGAGATAACCCGGGTCCGTGCGCTCAGCGCTTAAATATTTCTTTCTCGGATACATACCACTGACCACCAGAGCTCTAAACAACGTCCCAGTGTGGAAACAACCCCCGATGATTCACGTCTATAAACGAAAACCTGTAAAGCTTCGAAAAAATGACATCTGGGACACCATTAAAAGGTCCGTCAAAGTCCGTTTGGTCTTGACGCGGACGTACGATTAGACCTTACTTTCATCCAAGTCTTGTTTTCAAGGAGAAGAATTGTTCTCAAGGCGACGAGTACACCTTCCTGTCAGACTCGAAAGCTTGATTCTTAATCTACAGAAATCCAATGAGAATATCAAGTGTACGGCGATTATCTAGTGACTAGGATACACCTTTCCCTCGGTCTCCGGTCAGCCCAAAGTCAGCCGTCTTATGTCCTCAAGTACGGATGTCAATTCTATTTTATTTACTAGCTAGTCCAATCCTCTCGTTCATTCCATCACTCAACCTGCCAGTGGTCTCGCTTGTCGGGACTTCGCGGAGGAAGAAAAAATGTTCCCTTCACCCTTCATCCTATCGCCCGGATCAATTGCTTTATTGCGGAAACCGTCGGGAGATAATCAGGACTGGTACCTCCAGGACCCCTGTCAATGTCCAACGATCGGATTTTTGACGTCATTCATGGTGGCTACTATCGTCATCCTTCCTCTCTTGTTCTTAAAACTCGAACTTTCACCATCTACTCAGCCACTATTACCCATTTGTATATTTTCACGACATGTCCAACTTCCAAATTCCTCCTCACGCCGACGAATCCGCGTTGAAGAAGCTCGAGAAGAAGATTATTGACGAAGGAAAGGCGGAGGATGCTCATGTCTCTCACACCTTGAAAGATTTGTCCAAGGTCGAGAAAGCTTCAGGTAAAGCTGACAAGGTTTGTTGACTTTCTTGTCCATTTAGAGTAAACGCTTAACGTCTCCGTGCCTCACGCTCAGACTTTCGATAAATCTGAACACGCGCTGGAGAAAACTCATAAGAAAGAGCTCAAGGCCAGCAACACTCTCAACAAAGCGACCCACAAGCACGATTTAGCCGTCGCCGCGATTGGCAACGCTGAAAAGGATCTGGCGGTAAAGAAGCAGGAGTCTGCACGACTTCAAGCTGAGGTAGAGCAAAGGAAGGCATCTGTCGATGGTATAATTGAGGCTCAACGCCATCACAATGTCGGTATCTGCTCCTTGCTCTTGGTATCCCTAGCTTTTGATTTCCAACTGACATCTATGCCTATTTATCTCAGTCCTTGCGCGAATCCAAGCTCGCCGAGATTCACAACGTCCGTGCTGGTACTGGCGACAGCAACACAGACGCCGGAGCGCCTGCACCTGCACCTGCGTGAGACTTGTCACTTTCACCTATTTTTCCGTGGCTTTAGACGCGGTGTTGTGACGTCTGTGGGGTTATGATCACTACGAATTCTACGATTACCAAGTTTACCAGAAGGGTTCCCAAGTGTGTAGTGTTGAAGTTATATTTCTACGTGTATTACTATTAATATTTCTCGAATTTTCGGAGGAGACTCGCATTCCTCTGGTACTACTCGGTTTACCGAGTCAGATATCAACTCGTCTTATACGAATATGAAGACTGAAACTGGCTCTAATCTGAATACGTCAATGCAAGTTGCCACCGGTACGAAAAGAGACTGATCTTCCCTTCTTCATGAGAACTTTTACTCCAATATGGGAATGTCGAGGACATCTCGGTTTCTCGCGATCAAGTATCGAACACAAAAACTTGTTCAGGCTATCCAAAACGTCGCGCAATTGCCGTTCTCCATACCTCTAGAAATTGACCAATCCCCTCACGCGGATCTGAAGCGCAGCAGCCGTGCAACAAAATGTTTCCTCCTTTGGAATACCTCTCCCAAGCTTGGTACAGGATTGAAGCAGAAATAGTCTTTGGACAGACAGCGAGTAATACAAACGTACATACTTCGTTTGTTCCCAGGTGTGCATATGTATTGATTCGAACCACGTTTAGGAAGGGTATATGAAGGGAGGGGGCATTTCGAAGGAGTCCCGCTCATTCCCTTGCCTTTTCCTTCACTTCTTTCACTGCCAAACATCATATCTTGAACTCAGAATAACCTGCAATCTTCATTGTCCGACACAATGGCGACATCATTCCCACTGCAGCCTTTGGAAATCATGGCGAAAAATCATGCCATCCTAGCCACGACTGGGTTCTTGATTCTTCTTCCCGTCGGGGTCCTCGTCGCACGATACGCTAGAACATTTACTCCGGTGTATGTGGTTATACCCTCCCCTACGTGGATATCCGGAATGTGTGTTACTAACAATAGCTCCCTACAGATGGTTCCCAGTGCACTTTGTTGTCCAATTATTCCTCTCCGGTCCTGTGATCTTCGCGGCGTGGTATTATGGCTGGAAGACGTCCAACGTACTGGGACTCGGGCACTTCCTCGATCCTCATCAGAAGATGGGCTTGGCTCTGCTGATCCTATACGTCCTGCAACTATTATTGGGGCTCTTCACGCACTTCATCAAACTACGTAGTCCGTTTGGTCCAGGGACTAGGTCACCACAGAATTATTTTCATGTCTTTTTGGGGTTGGTCATCCTGGTCCTCGCGGCTGAACAGGTGAGAATCTTTTCATATCTCTCTTGAGTCTGTGGTCTAGAATTCGGGGCGCTGACAAGAAACATGATGACTTTCCTCCTTGAACTTTCGGAAATTCGAATCTTCTCCGGCGGTTACTTCAGGTTCATTATGGGCTATACATTGAGTGGGCGTTTGCTACAGGGGGTTTGCACGTTGTTCCTATGGCGGCGAAGAGGGCATGGATTGCTTTGATCGTGGTACGTGTACTGATTATCTCAGTGTTTTGAATTTTCCCAGCTAACCGAATATGTATGTCCAGATCTTTTGGGTGCTTTACCTCGCCGGGTTGGCCTTGGTCCCAAGGCAATTTTCGCAGGAAAAGCGCGCTAGACATGGGACACCCACGAAGTCGGACGAAATTGGGCTTCAGAACAATCATTCTGGTGATGTTCAATCTGCGTAGGGGTTCCTCAACTCAGTATAGAACGAAACATTCCTCCAGCCTATTTGAAATTGGACTATGATAGGAAGGGTCGGTATTAGTAGCTGTTGCCTTGAACATTTGTGTTATGTTATTATCTTAATAGCCAATAATTCACTGAATAAGTAGTGACGCGCACATTGAATGAAATGACGCGAAATATCATTGGACACAAAAACTCAGGGTATCTAAAGGGTATATGTACTAAAACTACATTAAAACTTAGTTCATAAAGAATGTAACACGAAGATCGAAACGAGATCGAAAGTGTAAACGGTGTTATAATGATACATACAAGATTTGAATCACATACAGTAAGGGGGTATAGGTCCGGATCAGAATCAGAAGGAGAGGGTATACGCAGATTCTGTCGACGGTGAAGAAACATAGAAGGCGCTTGCTAGAGATACATCTGGTGCAAATGGGAAGCAGAAAATGAGCATGTATGAACAAAACGGGAAATGCGTCAAATATCCAGGCGAAACGTAACTTTGAGGTTCTAGGAAATTAAAGAGCGGGTGCTGAATCACGACGAAACAAGTACTGATTGTTTGGATAACCAAAACATCGGGAACATTAGAAGATTGGAGACTGATAATGAGCCATGCACGTGCACCAATTTTCAGGTGGCGCATAAATTCTATCATTGCCTGTGACCAGAATGACTTGTGGAAGGACCATGAGCGGGGTAGGGGTATGTAGAACCTCGGTCTGTGGAGGACCCAAACTCGGATTGATATCTCGCCGAATATGGGCTATTCTCCTCGTAAGCAAGAGATTGACCGTACGCCGCCCGGTCCTGGGACGAAACAGGAGATGCATAGTGACGTTCGGCGGCAGAAGTAGGACTGACAGAGTGTCGTTGACCGCTTTGTGATTGCATCTGAGAACTCGAAGAGTACGGCATAGGATCGATATGACGCTGTTCATATCCGGGAGGATGACCGCCAATGAAGGATGATGAAGAGATAGGCGCGGAGCTTCTCCCTCTCAGCAGGGAGCTGCCATACATAGGAGCGAAGCTCGGAGCTGATTGTATTGCTCCCTGAGGATATACGAAATCTGGGAAAGTGTCTGTTGGAGTGAGGAACACTGCTCCGAAAAGGACAGCACTAGAGTTCGGCGAAGGAAAGAGTAGTATCCCGTGTCTACCTGACCCTCCAGGAGAAGTAGGTGATCTACTCAAAGCGATAGCCACAATCGCAACCTGTAAGCGCCCGAAACATGTTCAGAACCCAAGAAGGGCGTGAATAATACAATCGCTTACGAGTTGGCCATCCCAAAGAAGTCGTGACAAAGAGCGGAACTGACTTTGATTGACAGCGTTTTGGTCGGAATCTCTTATACGATCCGGCATGAATGTTGTCAATGGAATTGAAGGAGAGTGATGCCTCAGGTAATTTTGCAGTTGAGCAAAAATAGGGAGTGCGTGGGGACTCGTTACCGAAAATACAAACCGACTAGGCCAAAGATGACTTTGTCTGTGGGGACTAAATCAGTATCAGTCAGGCTCTAGTCCGGATGGAGAGAACATTTCAGAAACAAACTCACGTCTCTCCATCAGTCTCCACGCCAGTTACTCGAATGTTGACATTGCTGCCTATGTCAGATGCCCGAGTGCCACTAACAAGGAATTGACCTCTCCAAGGAGTGTAGACAGCATCTGCAGCATTGAGTGCTTGAGAAGCAGGAGGAGGAACAAACGACTCGAGCTGCGATGGTAGACGAAGAACCATTAGCACTCGGATAAATATGGGTTCAAAGGCTGTCCGAACGCGACTTGAAAAGAGCCTTGAAATGAAACGCAGTCTTCCGAAAGTAATTGAATGACGTACGAGGCTTCACTGATTAAGCAAGATATTGGAATTAATATTAGAAGATGCAAAGACTAGAGTGTCAAAAAGAAAAAACTGTGAGACCGGAATGAAGGAAGGCGATGAATACCGGGACTGAAAAAAAGAAAGCCCAGCAAGCAGGAAATCCCTTTATAGGGGCCGAGAGGGTGGAGAGACAATAGAGACGCGTAAAAGCGAAGAGAAATGCGCCTTACTGTGAATCTCAACCCGCTGTGTGACCTTTTAAACAAATGCTAAATTCATTCGGGGATAACTCCGGCGGAAAGAAGGCAAAGGTGCACGGAAGGACCCTGCGGCAACCAAAATGAACAGACCATATCCGGAAGACGCGCACCGGGGGAGAAGTTCTTCAGAGAGATCAAGCTGTCGCGTGTACGAGGTAGTTATGCCACCATAAGGCACACAAAGCAACCCAACAGGGAACGATTTCCCAGCCCCATTCCAGAAAATGAACGAGTGATAAACCAGATAGTGTTCACGTTCAGATAATGTTCATTTCTATCATCGCGACCATCTGAGCCCTTATACTTCGTAGTTCTAGTGTTGTTTTCTATGAATGAGTTGGTGACCAACGGCCCACGGGATCCCAGGATGCTCGAAAATGGAACGTAGAGTCTCGGAGGGCCTAGTAAGATATTTGTTAAACAGGCTCGCCGTTGCCGAGTTTTTCAACGTGCCACCCCCGTTATCTGGATTATCGCCTGAGGTCTCGTCTTCGATTGGGCTCACTATAATGATGTGGAGGAGGGTATTGGAGTGGCTGAGTTCCGTCAATATTGTGGTACATAAAAGGGTTCCTGAGGTTACTGAATAGCCCTAACCCTAAATCTGTTTCGGTTATCAGTTATAATCCACGTGGAGTGCGGACTGCCACGTTGTCGACCTTTCTTCCGGTGGCAGCCCGTCTGCACTGTACTCAATCCAGCCAACGCTTTCCGATGCCACCGAGTCTGTTGCGAACTGCGACGACCGTCTTCTCTTCCGTGGAATACCGATTTTCTGATTTTATTCTCCCAAGGTCTGTCCAGTGCAGGCCCAGGGGCTCTTTGACGTTACTTATTAAGTCGTGGTGATATTTGCTGATATCTTGTCTTTCTCAAGAATCAATGGCAATGTATAACGCAGTATAAGGACTATTGTCATAGTCTATTGAACATGTTTCCTAGATACGGCTCCTAGCAGCCTCCGACACAGATCATTCATGAGCGTCCTGGTAGAAGTGACGCCATCTGACGGACGGACACATCGATCTTGTTACAGTTGACCGGGCTTCGCTTTATATTTCAAAGGAGCCACTCCAACTCAAAAAATGACAGTAGAATTACTCTACATACTTGATCGATCCTCGCACCGTGCCCAAGAGAGTGAAAAAAAACCCCAGTAATTGACTACGCGACAGTCAGACAAAACAGAGTTCTATGTGCCTATGTAAGTGTCGGAATTTTTATCTTACATACAAGCTTCAACCTCAGGCCACCGTATTTCTCTGTGTTTTCAAGATCGTATCGGCCAATAAGCTGCAACGGCTGTCCTCTGCTGACCCGTATGACTACCGTACCTGTTGAAGGGAAAACCGAAAGCGAAAGGGCCAAGTCTTGCTATATGTAGTCGACGGGTGACTAGCAGGTTGGCCTACATTTTCTCATTGCTACCTGACAGGCCTAAATCCGCTCTTCACCTGAGTCAATATTGATATTATGTCTATCGCACTCAACATCACGGTTGAACTTGTTGATATCATTAAGAGTGATTAATCAACTTACATATTCAATACTCTAATGTTCCTAGCTTTGAGAAACGGGACAAAGTAGGGGACATTATATCCAATATGTCCCTCATTCTTTGACTTCTGGTTCCAACTGGTGTTTTGTTCGTGTACCCTCTGGACCGCAGTTCCTACTAATGTCTCGAATGTCGTCACCACGGATGCCTCTCTATGTGAACTCGATACGAACTACCTATCGTCCGCGAGTCGCAGCTCAGTGATGAAGTGAGTTCCCATGTGCTAACAGGCCTAGGTGCTAGCGGGTAGCTCTATGAAGCTTTACAGGGTTTTGGCGTAATAATTATAAGTTCAGTAGTTCATTACATAGAAACGGATAGGTTCGGACCGTAAATGAAAAATAAATCGATTGTTCACACGGTATTATGCAAATCCCGTTTTCTCAATAAGCTGAGGGTGATATGTTACCTACGCTGCTAATTAGTAAATTAAGGATTTGAGGGACGCAAAGATAAAAAGCTGAGTTTGCACGATTGGTATGAACGTTATTGAGGTCTAGTGCAGATTGAGAGAGCGATACTGACAGTGACAGTGATTAGCAATGTGTGATCCTGAGAAGCTTGAACTTGAGGGCGGGCTTTTTCGTGCATCCTGCGATCGATCTTGCGACCGCAATTCTTCCTATTTCTCTCTATTTCTCTCCATGGAAAATATCATGAAATCGCTGGCTCATGTTATCCCATCCTCGACTAAAGAGCAAGGAGATGTGAATTAAAATTCAAGAAAAACTAATCACGGAAAGGCTGACGTCACCCATAATTTCAGATTTCTCTTCTGCAATTCCTCGATTTGCAGCAGTTAAATTGTCTCAACGAATCAATAGAACACAACTTTAAATCTATAGTGTCCTCCAAGAAGCCCAATACCTCTTCTTCGTACCTGGAGAGCGATGCCGATGAGCAACTTCTACTAAATATTGCCGTATGTTTAACATGATATTTTCTTTGAATCTGTACTGATCCCACATCTTCGAATTGCTCCTCTACGTTCGCGAATCCACCGTTAATATCTTTCCAGTTCAATCAGTCTGTACGAGTGAAATCCATCTCAATCAAGTCTACCGACATCGCACACGGGCCCAAGAAGATCAAACTTGCCGTGAACCGACCGAGTTTGGGTTTCGATGATGTAGCCGAGGCAGAGGAACCTGCGGTGGCACAAGTTTTAGAACTCGACGAGGAAACGGTCAAGGAAGGGAAACCTGTTCCTCTGAGGTTTGTCAGATTCCAGAGCGTGAATAGCTTACATGTACGAAGCCATTCTGCTATCTGGAAACATGCTTAATCTTTGTTTATACAGATATTCGTCGTTTCAAATCACGGAGATGAGGAGGAAACGAGGATTAATGCGATTGACATTATCGGCGTACCTGTGGAGTGCGCCCTTCCTATTCCTTTCCCGTTGTACATCCACTTACATTTTTTGATAGAACTACGAAGGATCTCAGTGGTTTGAAACAGCAACAAGAGAACTAAACATCATAATCGTATATTTGCAACAATGAGATTGCTTTCTTCATATTCAAACCAGATAACATTGTTGCCGGTCTCACCTCGCTTTCCGCAAAACGAAAATAATGGCAGACGCTGCAATATTTACATAGTTCATTTAACGGACCCTGAAGCAACTCCGTCCAAGAGTCAGTGTACCTCAGCCTTGCTCCGTAGCGCCAGCCGAAAACTGCGCATTGTTGCTAGCTAAAATTACACCTTTTGAACTTACTTTCTTTGTCTTTATAACTATTCTCAATTTGAAGCACTCATCCCACATCGCTGTCGCATTTGCTTCGGCGAAGTTCGTTCCCATCTGCGTTTTAATACATTATTTATACAATGGATTTTTGACATGTACAGGCCATTTGGGTTCCGAAGATAGTGTGAAAAAAATTCAGTTGTACTCTTTGACCACTACACCAAGGATGACTTCTTCCTCAACCTTCTCCTCCTTGGAACTGGGTTTCATGGAACCCGTTCCGTATCTTTCCGTCCTCTCTTTCCTCCAATCACTCATTGTCGGAGCATGCGCCTTTTCCGACTCCGATGCAGCACCTGCACGAACAGACGCAAGCTTGACATCATCCGCCGCCATAGCGAAGTAAAAGACTCCAAGCCGTTCCATGTGCTCTTGATCTTTGGGTGGCTGAATAACGCGGTGAATAGTAGGCTTATAAAAGTTGCCTGAGAGCAATTGCATCACATCCCCCGAATTCACCACCTAAATGAACCATATTAGTGATCATTGACAGGCCGGAGCTCAAAAATCATGGCCTCACTAGAGCATTCTCGACATGCCTGATATATCGCCACACTCCGTCAGGCGAAAGGATCTGAAGGCCGGAGATGGGTTGACTCCACAGGATTGTAATACTTCCAATATCTAGCAACGATTCCATTCAATGCGGCGGTGGCAGATTCTTTTTTTCGGAAGCGCATACCAGTGTGACCTTTGAGCCAAACATTTTTCGTTTGAAGTTCTTCTTCCGGAGACCGCGGATAGCTACGTTTGGAGAGATTAAGAACGATGATGAACAGAAGAAGCATGTCAGAGAGGAGCTTACTATTTCATGAACCTTACTGCAACACAGCAAGACAAGATCACTTGTTTAGTAACACCACCTGAAGTTCCGAAGATAGGCCCTATGAAAAGCACACACCGGAACTTTCCCCAGGAGCTTCGAATCGGTGCATATCAACGAATGTGTCTTCGGGTAGTTGCATGCCCATGGCCATAAGACTGCGCAATATCGGCGGTGTAAACGTTAGATCGAGGGTCGCTGATAGAGGACACCGACAATAATTACCGGAGAATTGTAAAGAGGATGTGTGTGTGATTGTGGCGAGAGAACTTCTCGATCTCGTCTAGATGTGGGCGCAATGCGCCAGGATGCATTCGATTACGAACGTCATGATTGACTGCGAGGTGGAGAGTAGATGATCAAGTGTTAATAAGTACTCATGCTATTGCGCTACGTGAACAGCGTACGTACTGTTGTAGTGCTCGATTTGATCTGTAACACCCTGCTCAATTTGCTATGAGCGACAGAATGAATGGAAAAATGTTTATTTGTACGGTCGAGATTAGGATTTTTGGGAATCAGAATGCGATTTATGCACGGCCAAAAAAATTCGCGCACCCATGTCTGTCTAGGTTTGTAACCTTCGTATACTGCAGGAGACTTGCCCATATACATCTTTTTCTCTTCGTTATCAACGTCATCAAATGTAGATGAAGCGATACTGAACGTTCTCCGCGTCTGATAAAAATTTCAGCGATCAAGATACCAGAATGCAACATCTGACCAACCTGTTCAACCGTATACCCGTGATTGACAACGTAGAAGAATCCTTGAGTATTCATGGCTTGGACAACTTCATCTGCGAGGGCTTTGCGTCCTTCGAGAGTGTCCGCCTTGGAGAGATCAATGATGGCCAAATCCGCCCAGTCAACTGAATCAGGAGATGAAGGAAGAGGAAGAAACGGATGGCAAAGATGACCTACGCTGCTCAGTCGTCGTCGGAGGCGGTACATATTCAGTAAGACCCCCTGTGGAAATCGGACGCTTGAAAGATAATTTCTCCGAAAGCCGCAGACGAGTTAGCGGTGACAAGAAGCGCCGAATAAATGGAAACGGAGTTGCGCCAGTGCTTGACATTTCGAGCTACAAGAGTTATCAGCACAGGAGGTGGGGACGAATTGACTACGCACGAAAGGGAACTATAGAGAAAAGAGAATGGACTTTATGCTTTTAACTGTAATCTTCTCTGCAGCGTGACCATTTAGTGAGGAATTAGTCAATGAGAGTCCTATCTTTCTACCGGAAGTTAAACACAGAGCGGAACACTGGAGTTCCAGTGACTTAGTACTCAGATACATTCATCCCACAATGTCGATCGTCACTTGAGCCAGGAGGAAAACGCGTTGCGTTATCTGTTACCCGCACTAAGAACATTTGACTGAGCTCGAACCAATGGAATTCGTCGACTAACTTAATTTTACCGCATGTGAAAGTTGCATCAAGATATCTGTGAATTCGATTCCTAGAGTTTTCAACACCATCTAATGATCATTGGTATGAGTTTTACAACAGCAAAACGGTATCAGATACTCACAAAGAAAAGCTGGATTCCGACCAATGAAAACGACCGCAGCATATCTCTTTCTCGTATCAGAGAGGGATGTTGGTCCAATTTCAGCTCCTCAACTGTAAGACAGAATCAGATGTAAATGAGATACGTAGGTCGATAATATAGCTTGGTACTTCGGTCCCCAGTTGATATGATCGATGATTGACGAGGGAAACTGATAAGAGAACGACATGGGAATCAAGATTTTCCACAGCGAAATCAAAGTGGAAAAGATAAGGCTAAGAGCGTAGTACACGTATTAATGTACCCTTAAGCCGATACGTGACCAAGGGCCTGAACAAGGTCGTACGGTGGTAATACCACCAATTCCAGTAGTTTCCTGTTCCTTGGCAAACTGCTTGAGTAGCTCTACATCTCCGTGAGTGCAATTGAGGACCTACTTAACTATGTGGCAGCTATGTGGACCGGAGACTCAAAGAAGCGCGGAAGACTCAGAGTCGGTCGAGTCGGCCCGTAATCACGGCGCCACGAATACCAGAGGTGCGAATTGAAGTGCTTTTGTCTTCAACTCACAACAAGCCACCCTAGCTATACAACCTTGTGCAGAGAACAAGAATGTTTCCATCTCATTGTCCTGGCTTGTCTTAAGTTGCTATGGACTCCTAGCATCCTCCTATAAAGAGGCCTGCAATGGACGAATCATACTCAGTAATAATTCATAACCTCGCTTCAGAACCTCTACTAATACTATGGGTCAATTCTTCTACCTTATCAACCTCGACAAACGACAGAACAAGGGAGACTTCGAGCCATTTTATGGCTGCTACTCGATCCTCGATCTTCTTCTTCACAAAGACCCAAAGCAAAGCTGGGCTGGCGACAGGATTATCGTGTTGGGTGATGAAATAGATACCCGGTACGACGTTCCTGAACGCTGGGAATCAGCTAGACCATCCCTGCGCACGCTTTGCATCCAGGCGCTCAAGGACGATGATGATGATGATGATTATGATAACGTCGGTGCTAATGATGAAGATATAGAGGGTGGGAGCGATACAGAAGTAAATGAGGACGAGGAGGACGCAGCAGACGGGACGGGTAAAGACTCGGACAAAGAGAACAAGGCAGCTATGACGGAAAACGCGGGAGGCGACGTGGATGACAACGGCACAAGGCACGAGCTCAGAAAGCAGAAGCATACGTCGGGCGAGGTCAGTAAGGATACAATTTCTTTGAAAAGCTCCAGCGAAGCATATATTGAGGCAAAGGACGCGGAGAACCAGGAGAATAATTTCCAAGTCGAGGACTCGAAGGTCCTGTCTACATTCACTGTGCCTCCCCTACGTGGCAAAGAAATAGGAAACAATCATGTCTTGAGAAACCTCTCAAACTTCGAATATGTTCGTGGCAATGCATTAGCTGTCCGCAAGTGCGATTTGGACGAGCAGCCCGGTGGCAAGTCACCTATAGATTTGTTGCTCTCGTAGGATTACTGAATTCTAATGACAGAAGAAGAGAACGACGCGTCCCGCGATCGGTCGGATATTCAGTTGCCCCATCTTGCAGACGTTGCTATCATGCAGATTACCTGGGCAAGTCCCCGAAAACGCACTGGGTGTCCGGATGAGTGGCCTAGTCGGTACATGGTCAATCGCGGTCCATGGGCAGGAGACCGTTTGGATGTAGCGGAAATAGACTTTGACCGAGAGGGACATGACTGGACGGATGTTAGTGATAAAGTGGCCCGCAGACTGTTTCGATTGTGGCGCCCGAATTCATATGATGAAGATATGAATGGATACGTTCGTGATAGGTAGGCATTCTTAAACCTATCTCAGAAACTTGTTGATTCAATGACATCGAATCACAGGTCTGTCCTCTCCCGTTCAACGGACGTCGAAAACCCATTTCCACGTCTTCCACACGAACTAGTCCATAGAATCTTCACATTCTGTGCTGAAGCGAACAACACGGACGCTGCAACTTTGATTCGAGTTGCTAGCTGGACTCGAGCGCAGCTAACTCCCATCCTTTATCGTGCCGTTACTATACCCGTGCGCTATCAAGGACACATCTTTAAGGATGTCTTCGAGCAGAATCCAACCCTTGGCCACCATATCCACCGGCTTTGTATCCCTGCACTGGAGGAAGAACTGGCTATCAATCTTCCCAATCTCAATGTCCTTTTCACAGGTGAAATATATGAGCCTTGGTGGCTCAACAGGTGGCCGACTCCTAAGTATATCATGTTCGGCAAAAAATTTGGTGACGAGAGTTTCAGATTTCCTTCAGTAACCCACCCAATCCTGCGAAATGTCACACACCTCCTTGTCAATTGCGATGATCTTTCTACTCTGAAAGGTCTATCTTCATTTCATGCCAAGTTAATGCCTTACTTGACCCGGTTGGCGGTAAGATATGCTCCTTCTCGTTCGATCTTTACCGGACAAACAATAGATGCAGTGGTCGACGACTACCCTCAATTCGTAGCCCAGATCCTGGAATGTAAAGCACTGGACTATGTCATGATTTTCTATGATCGCGCTGGATTCCAGTACTTGGATAACAGCTGGGATGGCATTGCGAAGATAAACGATCCTCGTCTTCTTGCGCGAAGAGCGCTTCGCGAGGAAGAGTATGACAATATTGTCGATGGCGGTTCAATGTTCTGGGACAATGCAGTCAACCAATGCAAGGACTGGCGAGAAGATGTTCATAAACTCCTTCCAGAAGTCCTCGAACCTCGGACTGAAGATGATTGTACTATAGCCTGAACCAATTGCAACATTACTTGTAGCATGAGTACTAGTCAGATTTAATCAACTGTGTTTGCCTTGAGATGATGTCATCGGACTCCGGTGAAACATACATATGCCTAGACTGAACCACCATGGGCTCGACTCTTTCTACACTGTCTACCGCTCTCACGAAAGGCGCAGAGTCTGCATCATATAATGGACACCCCACCGAACAAGACGTGGTCGACGTCCGCGAATTCATGCTCAGTTTCCTCCCTATCGAAATTATAGACCTCATACTAGATTTTGGCGAATACTGGCCCTGCCTTCGAGTAGACTCTAACAATGAAATTGAGGCGGTAGCTTCGGGCACTATTACCGGAGAGGCAACCTGGTTGTATCTCATCTCTCCACCCATACCACCGAGGGAAATATCCGGCACCGATAGCAGACATCGAAGGATACGCAAGGTGACATTCGAGATGGAAAGCCACGACCAGGGATGGACAAGTTTTCCGGAAAACATAGGTACGATTGATCTTCTGCTCTCGGAATGATCTCCAACCTATATATTTAGGCACATATAACGGTTCATGGAGCTGGTTCGAAGCTATCATCTTCAGACCCTCAGTTTCACCATGTTGGGTCGACCTTAATTCCGGTCCATTCAATTTCGGTGCCACCTTCAATGCTCAAGATATCAAAGAGCTTTTCCCAGAACCAAATCCGAACGGCTGGCTCATCCAGACCAATATTGTTGCTAACAATGAATCCCTATCCCATTCAGTGACCTGGACAGAGTTTGAAGACGAAGAAGCCTTTGTCGATCCAACATCTCTGAAAGGCCGAGAAGGACTCGGACATGAACTTGTTAGATCTTTGGAGCCTGGCGACAGGATTATGCTGATGGCCAAATCCAAAGTCAGTATATCATCTGCCTCGGTCTTTATTCCATGTTGACAACGTAGTTGTAACTCGTAGTTCCCTGGATGGACGAATCATATTTATGAAGGCTCGATCGAAATTTATTATTCCATATAGTCATTCTCTGTATATCCCCTCCACATCATATTATCATTGGCTCTACCCGTTCTTGGCTGCTAGATAAGCTTTTGCAAAACTTGGAAAATGTGATTGTAAAAGTACTTCTGAGTCTTCCTCAGAATGGAAAGCAACCTTCCATGGGTGCAAACTTCACGAGATACACTAGTGTTGATCACCAAGATATGAATCACCTTCCTCTTAGAACTCACGATTCATATTCTCCACCTGTTTAAGAACTACGGATAATCTCTGGCGAAACTATATACAAAGCGTCGAATTCTGAAACCATTACTTTTCGCATGCAGGCATAAGGTACGAAATTTCAACTATAGAAAACAAGGTGTACAATTCATGTAGTTAAGCAACAAAAAGTGCTTGATTCCCTCGGAGTCGTGATTATTTGGAAACATGAATAGAAGACTTTCGTGTCCGAAGGCGTTTCACAAGGCAGCTTTCCCAGCAGTCTGTACAATTCGTGTTCGTGAAGAAAATTTCTTGATCGAAAACGGATACTGACCTCGATAGGCAAGAAGAGCATCAACATAGCTGCGACCAGGAACAAGGATGCAGAGACAAATATAGGCCTTTGGAATCGCGTTAATCCGAAGTTTACTTTCGTTAATAATACTCACCCATTAGCGGCATCGTTGGCTGCCGTCCCAGCTGCAGTCGTGGTCACAATTTTGATGACCGGGGCGAGGATGCCAGTAATCCGATTAAAGGCAGAACATAATGCATCGCCAGTGCCTCGGTGAGGTGCAGGGAAAACTTCGGGGGTGTAAGCATAAAGGACGCCATACATCTAAGGTGTTATGCGATCGGAATAAGTCCTGCGAAAAAATTGATAATTGAGGAGAAGGTACTTGCGGCGTTTCTGAGAGTGGGGAACGAATAGGGATGGGATCAGCATATATTTCGTTAGAGGACAACATGAGGCAACTAACTGAGTTAATCCAGAAGCACAGGAGTATCCCAACACAGCGGCCGTTGTTTTACTCGTCGTGAATAAGAACAAGAAAACACCTGTGAGTGCCGTGGAGACCGCCATAGTAACTTTTCGACCTCCCATCGCGAATGCTGATTTGTTCTTTCGGGTCCAATCGACAACAAGGCATGCGATGATAGATCCTGGCACTCCCAATACAGATATAATACTATAGTTTCGATATGTCGTGGAGACGCTTGAATCAGAAGGGACTTGTGTGGTGAGGTATAAGGTGATGAACCCATTGAACAGAGGGTATGCTAGCCCGATTAATCTGCTCAAAGTGCGATCATCAGCAATATAATCAAGGAGAGCGGAATGATCACAGACGAACCCCCATAGTAGAATGGTAATGGTGGTGTTGATTGCTAGCCGTCTTGTGGAAAATAGAGGAGTGACATGCGACCTTGGGAAACAGTGGATATACCATTCAGTATGCAGTAAGGTTAATCGAATGAGTGAATCGAATTTCTTACAGGGAGAATGACGAGAAAGATTGTTTGATAAGCTGCCGAGTAGTCAACGGAGTTGAGGTAGCATCTTGGGTTCCTGATACGATTCGCAAACTCTCAACTGTAAGAGTGATCGTTCTCCCATTTACACGAGCAATGTGTTCCAAAACCTAGTAAGGTAGTACACAAAAAAAATCAACGGTTTGTTACATCACACGTGTGTTGCTGGTCAAACCTTGATAGCCTTTTCATCCTGGCCCTTACTGATAAGATATTTCGGTGACTCTTGAAGGTCGAACACAATATATCGAAGGATCCACATGATAAGGGTTACTCCTCCTCTGGAAGGTTCATTGATAATTTGGCACACTACGATCGAAAACAACTTACAGAACGTAGCTACGCGCGAGAACTGTAATCAAAATGCTGTACGAGAAAGCCGAAAGGGAATGATGAACTCACAAGGTGTAACGCCAACCCATATTGCTAGACTTCGGGCAATCATCGGCTGAAGTACACGAGAAGTTCCCGATCAATGGCCAAGCGACCAACGAAGCGAATAGCTGGCCAAGGGCCCACCAGGCTGACAGGAGCGTCAGAAGCCACTATTTCGACATTGATTTGAGTCCTCGTCCCCATCCATGAAGGATAGCGTAACTTCACATACCTGGTGCGACTGGGGTATGAATTCCAGGAATATAGCACCTAAATCGCTTTGTAAGCCGACATCAAAAACAATGGAGATATGTATAAGACGCAGACCATCAACAGGCAAGCTGAGAGCCATGAGAATAACGCACGTTATCATAAAATTTCCAAGGACTTACTTTCCACCCACGCCAAAACCCGTACAAGCGACCAACGCAGCAAGGGTTGTAAAGTTATTTGCGCCACCTGCTGCTACCCCAAAAACGCCGGCAATAAACAAAGTGATGTTGAACGACAGACGACGACCTATCAAGTCGGCAAGGATGCCCCATGTACTTGCTCCCAAGATGAGACCGACATATAGAGAGAGGGTCGTAAATTCGACTCTGACAGGGTGAAGCTCTAATTGAATTTGGGGAAGGATGATAGCTACACCCTGAAGCCAAATATCTGAGAAATAATCCTGATGAGGGGAATTTTGTGATCGAGGTATAATCACAAATACGTACTATCAGCAGCCCAACCCAACCCGGTCAACATAAACAACTGAAGCTGATAACGTCCGAAACCAATTCTGGACTTCTGTGAGTCCTAGCGGATGAAAAGCACGTTGTAATTTCACAATCTTACTCGTTCTGGAGGTGCTCGTTGACTGTCGCAGTAATCAGCTATACAAAAAAAGCGCGTCAATGAGGAAGATTGACTAACTAAGCCGACTCTTTGCTTCATATGCGGCGGATACGCCATCTTCTTGCGCAGCGACAGTGAAGTCCTCAGTGCTGTATACGAGTTCTGGGGAACTTGATTCTTTTTCAATGTCATTCATGGTTACTGAGCCAACGATGGAGAAGAGGAAACAGAAGAATATGAAAGGGGGGAGACAAGGAAGGTCCGCTCCAGTACGGACTTCATCTTGAATTCATGTGGAGTATAAAAGCTGATGGTTGACAGTGAGAGGAAACTACCAGATCCCGTGAATCTCCATTCAAAATCAAAGGGAAAACTCAAGATGCGAATGATGGACTTGCATAGATATATTTGGTGGCCTATGATTAACCAGACCCTGCATGAAATTTACTGGCATAGGTGGAGCAAAGAGCCCAGAAAAAAAAAGAGCAAACGATTAATGAGAACAAACTGAGGGTGTAGTATGTACCTGAGCGCTTGAGCGTTTCCAATGCGTCTCTTTGTTTAAGTTTCCGCTTCTCTCGCTACTGAAACCTTCTCTTGGAAAATCATATACCAGAACGCTCGCGACTCCTTTCTTATCGCTCTCTAATAGTTTACCTTTTCTGACCAGGTTGCGAACGCAACTTCAACGTCAAATCTTCGGAATTGAAGCAGGTACTTTAGATTCATATCCCTCGTCACCCCATCATCTACAATCTATCATCAGGTGAAACGACTACTTTGGAGCATGGACGGCTGGTGGAGTTGCAGCTCGCACGTTCAAGCCACCGATACTATACTATACTATCCTATCCTGGATATCTTAGAGTTTGATGATCTCAGCGAAATTAGAATCGATAACCTGTGCTTCACCCTATATGGGTGATGACTCTCACCAAGGAGTCGTAATGCACTGAATCCCGAAAGGTGAATGCAAGGGCTCATAAATAACAGCACCCTTCCACTTCTGCAGCCATGTGGTTCACGCTAAGTTTCAACAGCCACCCGGTTACACTTCTTGTCTTCTTCGTCGCGATCTGTAGTAGGAACACTCAATACAGCAGCTCATTGTGGACACCTCGAGCATGGCGGACGATGTGTTTACTCCACATATGGAAGCGGTCTCGTGAATACTCCGTTCTATTCTTTTGAAAAGTGTTCATAGCGGTCTAACGATTTCCCCCCCATGTTTTCGACTATCACCAGCAATCTTTTGTGGGCTGTAACTTCTGCTGTGGGAGCTGGACTTTGCTTCTTCGTGCTTCTTGTCATCGCTGCAGTATGGTCGTATCCCTTAACGCGCTCACATCTGGATCGTGTGAGTTTCCGAATAGTGACAATCGCGCTTGTCGCAAAGTGAGTGCACGTTTTGGTGGCCTATCTGTATCCTTTACTAATTCTCATTGATCAGTATGATCTTTGGGATTGCAAGCGCTGTAGGAGGAACGATGACGCACGGTGGTTTCCTCTGTGGCTTCTCAATTTTTGTCCTGCAGGTGAGTTTCATTTGACAATTATATGTCTGTCTTTAAAATTTGACCCTCATAGTTGACTCTACAAATCTCGAGCTTCCTACTGTTCTGCATCGCTCTTAATCTTCAGTGGGTTATTTGTGATCATTTTCGTAGGACTTTCAGCGTTCATAATTATCTGAAACTAGACTTGTTGTCGTTCATGGCTTCAATGGACAGAGTATGGAGAAATATTACATCATTTTTTCCCTCGTTTTCGCTTCTGTACTTGCAATCCCTCCTTATGCAGCTAACCAATACGGGTGCGCGTTCATTTCTTATTCCCGCAAAGATTTCCTCAACCCTTCGACGTAGATGGGATCCTTTGGAACAAGATTGTTGGTATAAAAATGATAACCGAAGTCAACGATTGGCATGGCAGGTAGAGGAACCCGCACAGTAATTCGAGCCTTCATTCTCAACCCAGCTTCCGCCCTAGATATCGACTCAGATGGCCTGGACGGCAATAACATCTATAGGTGAAATCATAGCATCAACTTCCGTCATGGTGTTCATGCTGAAGCATCACGTATGTAGGCGGTCTAACAGCCTAAGATGTTTTACCTAAATTCGCTTCTCGTAGGTACGCACTCGGCGTGTCTTTGTTTCCACACAATCGATCTCCCGAAATTCGTCCAATTCACCACAGGTCATCCATGCTAACAGTTATAAACGGATCATTTTGCGCATCGGTATTATTCGTTTTGCGAACGGATTAACTGAATACTTGTTGATCCCGAATCATCTAGCTCTTTACCCGCTGGCGTCGTGTTTCGTCAATTTGCTAAGCATATTCACCGCACTTCATTCGACGGTAGCAGGTGGTATTCATAACCAAACCGTGAGTGTTGGTTTCTCACTTTCAACTTTATCGTTGGAATTGTTCATTCAATCTGTCAACTCCAGGATTATCATATTCTTCTGTTGAGTAAGTTCCGACAGGTACGAGGGAACTTCCTTGAATGCTGATCGTTCATCCTCAGGCGATTTCCTGTACGGCGGTCGCGCAATCGTTTATGCGCTTCTTGCGGCTTCAGATCCTGTGAGTATGGAATATGATCAAGTGGACTTTTAGAACACTCAAGCCCGTCATAGGCCTTGGTTCGCGGTGTCAAGGCTCTTTACCGAATTATTCGTGGTACACATGCCTCCGATACTGATGTTGGTAAACATTACCCCACCATGGACGATCAAAGCCAATCGAACGGCCTAGTCGTTCATATAGAGCTCACGACGGTACATGATTCCTTTGGACACGAGTTGGAGGAAGAAAGAACGCCCAAACAGACTGAGATGGGTTTGCCAGGCATACCTGAGGACAAGCGAATCAATGAACCACAGCCTGTGAATTCTGCTAGAGCTTCCCTGGAGCTTAGGAGACGAACCTCAAGAAATCTCACAGGTTTGGACATACGGCGGCGCGAGGAAGCACTTCGAGAGGAGGAGGTCGCGTTTAACAAACAAATTTAATCGCACATACGTACAGTATGTACAGTATGTAGGTCTGATGTATATGTACGTTTGTTCCTAATATTTATGTCGGTACTATTGGTTAGGTTAGGGTTAAGCGTTTCAACAGACGCCTCTGTAGACGCCCAGCGAACTGCTGGTATTAGTAATCGGTTTGGTATTGTCTGATATTGTATTCCTTTCCTTTCTATTGTTCAAACGAAGACTTACGCGGTGCGTTACTTCCAATAAGTCTTTTTGGTATGTACCACAATATTATTCCGTCAATCTCAGGCTCATGAAGCCTGATGAAGGCTATCCCTAGGCACACAGCTTGATTAGGCGCTTGATAAGGCTTGATTCATGCACGAAGTACAGTCTCGAACGATGCAATCCCAAAGAGGATTAGACTATATAGCTTGTTTCGAGTCTAGGTCAATGAAACAATAGATATCACAAGTGAATAAGATGCAGACATGTTGGCGTTATGGATGGTTTGGTTGTAGGACCTTGTCAGGACCTTGTAGAACCTCATTCCAGGTTTCTGGCTTCGTCCGCAATGAAGCGTAATGAAGCTGCTTCTCATACAAGATTTTCAAAACAAGGACGTCAGGTCTCCTCATCTAACCTCTGTCTATAACCTCCCACTTTGAAAGTTTTGAAACTCTGGTCCCCTCATATGGCTTCCGACAGCTTCCGACGCAGTGGCCTGCCCGACGGCCCTGCAATTGGGTCTGATTTTTAATCCGGTGTACCTCGATATGAGGTCAAGGTCAGTAGGATCAATCTGTGGCGTTGGAATTTCGACTCTATAGTACTTGTTCCTCTATCTCTACCTTCATGTTCTCCACGAGAACCAGTGACCTGCTCTGGGCAATCACATCCGCTGTTGGAGCCAGCTTTTGCTTGATTGTCCTCCTGGTAGTCGCAGCAGTATGGTGGAATCCAGAGTCACGACCACATCTCGACCGGGTCAGTTTCCGTATCGTGACTGTGGCTTTATTCGTCAAGTACGCCAGCCGTTATATGCACTGAACCGTCCTCCTATCAATGATGTTGACAGTATGCTATTTGGAATCTCAAGCACAGTCGGAGGAATCCTTACAGAAGATTCCTTTCTCTGCGGGTTTTCTATCTTCGTCTTGCAGGTGCGTATTTAATCTTTTTTTTCAGGATAATTTACGTACACAGACTGATTGTCGCTCTCACATCAGTTGACGTTACAATTTTCCAGTTTCCTTCTTTTCTGTATAGTCCTCAATTTACAGTATGGACTTACGACTGTCAATGAATTATGTCCAAACTCACGTATATATATATACAGACTCGTGGTTCTCTATGGACTCGATGGCCAAAAACTAGAGAGATACTACTTCATCGGGTCATTCCTGATGTCGATTATACTTGTGATTCCTCCTTATGCAGCCGGTCAATATGGGTGAGTGGTCGAGCTCACAGTTGCGATAATACTGTCTGAAGATGTCTGAAGATGGGACCCTCTCGAACAGGTCTGTTGGTATACCAACGATGATCCTCGTCAGAGAATAGCGTGGCAGGTACGTTGTTTGCTTTACTTGTGCTGTACGTGTAGAGGTATTTTCGTCCGTGCTAGATTGGAACACAAATGGCTTGGACTGCGATGCTCGCTTTTGGTGAGATTGCGGCGTCGGTTTCAGTAACAATATTCATGCTCAAACACCGTGTTCGTGCTCAATCGATGACATTCTAAATGCCAACTGAAATTGCTCCTGCCTGTAGATCCGCACACGACAGATATTTGTCTCGACATCTGGAAATGGGATAGTCTCCTCGTCACCACCTCAAGTCGTACATGCTAATAACTATAAGCGCATCATTATCCGGATCGGTAGGTTTCAGTTCCCCATATCCTTAGATAGCTCATCAAACCATGTTTTAGCTCTCTATCCACTGGCGTCGTGTTTCGTGAACGTTTTGAGTATATTCACTGCACTTCATTCTACCTTAACAGATGGAATACACGATCAAGAAGTGAGTGTCATTATTATTATCTATGGTTCCAGTCCTGACTGACGAGTTGATTTATCGTTGTAGGACTACAACATTCTCCTCCTTAGTAAGTTGTTTTATGAGACCTAGGCTGATTGCGCTCACTGTACGCCTTGCGTAGGCGACTTTTTGTACGGTGGTCGTGCTATCGTATATGCGCTTCTCGCTGCTTCAGATCCCGTGAGTGCTGTCCTAAATCATCATTTTCATAGTTTTAGAGCTTTACCATAGGCACTAGTGCGAGGAATCCAAACCCTTTATCACTCTCTTCGAGGATCACATAACGCTCACTCTATCGGGAAACCCAGTAGCAAAACATCTGGGAGTCCAACTCGCTCGAGCTCCCAGTCTCTCGTGGTCCAAGTCGAACTGTCTACCATACGCGACTATCTACCGTCTGAAGCATCTATAGACGATTTACCCAGTCGTCCCGAACCATCATTTGTGCCATCGCAGAAGGAGGGCATGATTAACGTTCCTAGAAAATCCGCCTCAGCCTCCCAGCTGCAAAATGAACATCGAAATTCTCGATATCTTCCTTCTACTGAACCAATGGATGAAGAGATTCTCAGGCAAGAGCAGGCTTTTCATCGGCAGATTTAGTTGCATCGATGTTGGAGTCTTTTATTCTTGTACACCAGAATTTCGGATTTTGGGGCAGACATTGACAAGAGTCATGTACATTAGATTCGTCTGTAGTTGAAAGGCAAATTCAAATGCTATTGAAGCTTTCTCTCTGGATTATGTCTTATAACTTACTGCACTTGCACCCAAAGAAAATAGGTCACGTCTACGGAGAAGTAGTCACTTCTGATTTGCATTACGTCTCATTCGATCTCTTTTCATGCTCTCCTCCCCATTCGCTCGAGTCAGATATTACAATCCTCGATAGAGCAAATTTATATTAGATTCCACGCCCGTGAGCTGTGTCACCACAGGCGGTTGAGAGCGCCATCCTACTGAAAGATGTAGGCTGAGGAAGGAAAGCGGAACGTGGGGTGAGTGAACACGGCTAGGAAGGACATGGATTTTGGCTTGAAAATTTATTCTGACCTGTTAACCTACATTACTATACCAGAGGCATGATACTAACGGGGCCAGCCTAGTGGTTGTCACTGTATGTAGTGCTTTATTCCTACCAAGTTAAGCCTAGATATAGCTAGATTATGATAGTATGATTGGGTTAGTTCGGGGATAAAACTATTCACTAAGTTATACTCACGGTCAATAGGGTCATTTTGAACTCTCTTCAAGACCCAGAGTGTCCAAAGATCCGTGAGACCAGGACCATAGTTAGCAGCAGGCGTAAGTGTTCTAGATTTATAATTTTATTGAGTAAATTAGGTGAGGCATTGAACAACGATCACTTATCCAATTACGACGTGAGAGGAGAGATACCTGTTATACATCTCTTCGTTTTGGAGATCCGGACCAGCATGAGGAATGATACGCAAGCTTTGATCGTTCCACTTTTCAGTTACCAAAGTTTTAAGGCTTGAATTAACAAACTAGGGTATCAAGACAGTATATAGACGACGCACCCAGGTAGGTAAATGGCCTTTAGCATAATCGGTTTGCTTCCAATGCTCATCATCGAGATCCAGAATACTGCAGATGTGTCAGAACCATAACACCTCAACATGAAAATAACCGTACTGAAGACCACTATCATCAAATTCATAAGCTACCACCAGTCGCTTTAGAAATAAACTCCCATCCGAGTGGCACTTCTAGGCCACTCACAGGTGATCATGAACTTCGACACAAATCCGTTGATGGTGATAGGTAGACAATTTGTGGGTTCAATGCGTGCCATTGCTTCTGCATTTTCGTATCGATGTGTCAAGTACAAACCTCCTATGCAGATTTTGTATACATATATTCTAGTTAGCCGTCATGGTCGAGACAACGGAGAGTGCCACAAACCTTGAGGACTAAGAAAATAAGGCCCCGGCTTCCTGACAGCTGCTGGCTTTCCAAGGGACTTGTTCAGGACTGAAGTACAGCCAGTGACATATAATGTCATAGGAGCGCGTTTGATGGATTGGATTGGTGATGAAAAGGTACTGTTTGAACTTGGTGCTGTACCATTGACATTGATGGTGGAGGATAATGTCTCGACTGTCCGGTTAAGAACCTAAAGATAATTAAAATTATTAGTCTGCATTGAACGTCAGCATGGGGACGTACATCTGACGAGTCCGAGCGTTGCCATACTCTTATTGGAGACGTGTTCACCACCGACAGAACTCCAAACAGTGCAATTAATCCATAGATTTCTTTCAAAAGCATATTGAACAACAAATATTTCCAAGTTTGAAATCGGTTAGCGATAGAAAACTAGGGTATCGAGCCAAATTTCCAGCAGTGTCAGTTTGGGTACCAAGCATCGGGAGGAAAAGGGGTGATTTACCGGTGACCAGCACTATTCCTTATTCCTGCGAAGCAAAACGAGAAGATTGATACAGTGCCAGCCAGAAAGGCCATCAGCTTTATACCTCCCTCTAATAGATTTCACACCTGGCCGAATCCGAGAGCGCCCAATGTTCAACGGCTCTCTCGGAATTAAAGATAGAAAAGCACAGTATTTGAAACTCTCCGGACATTTTATCGTCGTTAGAATTTCAATCATCTTTGTAAACATAGTTTTCACCGGGGAAGATCGACCTTGATGGCGCATTGAAGTCACGGAGATGACCCCGAGGGTAAAAGTTGACACAAGTTGGAAGAAATCAACGGAACTACATAGGTTTAGCGTGAATTCGCTTCGGGGAGACTGGAAAATAGGGCAGAGCACTGATGTCAAAAGGAGGGTTGAATTGTTAAAATAATTGAGATGGGAAATAATGATCATTGCTTATTAGTGCAGTGAGCTTTCGAATTTCTCTTTCCATTTGGTAATACTATCTTGTCATTGCACAGCTCCGCGTCCCCCTCACTGTATGTAGCGGCCCTTATATTTAAGCTTCGATATGGCTGCATTCAGAACAGTGTTCAATGAAGGGTCAGTTTGGGAACATCTAAATTGTAGTACTCACGGTCAATGGGATTCACCATCCTGAGCTCGCCAGTATGATCAGGATCATAAGCTGTCTTGAACACCCAGAGTGTGAAGAGATCTGTGAGTCCAGGACCATAATGTGTTGCAGGGGCAAGTGTACTAGATCGGAATTTGTTGTTGGAAAAGTGGAGGACCACGGCACAACACTCACCCAATCACAATATGAGAGGAAAGATATCTTTGATAAATCTCTGCATTCTGGCTGTTTGGGCCTTTATAAGGGATGATATGTAAGCTCTGATTGTCCCACTGTTCCATTGACATTGCGATGGAATTTTCAAAGGTAAAAATGAGTAGACGATTATAGATTGGGTGTAGGATTTGGCGTACCCAAACAGGTAGAGAAGGTTGAATGTTATCATGATGTTGATACCAATGCCAATTGTCGAGATCCATGATGCTACAGGAACAGATCCATTTCAAGGTCTACAAACAGCTAGAATCACATACCGAAGACCCGCGTCGTCAAATTCATAAGCTGATAGTGGTAGTATTCAAAAATAGGCCAGCCAGACTAGTAGTACTCACTAGCAATCATGAACTTGGAGATACGGCCGTCAATGTTGACTGATGAACACTTTGTGGGATCAAGGCGGATCATTGCTTGCGCATTCTCAAGCCGATTTGTCAGGTACAGACCTCCTAGGATTTGGTTTATACACTCTGTCAGTGTTGCGAAGAAAAAAACATTTCAAGCTACCCACCTTGAGGGCTAAAGTGGAAAGGGCCTGACTTTTTGAGAGCTGTTGGATTCTGAGAGTTTCGACTCAGAACCGATGTACAACCAGGAAGGTAGAGGGTGATTGGGGCTCGTTTACCAAGAGTCGAATATGTACTGTTGAAATCATTCCAGATTGAGATTGGAGTCGTGTTATTAGTAGCGGTCATTGCTACATCTACTGTCCCATTGGGTATCTTGAAGATATAAGTTTCACACAAATTAGACTTTGTGGCAGAAACTCTAGCACGCTGCCAACCTCATGACGGGGGTCCTCCCTGCTACGCACCCATCCCGGGAAGGCCTTGTCCCCAAATGATGATCAAGACCTGTTAGGAAATGCTTTGTGGCAGGATGGACTCACATCTGACAGGCCAGAGTGTGCCACTAAGCTCCTGTCTGCTATTGGAGCTGTATTCGCCAGTGAGAGTGCACCAAGGAGCGCTATGAGTTCGCAAATCCATTTCGAGGGCATTGTATGACTCGTAAGACTTGAAAAAAGTTCAAAGTTCAAGATCAACCAGCGAGGACTAGATTATTCGAGCATTTAGAGGCATTCGACTAAACATAGAGCTCTAGAGGTGCTTACCAGTGGCCAGCACTATCCTTATTACGATGAAGGTAAGTCTGCTACATGGTCGTCTTTTATACTCCCCTAGTGGCAGCACGATCTCACGCTTCGCCGAATGGGCGTCGCTCAGCGGTGTTCCTATCTAGGGCTATCGTCAATGGCTGATTTGTTGATTCCAATAAAAGAAAGGCCGGTAATTAACAAGCCAAGAAGAATCACTGAGTCAGTAGTACTAGAAGCATATTCTTCTTCAACGCCAAGAATATGATGACGTGACGTCGGCCGATGGGCTTATGCTCGTAGGTTCTATCGATTACATATGCAGTTCTATATCTACCACGAATTGCTATTTCTTGGAATTCTGAATGGATCCACGGGCTCTCCCATAGAAAGGCCACCACATTTGGACTGCTAGATGGATTCTGATACCAAGTTCATCAGCAAAATGCCATACCAAAGCAGGATTTCTTTGGAATTGCCGCCCGACAAACGTCACATCAGCGACGCTATCCTGCAGATACCCTTCTGCTTGAACACCGGATTTGATTCCACCGACAGTACCGACCAGCATGGGAACCCCCAAATCGGCAAGAGCTTGCTTGATTGCTTTGGAGAATTTTTGGTGGGCGCTAGTGTCGACAAGGCTTTGCTTCATTGACAATCCCGCGGAGGAAACATCCAGAAGATCGGTACCATGTGCGGACAGGATGGGAGCAAGTTTTATAGTATCTTCCAACCCCCAACTGGGCACAGATCTAAGCTCTTCCATACGATCTGAGGCAGAGACCCTAATACAAAGGTTGAAGTTCATAGGAAGGTGCGGAAGTAGTATATAAGACATACCTCACGAACAAGGGCATTCCTCGAGGTATCACTGCTCTGACTGCATCGATGACCTCTACCAAAAACCGCGTACGGTTTTCAAAGCTCACTCCGTACTCATCCGTACGTGCATTGGATACCGGACTGTTGAAAGAGTGAAGCAGGAATCCATGCGCGCCATGAATTTCGATGACATCAAATCCAGCGCGAACTGCACGTTTAGCAGCTTGTGCCCAAGAAATGACAATCTCAGTTATCTCAGACTTGGAGAGCGCTTTGGGAAATTGGTTGATTTCGTCGTAGGGAATGGTAGATGGCCCGACAGCGTTATTGTGTCCACCAACTAATATGGTTGCCGGATAGTTGGTTTCAAGCCAAGGCGCAACTGTGGATGCCTTTCGGCCGGCGTGAGCGAGCTGTTAGAAACGTTGTAATGAGACGCGGTGTCGGAATCACTTCATAATAATCATCATACCTGGATACCGATCTTTTGACCTTGGGAATGGGCAAAATCGACTATTTCCTTGAGTCCTGCAATGTGGGAATCGTCCCAGATACCAACATCTTCCGGTGTAATCCGACCGTTGGAAGTGACGGCAGTGGCTTCGACAAAGCTGAGACCAGGACCGCGGGAGATGATCCCGCCAACTAAAGTTATAATTTAGCTTGCCTAGTAGAATCTAAGAATTTGAGAGTAGCGTACGATGAGCTAAATGCCAAGGTGTAACGTGCCCGTCTTCAGCCGAATATTGACAGAGTGGTGAGAGCTAACTTGCCTCATTACAATGACAATCGCTAGAGCTTGAACAGGAATGGGACATACGAAGAGCCGGTTTTGAAACGTGACATCACGAATTTTGAGGGGAGTGAAAAGCTTCGGAATCGGTTTATCATCGGGTTGTGGATTCAGAGCAGTTCCAGCTACGGGATTCTGAGCTGGAGTGAAGAATGGGGCCCCAACAGCGGGTTGATTGGAGATGTGTTGAAGCTGCATAGTATCACAATAGGGCTCTGAGGTCTGAACTTCGATTCGCATGGGTTACCCTCTTATACCAGCGGTAGCATTGAGGGAGTGATGGCGATAAGCATCCTGAGCTAATGAAGGGGATAGCTTACTGCTGTCCCAGTTAGAGCATTCGAAACTTGAATTACTTACGAAGTGAATGTGCTTCACTTACTCAATAGTTTTTGAGCTGACTACGGAACTAAATGCAATGTGAAACGTGAAATCAGTACGAAATCCTTTTCTTTAGAGATACTGTAACGGAGCCGCGTATTTGTCTATCTATCTGTAAGTTTCCTGGGAGAAAGTCGTTCGTAAGAAGATGGTGGTGTCGATGATGCTCAGTGCCGCGGCTCTTGCGCGGCCGTGTTTCCAGTCCCACATCGCAAACTAGCGCCGACTGTGCGGGTTCTCCTGCATCGCTTAAGTTTGTCATCGACCTCGATCAGCCAATCAGAATGTTATTGTTTGTTTGACCTTACAGGTACTCATCAATTTTTGCTTCCATTTTATTTTCGTCTTCTGCTGACGAACACGTCGTTGTACAGTATTCCTAGGTATCCCCCTCATTCTTTTCAACACTTCAATGAAAAGAGATATCATTGACTGCAATAGTGACAGTCAAGGGGATGCATTTTTAGGCCTGCGAATCGCCTCCATTTTCGTCATCTACATCGGTTCTTCTTGCGGTGCTCTTTTCCCTGTGCTGGCACGAAGATCCAAGTTCATAAACGTGCCGAAGTCACTGTTTGAGTACGTGAGCTATAGACTACTGGATGCGCTTTCTCTAAACAATGATCCGCCCTCTTCAATCAGATTTGCGAAATTCTTTGGATCTGGTGTAATCGTACGTGATGCTTTTTCTTGTATCAAAATGTTCTAATCGATTTTTCCTTCTTCAAGATCGCGACTGCGTTCATTCATCTCCTCTCTCCTGCGTTGGATGAACTAGGGTCTCCATGTCTGTCAGAGGCTTGGAGTGAATACGTGCGTCTTTCCATTCTTACCCCTTCTGCAGATACGCTTTCTCACTTGGATATCTTTTTTTCTTCTGATTTAGCCATATGCACTTGCTCTCTGCTTACTGAGCATCTTCTCTATATTCATTGTCGAACTAGTAGCTTTCCGCTGGGGCACGGCTTTGCTCGCTAAAATAGGAATGCATCATGGTATGCATGCCATCTCAGTTTTCGCAACTCGATCTGATCACTCTATCATTATCTACTGATCATATCTTATTACATCTTCGCCTCTTCGGATTCTTCTTGCTTCTTCTAGATGCTCATGGGCATGATACCGGGTCACATGCGGCCCATGGACCAGAAGGGAGCATATCCAATATTTCCAAGGATGTTGAAGCAGTACCATCAGAGATGACAAGCGCAAAGTCTGAAGAGCATCAGCACCCACATATGGTCTTGGACTCCGCGATCTCTCAGGTCATTGGCGTCGCGATCCTAGAATTTGGTGTCGTTTTACACAGGTAAGAAGCTTCAAAGATGAGCATCCTTGGTGTACGCTGGTGTACGAGAGAGCTAATTTGACTTCATTTCGGTCAGCGTGCTTATCGGACTCACACTCGCAGTCAATGAAGGATTTAAGATCTTATTCGTTGTCATAGTCTTTCATCGTACGTATAACTCTTTCCATAACCTTCCAGTCCTCATACCACGATTTGCCGATTCATCCTTATCTTTCGCTTTTTTTTCAGAAACTTTCGAAGGACTCGGCATAGGCTCGCGGCTTGCTTATATGAATCTCCCTTCAAGATACAACTTCGTGCCTATAACAGGCGCTGTGGTCTACGGATTCACCACTCCGATTGGGATCGCTATCGGTTTGGGACTAAGAACGACATATAACCCTAATAGCCCTACTGCGTCCATAGTGAGTGGCGTTCTGGACTCGCTGAGTTCTGGGATATTGATATATACGGGCTTGGTTGAGGTACGATATCGTTTCGTTACTTTTTTTTTTCGCGTTTGTCTCGATTTAATGCTGCTACTTACTAACTGTTCTATCATATCCACAGCTCCTGGCCCATGAGTTTCTATTCAACAAGGAGATGATGGAATGCTCCAACGCGCGATTGACATATGCACTTGGCTCCATGCTTTTAGGGTGTGGTGTGATGGCTCTGCTGGGCAAGTGGGCTTAATGCATCAAGAGTCTGTTGCCTGTTATCCTCCTCGTGATGACATAGAACCTCACGCCCCTTCGAATTCAAAGGCGAAATCCTCCGAAAAAGTTTTCCCTTTACTCGTTCCCACCGAGACTGCAACAACCCAACTCCACTGGCATGCTTCAGGGCCATCATCAATGCCCATGAAGGAACAACGTCATGGCTACCCTTCGACCTGTGGTCGATAGGTATTTCGAAACTGTTGAAGCATCGTTGGTCTGTTCTCACGTCGCCCCCCTGCACCTCGTCCGTTCGTTCTATTTAAAGTTAGAAATTCACTGTCTTCCTTGGTTGCCACTACGTGACCACGGTTCCTCTGCAATATTATTCCTCATATACCCGAAACGCACTATCTATCTGACATTGTTTCTCAACAGACTACAGACATTCACTCATCTGTGTTGTATTTTACGAGTTATAACACCATCTCCAACAAGTTCTTCGTGTACTAGATATGTACATTCACGTGTTTTTTGGCATTATTGCGCATTACTGTCACTTGTGTATGTTGGGGAATCGAAATATAGATCGTTACAGCAGTCATTGCCTCAGTAGTGATTATTCGTGAATTGGAGTCAGCATGAGATCCAAGCTCTCAGCTCTTTCCAACTAAATTAAGACGCGTCGATGGTACATGTAACGAGGGATCACTTGAAGTGCTCAGTATTCAATGGTCACCATCACCGATACTTGAACGATCACCAATTGGTCATCCTGACGCCAAAGTCTCCATTTTATGGATACTAGGACATCTAGGAGTTGACGAACGGGTAGACTGGAAGCGAAACGCGCGGCCATAGGTCGATCGAGTCATAGAGAAAAATTATCTGTCAAGCTACAGTGTCCCCTGGCGCCCCCTTCCTCATAGCTAGACCGCTCCAATCGAATCCTGAACACTTATAACTTTTGCTCGGTAGTCAAATGTAAGTGACGTTGTTATTTAATTAGACCAGGGCTCTCGAAATTTGTCTGCAGATGCTTCACATGTGCACCCTTCCTTCTTTTATCCTCTAGGCCATCTTTTTCGAACGCATACAACCTACTCATCGTCCGAATCCCAGCTAGCAATTCGACGTTGATACGAAATTCTTGAAATAGTCCTCTTCTTGTGCTCTCCGGAAGGTTTGCCGGGACTTTTGTGATCGGGGTCAGAAAATTCGCCGACCTGAAGTAAATGCAAGAAACATAAGCAGAAATCGAGAAAATAAAATTATCAAACTCACCGCTTGACCACAGTCGCAGCGTTCCAATCCTTCCGGAACATCACGTGTACCCACTTTCGTGGGACTGGACGACCCATGATTATAAGGTGGTAGAAAAGAGCTTATTAGCAACACGTCGAAAACTTTTTGAAAACGAAAAATGAACAGTCATGTTTTGAAAAAGCACGGTTTGATCACGCTACTGACATTGTGACCACAACTCAAGAATGTTCCGCCCTCTACCCTTTGTAACAAAGTTGCCCAGCCTCCGGTTGCGCTATAACGATCCATCCGTGTAGGCCATCAAAGCCTGTCATATTCGTGTACCCTCTCCTCAAAAAATTATGTCGTACGAGCAATTACTAGAAGTTGTACAGTACATAGAATATAGACAAACCAACGCTAATGCTGATCACGTTCTCGTCACACTTTTCGACTTTATCGCAGGATCTTTTCGACGTGGAGCAACTTTTCGACGTGCTGCTAATAAGCTCTAAAGAGGGAAAAGACAAAGCCAGCACCCATGACGAAGCACCCATGACCGATATAACGAATACATTGACGGGCTTGCTCTTTGGTCGGGAATCTGCTAGTAGATGATTGGGGTACATGGACAGCAGCATCCTGCGGCGTCACTCCGATCTGAGCTGGCTGCATCGACGAAGAACCACCCTGCGGAGAAGTATGGAATGAAGGGCGTCCATCTGGTGCATCAGAAGCGGCATCGGGAGGAAGACGGGCAGCGCTCGGTGAGTTGGGATGTTCTAGCGTTGAAAGTGGAATCGCCGCTTCTTCGTCATGAGGACGCTGCCTATGCCCAAGAGGGAAAGATGGAACCTGGCTTGAGACATGCACAGCCAAGATGGAAAGTGTAAAGAGTATAGCAAATGCTCGCATGGCGAAGTCCTGGGAGCAAGTTCAACGAAGAATGGGATCAACGATACCGGACCAGCCGGGGACGAAAGGGAAGCGACAAGGGAGAACAGGTGGCTACTAATATGTAGTGGTCCTCTCAGGCCCGCAGGCTCCCGCAGGTCGTCGCAGGCTTTTCCTTCGATCTGTCCGATCTCGATAAATCCTGACAAACCTCAACGCGATTTACAAACTTCGAGTGATTTCTGCTACAAGGCGGAGGTGACAGGAGTGTAACCTAGTGTAACAGGCTGGTGTGATCCACGACAGTGGAGCCTACATAGTTGAACTGCTTTTTGAAAATAGGCGAACGGTCCAAGGCTGTCCAAGGACTTCCCGTCGGATAATGAATAAGGGCAAATGTTTGGGTTGAGGGGGTTCAGGCAAATTGCGAAACCGCCCACAGGTTACAATCTGTTACAATTTGTAGTACTGATAGTCATCCAATGTCCGCAGACTGACGTCCATGAGCGTCCATGTCGATGATACTTACAGTGCTTTGCGTAAGTCTTTGCTTGCTCGACTTTTTCACATCGATTTGTGTTTATTTATTTGTCCAATATATTCAACCCCAAAAAGGATTTCAGCATTTCGAAGCCCGACCGGGGACGGCCCCGGTGGTCCTCGAAGAGAGCCCTCTCGAGCCTCGGCCCAGAAAATGTATTGGACAAATACCCAGCAATAAACACTTGGTAAAAATCCATACAAGCAAACCCTGAGCAAACCTTTTCGCAAAGCACTGTACTCAGTGTTGATCAAACCCCAGCTTCAGAAGCCGCGCGCATCATGCTGCATCATGTTCTTAATCGATATTTTTCATTCATACATACATCCCACTAGTACAATACGAGCTTCGCAATACCTTTTCTGTCGTCATTTACTCATCGTCGTCCCAATTGGCAATTCGACGACGATATGACATTCTGGGAGCATCCCTCTTTGCGTGTTCACAAGTAGATTGCTTGGATTCAGAATTCGCAGGTTCCTTGAAAAAAACTGAGGACTCCAAATATTCAAAAAAACAGGAGAACAACTTACAACCGCTTGACTACAATCACACTCCTCTCCTTCTTTTCCTTCTGGAAGAGCACGTACGCCCATTGCGGGTGAAGAGGACGGAATAGACCGCGAATCAATGTAATAATTCGGCATCCCATAATATTTGAAGCCACAGCCAACCGCCGCAATGAGGCATACTGTGGTAGTGATTTTGATACAAGCAAGTTTTCGCCGCTGACCCAAGGTCAGTGGAGGTCTGGGTGGGGCAAGAACCTGTCTGTTCCCGCTGGCATTGGGTGCGGGTTGATTACTAGCACTATGCAATGGAGTGTGGTTGACAGCAGCGGGAGGTCTGTGAGGGTCTGCAGGACCGACACTATTTTCTAATGAAGGTCGCGTACCCGAGTCGTCGTGGACAAGAAGCGAATGGTTGATGGCATGCAGTTCTATCCCTTGTTCGGGGTCTGATGTACTAGGATTTCCGCTTGGAGTAGCCTGGGCTGAGACGTGCACTGCCAGGGTGACCAGAGGAAAAAGTGTCACGAAAACGCGCATGAAGAGTTCTAGGAAGGGACTAGGGATAAAGAAATGGAATGGCAAAGTACCACCGGACCAGCCGGGAATAGATTCTGACGAGGTGAATGAAATGAAAGGAGAGAAAGGAACACCAGAAAAAGAGAAATGAATAATGCGATATCTGTTCAATTCCCAATGCACAGCAGTGCACAGCCTAACGTGATATCAGAGGATGAGTGATAATTGATTGCAGTCTTCAAAGGGGACCGTCGGTGCGACACCAGGGTCAAAGGAGGTCAAAGGTCCAGAATTGGCCGAACTAGGATTATGGGACCAAGTACACTACACCTTAGGGTGGCGCCGTGTATCTATCTATCTATCTATCTACACCACAGACTACAGAAAATATCTCTTTGTTGCCTTCAATGCCTATTATGTCTTGCATCCGCCATCTTTTCCTTTTGTCCAGTACAGGGAAGAGCCTGAGGTCGTACACGAGTAGTGAGAGCCGATAGACGGCTTCATCTGTACACCTCTGGTACACCTCCAAAGACGTATCACTGTTGCGAAGCGGCCAGGAACCCTTCAATACGACAAAGATTAGAACATAAGATGCAGAAAGGTATAGAGACCAACATCTCCTTTCTTCTCGAAAGAACGGTGAGTAACTGCTCCTAGCTTTGCTAGTATACCTCCGATTTCAAGTTGGTGACCATTGCTTCATCAAATCTCTTCGATCAGGTTTGTTGTCAGATTTTTCAAGTTTGCATTATTTTCTGAATCTAGACCAAGCCCTTTCATCGTAGGTTGAGAGGTAGGAACCTTGGGATCTGCGTGCGATAATCCAGCATTGACTTGCCCCGGAATAATCACTGGAGCTTTTTCTGCCTCCTTTGCTCGAAACGCAAGATCATCCGCCAGCGAACGCAATACGAGTGGAGGCGTGGAAAGGGCATGGGCGGCATAAAAGAGAAGTTTGTGTGCAACGTGGGTGTAATTCGACTTTTGGTTTGGGTTCTGGTTTGCGAAAAGCCGGTGTAAATCGGAAAGGACGTAAACAAGGGGGCGATTGGGGTGTGAGGTGAGGTCGACAACCGTTGTCCTCGAGTTAGACGACGCTGAGGTTGAGTAGGAGGATGGATCCGGTGACGAGATGATGCCGATTGGTAGAGGTCGAACAAGGGTAGCGGTGTCACGCATGAGGACCGTGAACGTAGAACTTGAAATGGCTGACTACAGCAAAATGGAGAAAATAAACGCGTAATTAGAGTTGGCTTGTTGAACCTCATGGGCATACCTTGTCGAACCTCGACCAGACGTCATCAATCGCAGTAGACAAACTGGTATGCAACACTTTGCTCTTGCGGTCCATAACGAAAGGCACGAGCTGTGCTAGAAGATGTTTGACTTCTTCGGAATCTTGAGAGTGAATGGTATAGGATAAAGTCGAAAGCGGAGACGTGGCTAGACGACGAGTTACGAAAGCATATGCGATACTATCAATCGATTAATTCAGTCAGCGCTGGATTTTCTATAGCAGATACGCACCAAACAGCACACAAGTTGTATATCAATGGTGGCCCAATGGGCAAAGGCTTGACCATAGTTGTGGGAATGTCAATCAGCTCTGGAGTACGCCCATAGCGAGTATCATCAGGATTATCGTCAGCGTCGTGCGTGATGGAAGACATTTCCCACCACGGTTCTTGTGCAAGTTCGTTCTGTAGTTCCTGGCTGAGGAGAAGTTCCTGTGCAAGATTACTAGAGGGATCTTGAATAGCTTCAATGAACTTGTCACGTTCTACTTGAGAAAGTAAGGACCAAAGAGCATCTGGCGAGGCTGAGGCTGCATATAATATTTAGGAAAACAAGGAAAGTATAAAGTCAAATGTTCATTACCGATATCAATAGCTGAAAAGCGCCTTTCAAAATTATCCTCACCCTCTGAGTTATCTTCATCTTCGCCCACCAACTCATCCTGCTCCATATTATTCTCCTCGAACCGTTTGAGGATCTCCATCATCTTCAGCCGTTCCTCGGCAGACTTTGAAGACGATTCTGAGCGAACATCGGCCTCAATTTGTTTCTTGTAAAAGGCTTGAGAGCAGTTCGTGTGTGCCTGCGTTTTTCGAGTAAATAAATAGCCATAAAGACTAGATAGTCTGATTACCGGAGACTTGAAGCACGTTGAAGAGCAATACGCTAGATTGCATTCAGGGCAAGTGTATCGAGAAATCTGACGGCGACATCTTTAGGGATCAAAAGGAGTTAGAAAATAAGGAAGATGAGAAAGAAAATTACTTGCATTTTACAAACGATATTCGAGTCTTGTTGGACGGAAGAAGGCATGCCCATTGCCGGTTTTGCCGCTCTTTGGCGTTTGCTTCTCTTCTTTGTAAAAATTGCAAAAAATGGTCGATGCTCACCTCGTTGACGCCAAAGCAACATTTTCTTCTTTTTCTCATCTCCTTGATGCTCGACTCTTGCGAGCTCTCGCAGACATGGGCTTTGCCCGACCGACTCTCGTACAATCAAAAGCGATTCCTTTGGCTCTAGAAGGCCGAGATATCCTCGCGCGAGCAAGAACGGGGAGTGGAAAAACTGCTGCATACTGTATACCTGTCGTCCAGAAAATTCTTAGCACGAAAAGTGTGGGTGAGTTTTTGCTTTGTTAGAGCGCAGACTAAAAGTTGTATTGATCAAAATCGGATCATTGGTTCAGGCTCTTGATTTGGAGAATCTCTCGAGGCAAGCTACGCGTTGTGTTATCCTCGTGCCGACTAGGGAACTGTCAGAACAAGTCTCAAGCTATTTGAAGGGGCTTTGCAAGTATTGCGAAGATATTGTTGTAGCTAATGCTGCCGGGTCAACCTCAGCTCATCTACAGAGGCATGTACCACTGCACAATTTTTTCTTTTTACGTCGCCTGATTATAATTCCACACAGGACTCTGCTATCTGACAAACCAGATATCGTGATAGCAACGCCAGCTCGCGGTCTCGCTCTATTCCAATCTAAAGTACGTTCCTCTTACCCATCCAGACTTGTCATTTTCTCTCCAAAACTCACCTTTGCCCAATAGAGTTTAGTTGCTTCCCATCTTGACTCCCTCGTCGTCGACGAAGCCGATCTCGTCCTGTCCTATGGCCACGATGACGATATACGCCAGATTTTCAGCGGTGCATACCTGCCGAAGGTGTATCAATCGTTCCTCATGAGTGCGACTATGACAGAAGATGTGGAGTTGTTGAAAGGGCTTACACTGCGGAATCCCGTAAGTCTTCATTCGTTTTTCCTAGAGTGCGAGGAGGACTGCTTTTCGTCCATCTATTTATTCGTGAGTCGTGTTGTCTAACTCGTACCCTTTATTTTTTCTTGTAGGCCATACTCAAATTGGAAGATGGAGAAGATGAGGCTGCTCATCTGAGCCAGTACGCTGTCAAGTACGTTCTTCGTTCTTCTAGTCATGCTTAGTATTAGAACTAACCAAACATGATTCTTTTAATCTCGACTCGCAGATGTTCTGAAGTTGACAAGTTCCTCCTCACCTATGTAATTCTCAAGCTCAAACTCGTCCGCGGAAAAAGCATTCTTTTTGTCAACGATGTTGATAGGAGTTATCGGCTTAAGCTGTTTCTCGAGCAATTCTCTATTAAGAGTTGTGTATTGAATTCGGAGTTACCTTTGAATTCAAGGTTAGTTGTTAGCTTATGTTTCTAACGATCTCTTCATGTTCTCTTTGATTGGTTGTGCTGACCATGATTCGGTTCCCTCGCAGATATCATACCGTGCAAGAATTCAATAAAGGGGTGTATGATTATATTATCGCCACGGATGAGAGCGATACGCAGGAGAAGGATGAAGCTGAGGATGAAGAAGAAGGCAGTTCGGAAGACGGAACCGACGATGAGGATGAGGATGAGATAGAGGAATGTGAGTTGAAACCGTAATATATTTCTCTCGTACTCGAATTTCAGGTTTTATAGTCACAAGTACACAACGGGACAACCCATCCTCATCCTCATCTTCAACTACGCAACCTGCAATCTCAGGATCCAACCAATCCTCCCGAAAACGAAAACGTCTCGAATCTGCAAACTCGAAATCTCAATCGCAGAAACGTACTAAATCCCAATCCGATCCGTCTGGAAAAACAAAATCCAAGAAATCAAAACATGATAAAGAATACGGCGTCACACGTGGCATCGACTTTATTGACGTCGCCTGTGTGCTGAATTTCGACCTTCCCTCCTCCTCGCGTTCGTATACTCACCGTGTAGGACGCACAGCGCGTGCCGGGCGGACGGGTATGGCTTTATCCTTTGTTGTGCCCCGAGATCAGTGGGGTAGGAATAAAGTTGTCGGAAGCCTGTCTAGTGCTCAGCATGATGAGAAGGTTTTTAGCAGGATCGAAAAAGAGCAGGGAGCGAGGGGGAGTAAAGTGATGGAGTATAAATTTGATATGAAGCAGGTGGAGGCGTTCAGGTATAGGATGGAGGATGCCCTCAGGAGTGTAACCAGGAGTGCGGTCAGAGAGGCAAGGATCAAGGAGTTGAAGGAGGAGGTTTTGAATTCGGATAGATTGAAGGTGGGTTCAAGTTCCTCTTCCAAAGATTTGGTCGAATATAGAGTCGTACGATTGCACTTGGTTGTTGACACAGAGTTCCGCGTGGTGATACGTTGTCTGTCTTTGTCTTTTGCTCCTTCGAATTGTTCTCTTTGCCACTCACTGACTGTCTTCATCACCGGATTATTAGGCCCATTTTGAAGACAACCCACTAGATTTGGAGTACCTACGACATGATAAACCTCTACATCCCACGAGGATTCAGCCACATATGAAGCATGTACCCAAATACCTACTTCCTAAGACAGCGCCTGCTCCTGTTCCTGGAGGAGCTGGAGTAGAAGCAACAGGAGTGGTCGAAGCTGAAGGAGACAAGTCAGTCGGCTTTGTGCCGTTCAAGAAGACTAACTCTCATGCTAACCGGGGGAGGGGAAGAGGTGCAGGGGGTAGAAATGGAAGAGTCAGTGGTAGGGGCGGGATGGGTGGCAGGGGTTCAGGAAGAGGCGGGAAGAAGAAATCGGATCCATTGAAAAAATTCGGAAGGTGATGCTGTTTCTTGTGGCCCAACTTATCGAGATCGATTATCCTATTCGGCAGTGTATGTACCAAAATGTGCAGACCATTTTCGATTATCTCGAAAGTCCTACCAAATGAAATGTTAAAGCGCAAAATCGTAAGTTGGTAATCAATCCCGTTTTTGTCAAATGAGCGCCTTGAGGCGATTTTGTCGGACAAAGCGATCCATTTGAAATTTGAAGAAAAGACAGAAAGCATAAAGTGTCCGGATGTGTATTAGAATGAGTATTGGTTTTGGTTCGACGATCCAAAACCAAACGGCTACTCCAATCGTCTATACTAGGATGTAGGTCATAGAATCAGGAAATTGATGATTGAAGTACTTAGCTTTATCAATACTACGCCACTACGCCAATAATATGGCTGTATCATAACGTGAGTACAAACCTCGGCCAATCACCGGCAACGCCTGTTTTTTCAGAACCAACATGTCAATTTTCGACGGACCCTCATCGATGTCCACCTACCGAAAGCTCAGCAATCGCTCCTCATGATTTTACTTCCCCGAGGATGTCGAGCTATCTACGACTGCGGAATACCGTCACACTTCTTTTTTAGAGCCTCCTCGGATTATGAAGATTGTTCGTTATGTCGTCTAATTCCGGATATTCGGTTATCCTCAATTTGGAAGATGGAGGGGGGCTTCATCTTGGGATCCTTAGCCAGCATGTGGTTGAGCACGTCTGCCTAGCTTGTGTGTTTTCTTCGGGTGAGTCGAGAACTCACCAGAACAGTTGTTCTAGACAGATGTTTATTGATCGATATCCATCAGCTTTCACGTTTTGAAGCCAAAGCTCAAGTGCTCAATCCGCGGAAACATTTCATGAACCACGTTCCTGATATCATATATCGCCTGGACTCGGAATTTCCCTCTAACTCGAGGTAAGCCAAAGCAAGGCAAACTCTCTGCTTCATGACCCCGTGGCCCTTTTTACCCTCTTCTATCTTTCTGGTGCTTTCTAGCAGGTGTATGTGTGCGCGCGCTGACAGCATTCTTAGATGTCGCAATGTGTTGCAAGAATTTGAGTTCGATCATAAGATTGCCACGAGGGAGAGTAGTGTTTGGGAATAGCGAGAAACAGGAGCAAGAAGATGGACCGGAAATTCAGGGCGAGGAGTGAGCTGGAGTGAGGCCTTGTGAGGATTGGAATAACTTGATCAATTCGTTCAAATCTTATCTATAGTGGTGGACATATGATTGGACAAACCTCCCTTATCATCAACGAAAACGGCGTTTTTGGAATTCATTGACAAGCGAAATTCTGCGACGAGCAAGGAGAGATAGGGAGTAAGGTACAGGTTTAATGTGAAGCAGTTATAGGCCTGAGGACGCTTTCATGAGGATGACGAGTAGTGCGGATAAGGAGGCAAGGATTAGGTTGAAGGCAGTGGTTGAATTCTAATAGGTCGTGAGTGGTTTTTGTTTTCGTTTTGTCATACAATATCCTTGCCTCAGTCGGCGACTTTGACATGATTGTAACCTCCTTTCTAATTCCCTCCTGACATCATTACTAAATACCCATTTCTAGACCCACATTCGAAGTTGACAACCTGCTGAATCCTAGGCACGATTATCTGCCATATCCTACGAGGATACAACCGCCTATGAGGCCACTGGTTAAGCGAAGCACGTATACTCAAGGAAACATTCAACTTCCTACGCCTGTTCCTTGCACCACGGGAATAGGACACTTCTGTCTGTGGAACAATGAGAGGAGCCCAGGCAAGGAAGGAGGGTATATGTTCCTGAAGGAGAAAAGCCGGTTGGTAGTCCGTACTGTACAGAGAAATATGAGCCATGTGCATGCGCACTCTTGACTCGCACCCTCATTCCCATGCAGGCCGGGGGCGGGGAAGAGGCGGAAGGAGTGGCGGAGGTGGAAGAGGTGCGACGGACGGAATAGAAGGGTGAGAAGAAGAAGTCAATTCTTTTGAGAAAGTTTGGGTGGTGACGCAGCTTGATATTCGACAAGCGCACTTTCTTCTGTTCTTTCTTTATATCTATTCGATCCTGCTGGATGGAATGAACTGTAACGTAGAATCGTCCTTTCGTGCTTCGCGATGAAAGCTATGGTTAGCCTAACCAGTCATGTTGTTCGGTGGTAAAGCATACCGGGTCTGTCTATTTCTATCTGTCGTCAGTCTGTTTCTTGGATACAGTACCTCAACGCTCAGCAACGCCTCTTTCAAAGTTTTCACACTATACATACGTGGGTAGAGAGTCGTTATCAAATTGAGTCTACTGAGAGTCTGCTTGACCTAGGGTTCCCCAAGTTCTAAGTTAGGTTCCTAATTTTTCGGTAACTCTCAGTCGTTCTGTGGCGTTACATTTTGGGAAAGATTTCCACCCGCATAAATGTCGATAGACGACAACTAAGACTGGAACAGTCCACCACCACGACAGGGCCTTTCCTGGTTTCACCTTGCTTCTTTTTGATGGATTAGACGGTTACAGATTGTTACAGTCACAGAGGACACAGAGCGACCTCCAGAGGAATTCAGGACTCGTAATAATTGGATCGGCGGGAGGAGGTCCGCTGTGCCTAGTTCCTTCCTTTCTATCGAGATTAAAATAATCTCTTTGGGAAATTCGATTTCCTTCATAACTTCTTTTAATCTTTGGAAAATCTTTGGAAACGCGCCCTCAAGTCTTTTTTGAATTTTTGAACAGCTGAGTCCTAAGTTTAAGGATAACTGAGCCAAGTATTGAGCTGCCGCCTATCGTTGCGTTTACGAAGGTTAATTATTGTTCACTCGACAGATTCGGACTTGGCGTATGCTTACTCGCATGGGTGTACCTTTTCAAATTCCTTCTTTCTTCTTAGGGCGCCTCGAGAACCGATCGCGCAAAATTCCTCGGGGTCTGGTGAGCCGGTACATCCACGGCCCAACTTCCTTTTTCTCATTCTTCTCTTCGACTTTCCAGGGTGCAAAATACATTTTCACCGGTGCTCTCGAGGTCCCTCGCAAGAAGTATTGCGAGTCGGCGAGGGAGTGTTTACGGCGATTATTCAGGTGACTGAACGATTATGCAGAGAACATTGTGTCCGAATGAATGCTGCCCCTCAACAAAGTTAATAATAATTATTCGGTGGCGTGCGTGGCGTCCTTAGCTTTATCTGAACGAGCTGATCAGGTTCATAACAATTTCCGTGGAATGACGCACTGGTGCCGATAGACGATGCATAAGCTTGCTCTGAGACTCAGGCATCACACATGCACAACAACGCCGCAAAAGCGCTTCTGCGGAGAACAATCCTTCACGCATGACAGAATCCAGATCGACCGATGTACTTACCCATCCTGAGTAGCTAGACAATGCCCAATTTCCTCTTTCGTGCAGGTCTTTGCCCCTGAGCTCAGCAAACGAAGGGGAATAGGATCTTCTTCTTCGAGCGACGGATTGAACATTTCCGTGTCCTATTGCCGCTTTGTTCGATTCGTGCGCCGTGGTCCTCCACGCTCTACGAATACCCGGTTAGTGGTGATGCGCTTACAGAGAGAAAGAAGTCACAAACGATCAAGGGATAGGCTCTTCTATTGCTTGCCCAGGCCATCCTAATTCAGAACTAGAGATCAATCAGTCAATAACGATAATGAAGTCACTGAGCCAGCGTCAAGTTCTAAAGTTTAGGTTTCTTCTTGTAACTTACTTAAATTAACAGTATGGTAAGATCGAGGCACAACTTACAGTACCTCGACCCTCCTATCGAGTTTCAGCGTTTTCCTTTATCTACCCCAGCTTTCACTTTCTGTCGACTGCAGATCCTCCCTCTCTTTCCTGTATAGCCACTATCAACAGCAATTATCATTCGCAGACACAGAGCACCATGAACTACGTGCGTTCTTTGTCTTCTGAACCGATTATCGTCTTCAATTATACTCACTTACTTGGCATCTAACAGTGCTATTACGCCACGGATAACCACCAACATATCCGTATGGATTACTCGGACCTGAGTGGAAGCGATGTCGAGACGGCTTCTTCATCTACCATGAGCTCCTCCTCAGAATCTTCATCAAATATTGTACCCCGGAGAATGGACCTGGTCGACCTTGACATGGTCAAGCTTATCAACACCGGAGGCAGCGGCAAAGTCTATCTCGTTCGAGATAATATCGACCGTCAGCACTTGGCGCTGAAGGTTATACCAAAATCAAGAAACGTGTTCCATTGTAATAGGACCAAAGTCACTACGGAGAAGAACATTCATTCATTCTTAACCATGGAGAGCGATGATTTTTTCCTACCTCTTGTCGCAACATGGAGCGATCGAGAAAATTTCTATCTTGCCTCGGTACGCAACACATCTATTTTGGCTCGTTGTACCTGGAACTGACGCGTTTGGGTATTAGGAATACATTCCTGGAGGCGATTTGGCGCTGCGAATAATGCAGCAACGCACTTTCGACGAAGTTGAAGCACGATTCTATATCGCTGAACTCGTGAGTATTGACGCGTTCAAATTTGATTTTCAATGGCTCACAACCTTCTGCTCTTTCAGATCGTAGCCCTTGAAAGACTCCACACGCGCAAAATTATCCACCGCGACATCAAACCGAGCAACATCCTCATCCGACCCGATGGTCACATTGTTCTAGCCGACTTCGGCGTCTCAAAGCGATTTTCGGATCCTAGCGAAGACTCGGATGAGTCCTTCTACACCGACTCTGATGATTCTTCCAACTCCAGTCGATGCAGCTCAGCATTAGAGGCTTGCCATCGGCTTGGTATCAATATCAGTGGCGCGCCTTCAGTAGATGGCAGTAGCTCAGACGCGTCAGCGTATATGACTAGCGATGACTGTGGCACACCGTACTTTATGTCGCCTGAACAGCACCGCGGAGACCGGTATTCGTTCGAGGTTGACTATTGGGCTATGGGAGTTATCTTGTACAGGATGGTGACAGGAAAGGTAGAATCAAGTTCGTTCTTCTTTTGATACGACGATCTGACATACGATGTTTAGATGCCATTCGGCGACAGCGCAATGAACAAGGGCCAGATAGCGAGGAGTGTACTGGAAGACGACGTTTCATTCATTGGTCACTCGAGTACGATCTCGATGGTCACACAAGACTTCATCCTCGGCTTGCTAGCGAAGGACCCTTGCCATCGATTACATCCATCCGAAATACGAAAAGACCCATTCTTCTATGGCATGTAAGTTCAAGTTCTCTTCTCATCCATTGTCATTGAACATGCAACTCACCCACTTGCTTTTAATTTTCCTTTCATCTTATTTCCCACAGTGACTGGTCATTAGTAGAGAACCGCGACCTAGCAGCTCCTTGGCGTCCGTACGTGGCGCCTATCCCAAAACAATCTCGCGCGATCTTCGCCGGATACCGAGAGCTTAGTTCAGCTTGTTATATGGAAGACTCCGCAGATTCGTTTACTTGGTACAGTCCGTATGCTCGCCTGCGACATCTTAGGTCCCTTGATTCCTCATCGTGTGGTGGAAGCAAGAGCAGCTCGCGTTCTACTGCTTCGACGTTCGATACACGATGGAAATCGTGGTTCCGAAATGTGTTCTGTACGAGTGACGCGAAGAGCAGTATGAGGAGAAGGCGAAGAAAGGGATGGGTAGCGGCATAGAGATATGGGTGCATGTGTTGGATATATGAACGAACACTATAGAAAGGACACATTGGATGTATGTAATATAGATGGACAAGATAACAATATACCCACAAAAACATTGTATACCATCTTTCGATGAACTTTACATATGCAAAATATTCATCATTTGACTTGAAGATGCCAAGGTTTAAGAGCACTCACCATTGTATCAGCCCCGCGAAGCTTCAAAATAGCAGAGATAGTCACAAAAATGACTCATGGGCTGTAAAGACATCGAGTAACATTGTCTCCAGCTGGTCTCCAGTTACTATATTAGAATGGCCGCGGTGCTCAGGTTGCAGAGCTTCTGAGGTTAGCAGATATACGCCAAGGGTTCAGAGTAGCGGCCGATCCACTGCCTGCAAGTGGTAGTTGAGACCAGCAAGTCGAGCAATAGGCTAGCATCCTGAACGAAAGGGCGATGGCTAGTACTAACGCCTGAGGCCTGAGCATGCGCTCACAAAGGCTCGCGAAGCTTACGTGACCGTCAGGCTGTGAGCTCTTTTTCGGACGCAATACATACATTAACACCTTGATTGTCTGGATATTCACCGAAATGCTTGCAAGATTGCGTCCCAAAAAGTCATTTGATACACAGCCCTTAAACAGCCTTAAACTATGACGGCAGATTTTGAGCAATATTCCATGTCCTCCGCTGATCCGCATGGTGCCTTAAATGTTAGATTTACTTCTGTATAATTCCATCCTACAACCATTAGTCGTTAATCCACTGAGCTGCTGCACATTGTTTCTGAGTTCTTGTTGATGCCTTGAAACTACTCTTGCTTTGTTTCCATGGCCGAAGCTTGGTCCTTTTCAATCTCTTGTTTGTGTATCCATTGCACCAATCAATTGGTTCCGAGTATGTTATCAACGGTCTCTCAAGACATTCAATCGGTTCTGGGTATGTTATCAACGGTCTCTCAAGACATGAGCTACCAGTTCTCAATACCTTACCAACAACTTCATCATGAGCAGTAATTGGTTATGCGCAAGCTGCCACCAAATCACCCACAGATAATATAACGACAACGATATATAGCGTTCTCTTGAACTATATCCATTCCTCTTACTTGTTACGTTCCTCTTACTTGTACGTTCCAGTTGCAATGGATGGCAATGCTGGTAATACTGGCAATAGCAATACCAACAGCGACCAAATTTCCCGCCTACTGCAGTCATTTATGGCAACGCCAAATGCCCAGGCACTGGAGTTCATGAGTCAGAATCAATTTCCTCCGATGCTTCTTCAGGTATGTTTATGCCTTCCCATGCGGACAGATGTCTTAATATCATATATTATATACAGTCTTTTCTACTTTCACAAGCATTATCGCAGAATTCTCCCAGTCAAGCACCATTATTTCCTGCCCCTTCCTCCAATCCAACATCATCGCAAGCCGTTACAACTTCTTCATTGCAGAACTCTGATTCATCCTCGTCTACAATTGCTTCTCTTCCAGCACAGATTATGAATATATCACCCTCTGATGCTAGGCTGCAGTCCCGTGTATCTACCCAGTCAAACCAGGCTCAAAACCTACCATCTTCATTATTGGCAGAAAGATCTCTTCCTCCTTTCAACGAAAATCAGATTCCGCCTCTTGCTTCTACCACATTTCCAGTACAGCGGACCATGCATACTCAGGTTCCTTCATCGAATTCACGCCATGCTCATTCTGCAGCAATGCTTCCTTCATCTATTCCACTACATACTCAGGCGTCAAATATTGAGGCCCAGCCTCTTCCTATTATTGGATCTGGCAGTACATTACCACCACCACCTCCTCCTGCATGCCGACCATATTCTAGTATGCAAGTTGCAGGTACATCTGATGGGTATGGACAAATGATAGGCTCTCAGGGACATGCTCGTATCACTACAGCTTCGGGCTTTCCGGGTCTCACAGCTATCCAGCGTACCAATCATTTGCGTCTTGATCATGCGAGTCAGTCACTCCCTCAGAACCCCAGAAAAGACAAGAGGCGTGGAAAAGCTGTCCGGCCACCTGGGCTTGGTCGTAGAGATCGAATTCCAAGTATCGATGACTGTATCAGCGTAGCTACTGGAGGAATAGAGGTTGTGACTATCGATGTTTTGATCTATTTGCCGCTTCCTCCAACAAGCGACATTAAGGTATGGATGTTTCTATTTTCCCAATGTCCATTTGTTGAAAATATCCATATTTGCCAGTTCTACCAACTTCCGAAGCAGTTAATCTTTTATGAAATTAACAAGGACGCGTACCGTATGGTGCTTGATGCCTTGGGCCTATTTCATCAATATTCGAACCTTCCAACCTCTACTACGGTTTTTGACCTAATGTCCGATATCACGCTCAAGCTCAGGCGTCGATATGATCTTCCATCGGTTTCCTCCTCATTACCGCTAGCTCCACAAGAACTTCTTCCTCTGCAATTGCTAGGATTTAGTAATCATGGTCGAGCCAATGGATCATACAATACTTCAAAACTTAGGTCTATGCCCTATGAGCGAAATACAACGGTCCAAAATCTTTTGGCTAGCCATGGTACATATGTCGTTCCCAAGCTAGTTGTGACCCGGGACAATCATTTTCAGCTTCACACTCGTAAGTAAACCTCTAACATAAACTATCAAGTCAAATATCTAATACAGTCCTGCAGTTATTCGGAACCACCCACTTGAAACCAACGTTAGCTTAGCTCAAGCATATTTGGGATCAGACGATACAGTTCGCATTCATCGCTGTTTATCCATCCGTATATATAGCATGTTCCGCAATGACTCAGATGCAAATCTCAACATCCATGCCCTGGATGAAGAGGAACTAGAAGAGTCATGTCAGCTAGATACTGAGAACAGCGATGAGGAGGCAAATATTCCATTATATTTGCTAGAAATTTGTGCCCTGATTTTTGTGCTTTAGGATTCAAGAGTTGTAGCTCAATTATTAACGACACAAGCTTCAGGAGAACAAGATAATCAGGAGCTTGAACCAGCATCGCCCAGGACACCAAATGAAAATCAACCTCAGTCAAATGGACCGTATGCTCTCCGTTCTGTAGGCCATGGTTCAATTATTTCTCTTTTGTTGGTATCTAATTCTTAGTTTCAGATTCCAACTTCCTCAATGATGGAGCAGCCATTGCCTAAGAAGCTATGGGGAGAGCCCTGGAAACAGCCCGTCCCTCTTGATTTCATTCCTGTATTCTTTGACGATGAACGCACCCAAGCTATTTTCAAAATTGTTGCAGAGGTACACCGTGGAGAATTAGTCTGTCCTGGCCTTCAGGTAAAGGGTACAAATGAACAAGAACTGGCAACAGAATTTATTGCTCAAATGAAAATCTCCGTACAAAGTGGAGATTGGAGTCGAATTTTATCTCCAAACCGCCACTTTGTTTGGTAAGATTGTATCCTTTAGCCAAAACACTGCTGATTTGAATTACTGCATTGCTAGCGTCGATGAACACGATGATTATATCTCTTCAGGGCCTGGTCTTGAACAATCAGCCATTACCGAGGTCTTCCGTCGATTTTTTGAGGAACGTGAGCATGAGTTTTGTACTCCACTTTATGGGGAATACACGACGCTCCAATCTGCCGACCTGCAAATATCATCCAATAAGCATGATGAACTGGTTCTGTTTGGGGCTGCAACTGGATTAGCTCTCATTTATGGACACTACCCGGGACACTTGAATCCTCTTCTCCTCATTTATCTCCTCAATGATTGTAACATATCCTGCCTTCATCATGAGTTGGTCTCCTCCTATTTGCCTTCAATCAGTGAGATGCTAGAGCGCTGGTTGAATATTGGGCCGATGGATAGCATTGCGGAATTCAGTTCACACTTTGCCTCATATCACAATATACAGGTGCGACGCTCAGAATCTTCTATTTGTACTCAACTAATGTCTACCATAGCTTGCAGTCTTGCATGGACGTTCAGAAGCTGGTCACCACAAGCTTGCATGGGAAATGCTTCATAATGTTGTCATTGGTCCCATAGACATTGATAACGCCTATTTTGCTGCTTTTCTTAAGGGGTTCTTACTTCCTTGTGCTACAGGGATCGATCTTGTTGATGTAAGTCTAAGAAGTACGCCTAGTATCAAGAGTTTAATATTATTTTGCAGATTGTGCGCAGCTTCTTTGGGGGACCTGAAGAATTTATTCGAACTGCGGAAATGTCTACAATTCGCGATTTTGCTTCTCTAAACATCAGCATCTCTTGTGATCTCAAGCAGCCATCATTGGATGAACTGGCCCAAGCGCTCAGCGCTGCTGGTCCTCAATTTACTGGGAAGACTTTTCAAGACATTATAGAAGATTTTCTTGCCGGTACTGGAGCACCGTGTCCGGAGCTTTTGGCCAGTATGATGGATAGATTCAGTCCCGAGGTCAAAACCTGCTTATCGGGACTACGGTCTCCAACATTCCGCATGCGCTTAATGTGCTGGGCTGTGACAGGTGCTACCAGGGTATTGCTCGAAGGGGAGCCAATGCAAGTGAGTATCTAATCTTGAAATCAAGTCGACTGATATTTATGCCATTTAAGATCGTTCTAGTTGAAGATGACGATGTACTATATCTCCCTAGCGATATTGATGACTCCGATTTATATCTTTTAATGGGATCCTGCTCATTCCGGACCTGTTCCAGGTCGATGAGACTACCAGCCTCATATTTAATCAAGCTGCTCAAAAGTACTTACGATCCAAACGTAGAACTTGGGAACCCTCGGGTTGCAATTCATCATTGGCTTCTTGTGCAGATGTTGGATAATGCTGGTACTTACAATATGGTTTGAAGCTTATGCATTACTTTATACCATTTCATCTACATCTTTGTGTTTAAAGTGGAACAAACGGTTGATTTTGATTTTGTGACCCTCTCCACAATCTCTGTCGGCGTTTTTGCCATTTTTTGTCAATTCAAACTTTATATAAGCTATCTGAGCCTACCACCTTTTTATCGTTGGATTATTTCCATATACACGTGTCTTTTGTGGTATTTAATCTTCTACCCAAACCAAATTCCAAATATCGTTCTCCCCTCACCGAAGAAATGAAACACCCGACCAACTTTGATTCTACCTTGCTTTTTGTTCGCCAGCTTTCATCTACCCTCTATATGCCTCGGGTTGACTCCCAATATGACTGCCAAAGCCACATCTTACATTACGACGTAGAACTGCCTGGCGTGCAACGTCAGCACCTCAAGGTCATCACCGCCTATTCATCCATATTTAAGGAACGGAACCTTGTGGTTTGGGGAATGTCGTTGGCTCCTAATTGGCGCGTTCCAAGAAAGTTTGGCTTGTGCATTCATGAGAATTCTCTGGCTCCGCCAAGACTTAGCCCACCGGTGGACTTGCAACGCAGTTCCAGAGAATTTCATGGGTATATTGCTGCTCCTTATGATACGATGTCAGCACCGTTGCAAGCAACAATGGAAAGGGCTCATGGTGAATTTTATCGCGTTCTACGAATTCCAGCTAAAACGCAGGTAAGTCTATGGCAATAAGTTTATTCTGGCTGCTCAAACACTTTCCTAGTTGTGCGACATTATCGCCGTCTTGTCAAATGGTATACTCTCGTTCACCATTAGATGCGACAAGCCATTGATGCAGGATGAAATTCCGGCAGCGCAGGAAATGGTTGAGGAGACGGTCGAGGTGCATTAAAGCAAAATCTTGTCTCTTCAATTGTTCGCTACCTACCGCTCTACATTTTATCTTTATCGAGGCAATATTGAATGGGCTACCTTTGCTTGCATAATCCGTTTCAATTTCTTTTCACCAATGACAAAAAGATCAAGTTTTAGCAGCAGATTCCGATAGAATGCAGTACATAAGCAAAATACTACAAATATCCTACAACTTACTTCTTTCATATACTCGATCTTTACTGATCTTGCATAGTGCATGTTCCACCATAAATGGATCAAATATAACAGTCTGTTTGACTTTTTGGAACTTCGCATCTTCATCTAGAAACCTATACAAAGCTTTAAAACCCTCTTTGACCTGATTTTCGCTATAAGTATCTGTTGGGACTAGATCCATTTTTTGCAGTCCATGCAGGGCACCTTTAGCGAGAACGTATATGGCATGCGCAACTTCATCCAAGCTTGGCCAAGGGATGCGATGAGCATAAGTAAGGTCGACCGTAAGCAGATATGCTGAAAGATCTCCAAACGAAGGGAAGAGTTTGTTCTTCTTGTCATTCTTAGCATGGACAATAAATTGCCAGATGCTAGTAAATGAGACATTCGGATCTTGCAGCTTTTCCTCCAGTATCTCACTTCCAATCCAGAAGTTTACATCGTTAGAGGAAGTCCGTCCTCTGGTTGTACCGTATGCACAAGGGTTGCATATAAAATTTTCCCCTCGATCTGCATAAAGAGCTTTAAACTGGGACCAGGCTTCAAGGGACTCAAAAAACCCAGTATGTCCAGTTTCTTGTAAAGCTTCTGTATTGAAGAGTACGCCGCGGAAGAGTAATGCGCTGAACGTGCCTTCGCGGGAGTGATGTGCGAATAATCCATTTGGACCTGAGACCTGCTTCCGAGAGGATGCAAGCTCCCGGAATGGACAAGATGAATCTGAATTTTCAAGGATCCTACGCTGCTCTAGCTTGAGTTGGTCCATAGATAGCGGTGGAAACTGCATATAAGCCTCGGCGATTTCGAGGAGCCAATCGCGAAAGAAAATGACGCGATTATTTTCTCGAACAGACGTTAAGGATGCGATTGGAGAAATCCGATATGAGATGTTATCGTTTGAAGTTGTATGTGGAGGAAGAAGAGGAGGAGTGGAAGGTGATTCTGCAAATATTGCCGAAGATGGGGAATTAAGGGAGGTCGGAAGACCCATGATTCGGCGATGAGCAGCTTGGAGCAAATCAATAAGCTGTTGAATCTCCAAAGAACGATGACGGCCTAAAATTGGATGGTCAAGAAACATTTGGCCAAGTTTCTTCATGGCAGTTTTTGAAGGATACCCTCGTTTTGAGTGAGCGCTACAGAGGTTACGAGGAGTGCTATATGCAGCCCAGACCTCGTCAAGCAATAAAATGCTCGCAGTAGCACTAGAGTCCATGAGGCTCTTCAGGAACAACGACTGCACATTGTGTTTGTCATCAGATTCTATTGGCAAGCCAAGCCAGTGAAAGATAATGCGCGAACTAAGAAGGCTATTAGCGCTGCGCTGATCATGTTGCCTTCCATGGAAGTTCCACAAATAAGTTCTTGGGGGTTCAATCGTAGGTAGGAAATCCGATGAGTTAAAGTAAAACATGCCACGATTCCCACTTTCCACTACCTCTCCGACGGTCTTGATAAGACGGTACCACCAGTGTGACGAGGGATGATCAAGTACATGTTCAATGGACTCCGAAACCCAAGTGTAAAGTCGATAGTGTGAAAGCATAATGGTATAGTGTAATATGTGGGCACCTGCATCATATATCTTGGAGTTTTCGAGGAGTAAATTAATTGAGGGCCAAACATCTACTGCCGCTTTCATTGTTCTGGAGTCGAGAGGAGAACGTTCGAGTGCAACATGAAAGCGATTGATCTTCAAAAATAAGTCTTGAATACTTGGGCCCTGCGTTGCATTCATACTCGATAGGCCCTCATTGAAAAGCTGAATTGTGTAAGTTAAGGATTCTTTTGAGAGTTGCATCAGGAATGGAATGGCTATATACCACTTTAGTAGTCATTGAAGAGGAATGGAACAAGATGGCTTGCCAGTGCTTTTAGTATGAAAAGGCGAGGGATCTGGGAAATGATAATGAGAACCATTTGTGCTCAAGAGAACAAAATTTGGTTACCGCTTGAACGATTCTCTTCATTTGGCGGTTCGCCGTTGCGATTGTTACGAGGCTGCTCATTGTCATCTATGGAGATGTTAGATTACAGATCCCAGATACATATAGTATGCGTAAGTCCCACCAATTGAACCCATATTTACTATCAAGAAAAGATGATGAGCAATAACCCCGCATATCAATGTTTGGTTGAGCTTACCATCTACCGTTTGCGTGAATGCATTAAGCCGATAAGCGGTGTACATATCTCCCATACTGAAGATTTAAATCAGAAAAACTTAGCTTATGAATAATTTATACTTACTCAATCTGGCTTTCGTGTATCCATTCTTTTGTTCCAGGTTTCTTGTCAGCCCACTCAACATAGTATTCGTAGTTACAGCACTTGAAGATCGAGCATTAGGAATAATTCAGAAGAACATGTAAGTACTTACAGCCTTAGTGCAAATGCGGTGTGATATAATATTTCGAAGTTCGTATACCTGGTCCTCCTCCTGCTCTTCTTCGGCTACTTGGCATTCCTGAGCTATTGCTGCAACGCCTATCGATTAGACTCCTTCAGTCGAATTTATTTTCTGACTCATACCATTATCGCAGTTTTCCTTGAGCCGTTTACTTCTCCGTTGTCCCTTATCGTTCACATTTAGATCTCGTTTTGTTTTATTCAAGTTTTGTATGGCCACTTCCTGATTGAATTCAATAGCTTGCGGAGCTTTTTGAGCAGCATGTATAATTTCAGCTGGAAAATAGGAGTTAAATGAGTCAATGGCAACGTAGTTGAACCATAAAAACATACAAACTGTTGATTTCGATTTCGATTTCGGTTCTTTGATCGGGCCTTCAGCTGATATACTACCTTTCGCTTGTGAGCAGCAGCTTGTGCAGCAGCTGCGCGTGCTGTCCGAGACCGTTTTTTAAAAGTTTGAGGCACCGGTATTCCTGTTTGTTATAGATAGAGAAGCAGAGAATTGCACCAAAAGTCAATTTGCTTACGGATGGGAGGAGCTTTGAAGTTACGGAAAGTAGAGGATATCGCTTCAAGCCTCTTGTTACAGTGTTGATACCACCGTTCTCTGGCAGCTTGACGGGGTGAGGAATCTGTGAAGGATGTTAAGATTCTAAGCTCAAGTGATAGTCGTCATCATACCAGCATGGTTAGTTAGCTCAAGACCATCTGGTGCCAAAGACCAAGGACCAGCAGAGAATGTTATACCATCCCGCTGCATAGACCAGCCTTGACGATAATGATCATATTTCAATACATTTCCACCCATGATCTGCCTCTGATGATATAATGTGTGCAGGAAGAAAGCTCGGGCGAGAAAATCTATTTCAGCTTGAGGAGTCATGATAACTTTTCCATCATCTAGGAAGTTTAGCTCTTTGGGCGAAGCATGAAGCAAATCTGGCCTAAGACTTATAAGTGTAATAGATGATTCATTTAAGTTAGAGCATACTCTTCCTCATCCTCTTCAGCCATCAACCCGTCAGTGCTAGAACAGTACAAGTAAGAGTCTGATAACTTATAGCCAGGGAAAAAACATACTCTTCAGTTGATGGTACATGGACAGTTGCATTTGTCATTTCTGGCGTCAACTGGATTGGCACTCCGTTGGGACCCGCAGCAATATTCATTGTTACTCGGCCATCAAGAATAGCACCTTGAGGATAAAGTACAACTACCCTCGGTAGGCGGAAGGAGGAATCGGAACTCCAACAGGCGCTAATGGAGGCGTACCACCATGAAGACGAAGCCCTGAAAATGTTATAGATTTGATTTTATCAAGTTCGACGTATAGCCCAAACTCGACCAGATGAAATCTCCCTCCCTCCCATCCTTCTCCCGTTGGTATATCGGGATAAGCAAACATCGTAGTCCAACCACCTGCAGAGTCGTGTCGGTCAAAGTGTTTGCCACCAAAAAAGGCAAGAGCCTTGATGCAGTTGATAACTGCACAATCAATTGCATGAGGTAGTTAGTTTGAGTATCATACGCAACAACGTACTTAGTCCATCACCATGTACAGGTTGCGAAACATTAAGCTGTAAGCCCTGATAGAGAGCATTGTCATCCGTGCCAATCCGCGGTACATTATTGAGCTCGCAGGCATCTTCTAGAATTTTGTATTCTGTTGGTAGTATACGTCGGAACATATTCACGGCAAGTTTAATGGTTGTCTAATTGGTAACCAACATTGTATTGCATTGTGAGAATAGATAATCGACAAACCGTCACAAGATTGCGCCGCATTTGGATATGCTCCTCCTCTTCAGTGCTGAGACTTCCCCGTATCTTGCCCCCAACAGAAGGCGTTACCAAGTTCCTGGGCTTTTGGTGACTTATGCCGCAGCTGTAGCAGTGGCCTGAACCGCCCACAGGATTGGCACGTTTACTGCATTTCTCAAATGCAGTACAGCCATTTGTGCAACGTTCGGCTTCAGGACCAAGCGTTTCATCTCGAAGATTCTTGATTAACTTCCCCTCTTCACTCTCTTCATCTCTATAAAGGTTGATAAGCATAGGTAAGATGAACCAGAGGCATGTACTTCACGTACATCTCTCCAACATATACCTCAAACATATCATCCATGCCATCTCCAGACCCCGCAACATCCCGGGTAAAGACTATGTCGCCAACTTCGAGTTTCCCCCACCCTAACAAATGATCAGATAAGACTAGGAGGCAAAGGCCATGGAGCATACCAAGGGCAGGAATACTTGAATTCCGTCCACCAGGAATATTGATTCTAGTTTCTGCATGGTTAAAGTAGAATTTGAGGAATTGGGCGTCGCCCTTAGGCCAAGGTACGATGAGAATCCGTTTGATGACGTTCTGATTTAAATCTTTGGGGATCCGAGGATGGGATTTTACTTCATATATTGCAGGAAGATACGGGTCTCGAGTACTGGGGAAATCGAGTTTTTTACCATCCTTAATGCACCCAGGGGGAATTGAAAAAGGGGGAGGATCGGATAGGATCGAAGGCTGGTACGAAGAAGGAGAGGCTGGGTTCACCCGAGGACCAGCAGATCTGAGTTTAGAAAGCAGGCCATTGCCAATAGTTTTGGCGTAACGCTTTAAGCCTAAGACTTTTCGACGGTTCATGACGGTAAGAAAACAACGATTCCACAAAACTCCCACCGGTACAAGTTCTCGGAAAGATCCGAGGAAATTGTACCCTGCCCGCAACTTTTCAAGGAATTTGCCGAGCGCCCTTACTCCAGAATCCGCATTAGTAAACATTACGCCAAACCTATGCTCCTCCCAAGTACAAAGGGAACGTTGGACTCCCATTAGAATTGTGGACTTTAGTTAGACCTAGGATATACGAATATCAAATCTCTCTCGGTGGTCCCTGATTTCCTCCATATTCACTTCCTCCCCGAGTTACGATTGTTTGAAAGCTTCTTGAAGGCAAGCAATTTTGGAACTTGTACCGTTCGATTGGTTAACTGCTCCAGATGATATTGATGTAAGACATGAAAATACTAGCAGATCCCAATTTCCATCATACCTCGGGCTTCCACCTGAGCCAAGGATGGTTCAACGACAAACGGTATGGTCCTTGGAGGTACTGGACTACCACCGTACTCTCGCTCCAGCAAGAAGTTCAGTTCTACACCAAACACTGAGGTGATCGCCAATGAGCAACGATAGCACCAGAAAGAAACCACTCTTACCTGCTTTAGGATCCCTGGTAGCGGTGACGGGTTGGTTGTGAATATGGTCCGCGATCTGAGGCTTGGGAGAATTCCCGATGTAAGTGAGCCGCCGTTTTGCCACTATTTTTGAGACCCTGGCAAGAGTATCGATCCACTTGGTTATGTCCCGCTTCGACAGCACTTGCTTTGCTGCAAAGAGGACCGACAGATAAAAACAGGATAGAGATGCCTGCAACTTGGCGGGTTGCCGAAATCTGAGCGGCGGTACCCAATGTGGCTCCCAATGATTGCGATGGACTGCGACCAGCAGTACTAAAGCTGTCATCAACAACCATGGCGTCAGCGGGCAATTTCGAAGGCTGGCCCATCACGACTCTAAGAATGTCTTTGAAGACTTCTGAGATGCCACTAAAGGTGGCTTGTACCTGGATGAAATGATTAGATAACATAACGGTTGAATAACGCCCCTCACGTCAGGGTTCCCCCATAATGTTTTGAGATGCTTCGTTCTTTCCAATCGCAACGTTTTCTGCCGCCTGTCATCATTTGACAGGAGAGATTTCAGAGTCTGAGAACGGATCCCGGTACCTCGGGTCGGTGGCAGTAATACAGTCCAAGAAGCAACATCGTAAGTTTCGGCGTCAAGGCAGACTAAAGGTTCCAATGAGAGAAGGACGGCGCCTTTTTCCTCTATACTCCACTGAGACTGATCAAGTAATTTGGCAATCAAGGTGATTAACTTGCAAGCTGCCTGTATGACACGTCTATTGCTCTGTATACCGTTCAGAACAAGGACGAACTCAAAAGACAGGCCGACCACAGCAATATCTAAAGCCCTCTTGGCCGCAGGAGCCCTAAGGACTATGGTATTGTCTGAACCTTCCTGCCATGGTGATAGAGCTGATTCGAGGCATTTTAGGAAGAACACCGAGATTTTACGTTCTCTGGACTGCGGCTGCACGAGGTCCGTTCGGCGGGGATGGGCGCCATGAAAGTGGCATTTCTCAAGTCCGAAGATTCGTTGGGGGATGCAGACTCTGGGCAACTACCATCAAACTTGACAGAGGGTAGCTTGGCATCAGCCAAGTTAAAACCTTTTCTTCGAGCTGCATACGGTACAGGCGAACGTCCTGATTTGCGACTTTCAGGCAAAGCGAAAGAAACGTGCAAACGGAATCGAAAGGGGCAACGGGACCTTGAACATCTAGATCCTTCGCAAGAGTTTCGATTTCGGAAAGAACGCGATGAGAGGTAAGGGAAGATCTGACGAGCGATTGTCGGGCAGAGCCAGTGTTAGCGTAAACGAGCAAGATACTCGCGGTGTGGCAAGCGGCACGACATACTTCCTATTACAGAAATTGAAAAGGTCCTCGAGAGAAGGTACCATTCGGTCCCAAACCAACGGACAAACGGGACGCCGACGCCACCGGCGATATTCTGTGAATTAGTACGGCGAATCGCATGTGTCCATACAGAATCCCAAGTGGAAGCACCTCGGGTAGAGACACTCGTCATGTATCTCGTCTGGATGGTAGTTGGAGGAACGGCAGAGGTGGAGAGTGTTTGAGAAGAGAGAAGACTGGCAGCATTATCGCAATCCGCAGATGCTAGAGCAGCAAGGCATACGAAAGCCCAGCTCTGCACAGTCCCGTCATCATTGGTTACATGATCCAGAAGAGTGCGAATGATATCTGATTGCATAGATTCACGTGGAGTATTCCAATGTCGGTCAATGAAGAACAAGAGTATTTGTAAATTGTAGATGCGCATGGGAGGTTGCTGCACAGATTTTAGCAGGGATGTCACAGGGTTCTCGAGTAGACGAGGGCGTTTGCTCGATTGTGTTGATTGCGGTTGGGTTGACGACACGGGGTTGGATTCGAAGTGTTGATAAAGCTACAATACGAGAGCACAGTTAGACGAGTAGGGGGTATGTCCGCATTCAGCGTACCTTCGCCAAGCAATCAGCTTGCAGCTCTAGCATCGCCCATGTGAGTGCTTGGAAGGGATCAAGTTGAGCACTGGCACGAAAAGTCTTTGCTCTAAAGGCCTTTTGGTAATCGTCCTGAGTGGAGACTTCCAATCGAACAGCACACAAAGAAAGCGGGTCAAGATTCCACCGCTTATCCCCGAAGAAGATAATGACCGCCGTCCTCAGTATCGAGCCTAAAGGTGAAAGAACGTTCGTTGTTGATGAAATGGTTAACGCTGGAATCCATGAGGTTCACAACTAATGTTGGCTTTCCGGAAGGAGTAAATTCAAGCTCAGAGGCGGTTCTCCTTAGGACAGGGGAATGAGAATTATCGACACCGAATGCACTGGAAATGAGTCGCATAAAACTGAAAAGCGACGACATGCTTTTCTTATTGCGATGCTGCTTCTGTGCAACCGAAGTCGGTCTTCGTCCTCCCTTCATCGCTTTGTCCAATTGCTCTTCTCGTTTTTCATTACGAAATTGTTCCTGCGTCTTCTCTTTCTGTAGATGTGCTCGCAAGTTCTTGTCCCGCCGATGTTTGTCCATCTGAATAGCGACAAGTCTTTGAAAGGGCCACGAAATCTTTTTTGACGGTGTCCCGGGAGCGTTCGCAGCAGCGCCCTCCCGATATGCCTCATCCTTGATTCCGCGGATATCAGATTGAATGGAGAAAATTTCGCGTTCAATGTTGTTGAGACATTCGAAGCCTCGTCTGTTGATATCATTCCGATGAGCAAGCCTTTGCGAGAGCAGTGACGGTGCGTTGGATATGAAGTTGCAGAGATTACTGAATCATTACCGACAGCTCAGCAGAAGAATTGAAAGACTGAAAACCAGACTGACCGGCGTTTATCAAAGTTAACGAGATTTTGCCCTTCTTCATTATGAGATTCAACAAGATCGGGCATGGCAATAACGTCCAGAATCCGCTCTATCAGCCAGCCCATGTCCACAGTTAAGGGATCTCTAGATGCGACAGATTGAGTTTTGGGTCGTGCAAGCAGCTGAGAAATTGTGTCGTAATTGCAACATTGACTAGCAGAAACATTCTGCCATGCTCGGTGGTGCATTCTGCATTCAGGACTCAGGATGGCGGATGTCACCGCTGCTTCTACGAAAGACCGAACACAGGGCTGCTCATAGACAGAATTGGGTGAAGAACTCTCCGCATTACGCAGCCGAGCGACTTCAATGACTTGCAGTAAAAACTCTATTCGCATTTGACGTGCGCGGAGACCTATACGGGGAGCGACAATTTTCGAAATCAGCCATTTCCGTATGATTGAGTGTGCTCGAATGCAGCTTCGAATACCAGGGGGAAGAAGACGGTACAAGCTTTCAGGTGAAAGTTCGGATATGAGAGAGGATGGCTCTACGTCCTGAATATGGCTGTGAATAGTTTGTATCTCGATATACTCATCCAGTGACGACGCCTCTCGCGGTGGGAACCATCCAGTTCGATCAGTACCTTGCACCTCCAGAGGTCGGATGTGATGTAAAGGTCCTAAAAGAAAAAGATCACCAGTTGATTGGTGGCAAGGCAGGGGAATGGTACTAAGAATGCTTACTTCTTCTGTTACATTGTTGAAGGCCGCAAATGCCATCCCGTCGATATTGTCAACAAACTCCTTGGGGCTCATGCGATCCATATCCGGAGGCTATCTAGTGCTTAAGTTCCGTACGCGAGACTCGGTCGTGGTTACCGCGTTTCGAGAAACAGTTTGGGTTGGAGAAGTCGATGGCCTCATTGTCTGAGATAGCAGAAGTTGTTCAAGGGCTTGCCGTGATTCGGTCATGTTATCCCAAGCTTGGGTTCTCGAAGGTGGCGGCGGAAGAATGAATGATGTGATCACTAGAACTGGCAAAAAAGGCTCGAAGTGCTTGAAGGAGCTGAGAGTCATCCAATACATCTTGAGCTCCGCCACCCTTCGTCAACCAGAGTTTCATGGCGTCGAGAACCTGTGATTTCGATGATATGGCAGCAAGATATTGATCAGGTAACGGAGGTGACCCTGCCGGCTGGCTTTTGATGTAAATTTTGCGCAACAGCTAGAGGGATATGTGAGCATAACGCACTATTTGTTTAAACGCAAAGGACACACCTCGAAAAATATAAGTGGCGTCACAAAACTACGAAAAATTCCACCACACTCTGGTAAATTCTTTGTGGTCCAGCAACAGTTCTCGTGTCATTCCGACCCG